GAACAGAAAAAGCCAAGGGGTAAAAATGTCGAGCGACACATGCCCGAAAGGGACATCATTACCATCCAAAAACAAACATTTGGAGGAATCATCAGCATGTCTGAAAACCCACGTCAGCTGTATTCTTGGCTATCCTTGGTTCACTCTAGCAATCACTAGGTTTACTAGGTTACAATAAACAGGTTACTCAGAAACATGGTTAACTTATCTTGTGTGTGAGCATGCTAAGTTGCTTCAGCCGTGTCCGACTCCTTGCAATCCCATGGATAGTAGCCTGCCAGGCTCCTCTGTCCATGGGATTCTCCAGGCAGGAATCCTGGAGTGGGATGCCATTTCCTTCTCCATTACTTGGCTTACTTTCATTTTAAGTGATCTACTTTTGAGAAGAGCTAAAAAGGAGTGGAAATAGAGAATAAAGATCAAGAGCCATATTTTTTTAAATCAGGAAATTATAATTTTAAAAAAGAAGAAAAGAGAAAAAAAGAACAGAAGAGAATCAAAACCCCTGGGCACTGCCTTCAGGCTGGCTCTTTTTTACTTTGTAAGTCCTTACATTCATGAATAATCACATTCAGATCCTCCTTCTTGCACAGTGAGCTCCTTAAGGTCAGGATCCAAGCCTGGACCATCTTTGTTTCCAGGCAGACCTAACCCTATGCCTGACCCACACTAGGACTTGATTCTTTGACCACTTGCTGGTTGAAAATTAAAGGAAAGCAAGAGGACCAAACAGGAAAGGACTGGAGTCCATAGGACCATCCTTGGAAGGTTGGACTTGAGTTCCTCAGAACCAGAGCATCATTTCACATTGACCTTACATCCATTCCAGACCGTCAGAATCCATTTCATAGATACTGCTCTCCAGAAAAGCATGCTGAATCCTTTAGACACTTAGTATTTACCAGAACAACAACATCAACATCAGCAACAACAACAAAACACTCTTAAGATCCATTATTTGTCTCTGGAATATTCAGACAAGCCACTTCCTCCTCCTTCCTATTACTCATCCCCCTTCAGCCACTCCCTCGGAGCCCTGGGAACGTACCTGATCCTCACCAGGTTACCCTCCCTTTTGGGCACTGATTTCATCACTTCAAATTATTCTTAGTTTCAAGTATTCTGGAGCCAAAATTGCAATGTCAGCAGACTCAGAGACTGCACAATGGAGTGCAGTAGTTCAGGCACAGAGGCTAAGATCAAACTGCCTGCATTTGAACCCAGGCATGCCCAGGTCAGTGACTTAACTTCTGCATGCCTCAGATTCTTCATATGTAAATGAGGCTAAAGATGCTAACAGTAGCCAATAACAACCTTACTGAGCATGATTGTTCAGAGGGCTAAAAGAATTACAATACATGAAATTTTCAGAAGAGTGCAAGGCCCATAATATTGTAGAAGGGTTCCTGCTTATTAGTTATCTCCCACAGAGCTGAAGAAATGATTTTATCAATAAATCTATGTTCATTTCTGATTCTAGGAAAGACTCTGATGCTGGGAAAGATTGAGGGCAACAGGAGAAGGGGATGACAGAGGATGAGATGGTTGGATGGCATCACCGACTCCATGAACATGAGCTTGAGCAAACTCCGGGAGATAGTAAAGGACAGGGAAGCCTGGCATGCTGCAGCCCATGGGGTCACAAAGAGTTGGACATGACTTGGTGACTGAACAACCACAATGTTTGTTTCTATAACTTTTCTTGCATATTTAGTACATGTATGTTGTTCAGTGAATAAGTCATGTCAACTCTTTGCAACCCCATGCAAAGGATATTGAGTCCATTGAGTCAGTGATGTCATCCAACCATCTCATCCTCTGCCATCCCTCTGTACATGTATAATGCACAACAATTAGGAAATGCATATAAAATATAGAAAATACATACAACAGAACAACACCAGCAATGCTACTGCCCCCATTTTTTTTTTTATATTCCACTCATTGTTTAAACAACATTTACTGAGCACTTAATCTATGAAAGGCTTCAAGGGAACTTCCTGGCAGTCCAATGGTTAGGATTCTGTGTTTTCACTGCCAAGGGTCCCAGTTTGATCCTTGGTGGGGGAGTTAAGGTGCCACAAGCCACGCCACAAGGCCAAGGTGGGGAAAAAAAAAAAGGCTTTGCACTCTTACTGGAGATAAAGTGATGAACAAAGACAGACGCAGCTCTTGCCATGGAGGTTAGTCTGGTGGGTGGGAGGTGGGGGGAGACACGCCTTAATCAAGTAATGAATGATAAAATACATGTGAAGCCGCTGTTGTATTAAGCGCTAGATTGGAGAGGCACACATGTCATGGGAAGAGCTGACCTAGATGTGAAGGTTTGTTATTTGAAGGTTGTGAGGAAGAGACGACTGAGCTGAGAATGAACTCATAGGAATCAACTCAGAGAAGTCAGAAGGGAAGAGTTTGCCCAACAGAGGCACAGTAAATCCAAAGGTGATGCAGCAAGAGGGAGAGGAGGCGCCACCATGAGGCTGCAGTGCGCACTAGACTCGGCTGGTTAGGGAGAGGGCGGACCTGCAGAGCTTTATAACCTTAACTTAATCATTATATTCTCTATTTATTCAACAAACGTTGCCTATGAGGATCTAGGCACATTTACATCAATTAGATTTATATCATACACCATAAGTCCCCTATGTACAAACGAGTTCCATTCCAAGAGTGGGTTTGTGAGTCCAATTTGGTCGTCCAACAAAGTTAAAATAACATTATCGGCTACATAGTACTGTAATAGCCTTATAATACATTTCACACAAATAGTACTTAAAAAACAAACACAAAAATAAAGAAAATAGTTTTAATCTTACAGTAACATAAAAAGTACAGTAGTACGGTACAACAGCTGGCATACAGGGGCTGGCACCGAGTGACCAGGCAAGAAGAGTTACTGACTGGAGGAGGGAAGATGGTAGGACTGAAGGATCACCAGCAACAGGAGACGGAGGGCAAGCTGCATTGTCACGACTGACGATGATAGAACACACATTCTCATCTTTGAAAGTTCGAAACGTGAAGGTTTGTATGTAGGGAACTTATTAATGCTTTTAGTAGAAACTTTTTTTGAACAATTAATATACAGTAATTTAACTCTCATTGGTGGAAATTAGGACTTCCCTGGCGGCTCAGGTGGTAAAACATCTGCCTACAATGCGGGAGACCTGGGTTAGATCCCTGGGTCAGGAAGATTCCCTGGAGAAGGAAATAGCAACCCACTCCAGTACTCCTGCCTGGAAAATCCCACAGATGGAGGAGCCTGGTAGGCTACAGTCCACAGGGTCCCAAAGAGTTGGACACAACTAAGCGACTTCACTTTCTTTCTTTCTTTCTGGTGGAAATACAGGTTTTTCCCCCCAACTTTCCATTCTTATTAACAATGCTGATGGCTTCCTCTTTGTGGTCATTTGTCCAAGTATCTGTTGGATACATTCCTGTAAGCAGAATTGCTGTTCCTGCAAATTCGTTAATGTGTTTTAATCACAATCTTGTGTGTTGGGGGGATTGGTGGAAATCAGCATACCCAGCTGTCTACAGAGCTGAGGCTAGGCTCTTCTGAGATTGGTACCACTATTACATGTAGAGGTATTTTTGGTGACTTTCAGAACCTGCTTCTTCATTTGCTTCAGTGTTAGGAAGTCCCTGCTATTTCTGATCCCCATGGATTTTTCCTACACATCCAGATCACTCAGTACTGGCTGCCAATGAAATATCTTCGTGGCTCTAGAAGCTTAACTGCCCTACTTTTGAGCGCCACAGGAGATCAAAGGCTTTCTTATTTGGTTGTGAAGGATCTTCCTCTGAACTTTAGACAGAGAAAGAAAAGGCAGTTTCTGACATTCCTTTCTTCTCCTCTGCCTCCTACTTTGTCCAGTTCCAGTTACAGGTAATAAATTCAATGACTTGTTGAAGGCAGATGGAGCTCAGGTGATTCTACTACAGACTAGGTTTTCCATTCTACTTAGTTGACACATGCTATTTTCTCCCAAGACTTCCATCTCCCATTTTTGTCTACCGGCAAACTGTGCTTTTTTTTTTTTTCTTTCAAAATCCTGTTTGTATCCCCACCCTTAAAATACCTTCTAAGGACCCATTTACTTTTAGGTAGTAGACAATTTCTAGGTTTCTAACGATTCATGTAGCTAATATATTCACATTTTCTTTACCTGTTCTTTGCAATCCATTTCTTCATTGCAAAATAAAAAGTCTTTTCTAAGACTAATGGGATGCTCTTGCTAAAGCAACCAAACTTTGATTAAGACTTAGAAGGAAACAGAGTATCTAGGTAAAGTTAAGCTTACCATGCACAAGCACAGTGTGAGTTGTATTATATAGGTATTATTTTAACCCTCACGGCAATCCTGTGAGGTAGGTATCATTCCTTCCCCATTTAGGGGCCCTCCCCATTTCACCTGGGCTTCCCACGTGGCGCTAGTGGTAAAGAACCCGCCTGCCAATGCAGCAGATGGAAGAGATGCAGGTTTGATCCCTGGGTTTGGAAGATGCCCTGGAGGAGGAAATGGCAATCCACTACAGTATTCTTGCCTGGAGAATCCCATGGACAGAGGAGCCTGGCGGGCCAGAGTCCATGGGGTCGCAGAGACTGGAACACAACTGAAGCGATTTAAAGCGCGCGCAATTTTACAGATTAGGAAGCTGAGGCTTAGGAAGTTTGTCACATATCCTTGATCACACAGTTACCATATGGGGAGTTACCATATGGGGAGTTTACTTCTGCTCAGTAAACTGACCTGAAGAAAACAGAGGTAGGCTAGAAAAGGAAGTATAAAACGCGGAAAAGCAAGCAAAGGAGACAGCAAGTGGGCGGAAGCCGCCCTTTCACCGTTTCCTTCCCCAACGCCCGGACCAAGCCTCCAACATAGCCCGCACGCCTCCCAGTGGCCACATCTCTGCCACCGGCACTTCCGGTATCGGGATGATGTCATCACCCAGCGCCGCAAGTCGGCGCCGGACGCCGGCGTGCGCGTGGCGCGAGACGTCGGATGAGAAGGCGGGCTTTCCGGCTCGGTTCAAAGCCATTTCCGTCAGGAGCCGGAAGTCCGTCCTGGATGGCTTCGGGGGCGGCCTCGGCGTGGAGCTGATCGCAGGGGCCACTGGCCTTCCCGCGCCCGCTGGTTCCCTCATGGTGCGGGCCGCGGCCGCCAGTCTGCGCTCGGATCGGCGGCGCTGAGGCGCCGGGGCAGCACGCGACATGTCGTCGGGCCTCCGCACCGCCGTCTTCCCGCGTTGGAAGCGCCACATCTCAGAGGAGCTGAGACGCCGGGACCGGCTGCAGAGGCAGGCATTCGAGGAGATCATCCTGCAGTGTGAGCGGCGGGCGGGCCCAGGGGGCGGGCGGGAGGACCCCGCCGAGGCACACGGGGCCGGCAGCAGGAACCCCAGGCCGGGCCCCGGCGCCTCTCGCGTGTCTCGCTGCCGCCCCGGGTTTCCAACGCCTGGCGCAGCCCCATGCCTTTTTGTGTCTTTTCCTCTTTTCCGTTTATCCTTGAGTGTGACTGTGGAGGGTTTCTCTGCAAGTCTTGGATTTTCTTCATGGGCAGGCGCCGTGCACATTTGTATGTGTAAATCCCAGCTGCTCCGCACCCAATGCTTGTGTAATTAAATAGGCAGCTTCCAGAAACGGGCTGTTTCGGACATCGTGTTACTGATATGGGCACTGACTTGAAGCATTAACTCGCGGCATTAGCGTAGTGCTCTTGAGTATCACGAAATATTTGCCTTTCATTTCTCAAGACCTGTCCTTACACTCCGCCTTCGTATTCTTTGTGACACATCTTGAGTCTTAACTCACCTTTTAGTCGGGACATCGTAGGCTTTACTGTTACTGAAAACTTGGATATGAAAGAGGTGGGCCACACCCACCGTCGCTGCAGCAATTTAAGTACAAAAATGTTTGTGCCCTTCAGTTCAGTTCAGTCGCTCAGTCATATCCGACTCTTTGTAACCCCATGGATTGCAGCAGGCCAGGCTTCCTTGTCCATCCCCATCTCCCGGAGCTTGCTCAAACTCATGTCCATCGAGTCGGTGATGCCCATCCAACCATCTCATCCTCTGTCGTCCCCTTTTCCTCCTGCCTTCAATCTTTCCCAGCATCAGGGTCTTTTCAGTTCTTCGCATCAGGTGGCCAGAGTATTGGAGTTTCAGCTTCAGCATCAGTTCTTCCAATGACTATTCAGAACTGATTTCCTTTAGGATGGACTGGTTGGATTTGTGCCCTTAGATGCCTTCTAATGAGCATTTCCTTACCTTGCCCCCCATTTTACCCTAACTGATGACACATTTGGGGGAAGAAACGGGCACTGTTGGAACCTCTGGTTCCAGGTCTGCCCCTTGAAGTATGCCTTTAGGTCTCAAATTCTATTGATGATGAGATTCAATGTAATAGTAGTTAATACCCTTCATTGAATTCTGATCATGCTAAATTTGTGGTTCCTACACGTACCTGCAGGTACCTGGGGATCTTTTCAAAAATTACAAAGCCCAGGCCATACCCCAGACCAACTAAACCCCAGGAATGTGGTGGGACATGGGGGTCAGTATTTCTTGGTGCTCCCCAAGTAAATCTGATGTATAGACAAGCTTTCGTGCTGCAGTATTTGGCATGTATTGTTTCACTTTCTTTCTGAAAATTCCCTGAAACAGGTCCTGTTGCCCTTTATACACATGAGGAGTCTGAGACCAAGAGAGGTTAGGTAATTTCTCCGGGAAGCACAGCAGAGTAGATAGGGTCTAGATTTGGACCAAGACTTGATGGCTCCTAACTTTTTTGCATTTTTGCTTTTCTCACTGGGTTCCCCAGGAAATGGTCCTAGCTGAGCTCATCCTCTTAGCTAAAATGGAAGAAAAGGGAGATGATGGGTGTGCCACTGTTGCACTAATTCTTTACACTCTTAAGAGACTGGCAGCCTGGTGCTATTTCAGAAAGCCAGAAGCACAGGAAACTCCTTATTCAAACATGACTCCTCATGGGTTACATAAATTCAAGTCATTAGGTATTTCATCTCATGCTTATTCTTTATTTTTATTTTTTTTAGTTCTACCACTTTATTGCTACTAACCCATTTCCCTCCACCCTCGTGCACACATGCTCAGTCATGTAATCCCATGGACTTCAGCCCGCCAGACTCCTCTGCCCATGGACTTTTCCAGGCAAGAATACTGCAGTGGGTTGCCATTTCCTTCTCCAATGCTTATTCTTTAAAAGCTGATACACACTAAAAGTCACACCGGGTTGGCCGTCTGACCACAGTCCCCTTACCAGCCTCACTTACCTGCATCTATAAAATCGGGGTGAAGCTTGCCTTGCCTGCTTCATAAATACAGTGCTGGGCATATAAAGTGCTTTGAATGCCATCTACGTAATTGTCTATAAATGGAAGGTGCTTGCTTGTCATCGCACTGACACAATTGAATGTTTTTCTGCACTTTGAAAATGGACATCTTGAAGGGAGTGGAGGATGTCGAAGGCTAGTCAGAAAGACAGGTCAGTCCTGTCTTAAGAGGGAACATGTCTTCAAACAGCCTAGTGAGGAGTACAAGCCCGGGGTGGGGGAGCAGTTGGAGAGGAGACGGGGTGAGGAGCAATAGGACATGGCTACCCTGGCCTGTGCAGATCTCCAGTTTAGGCAGGGGTTGATGTTTGGGAGATCACCTCTGGTTTGACTATGAAACAGTCCCACTCTTCATTGCCCCGCTTCTCAAAGAGGGGGACAGAGTTTGCTGTCAGTCCTACCTCTGGGCCTGAAGAGGAAGATGAGAAGAGGCCGTGGGGACCGCGGGTGGCTCCCCTCCCTCTCCATCCTTCTCTTGAGTGAGAGGAGCTTTTAGGAAGGATCCCTCTTGAATACCTCCTGTCCTTTGAAAGACCCACTATCACCAGGCATCCATCTGTGACATTTTTGAAGATCTTTATCAAGGCCCTTTGACACAGGTGAACATTCAAGGTTGGCATCCCTTCCCTCTTCTGAGCTAGTTTATTAAATTAATATAGATGAAGACAGTGTTTCTGTTTCTGCCCAGGCTTTCCATCTTCAGAGATGAAAAAAGTGGGGCTCAACTCTAAGAGGAAAGGCTAGCCCTTCTAACAGGAATTGTTACTGGCGTAAACCCTGTCGCGTTTTTGTTGTGAAGCAGCTGTCGTCTCAGACGTGTGGGGTTAGTGAAAGCCCGCATCAGATGTGGGTTTTCTGTAAATTTCCCAGGGCCACTTTCTTCTTCTGCTTCATGCACCTGTTCCACTTCTGATCTCACTGGCCCCCTGGGTGCCTGTCATTTCTAGCCCTGACTTGACTTTTGACTTCCTTATTGTGTTCCCATCACATTTATTATGGTTCTAGAACTCTCTTTTTTGAACTCTCTGCGCCTGTATTCTTCAGCATGGTAGGATCTTGCACCTAGTTGGTCAAGCGGGGAACCTCAGGATAACCTTTGACTTCTTACTCATTACTATCTGTTAATGTCACTTGTTGAGTCGCTAAGTCATGTCCGACTCTTTGCAACCCACAGACTATAGCACACCAGACTTCCCTGTCCTTCACTATCTCCTGGAGTTTGCTCAAGTTCATATCCATTGAGTCGGTGATGCTATCCAACCATCTCATCCTCTGCCGCTCCCTTCTCCTTTTGCCGTCAATCTTTGCCAGCATCAGGGTCTTTTCCAATGAGTTGGCTCTTTCCATCAGGTGGCCAAAGGATTGGAGCATCGTCTTCAGCCCTTCCAGTGACTGCTTGCTTTTAAAATCTGTTGTTTCATCATTGCCAGTAAGAAGAGGTCTGAATTTTCCCATCCTGCCCTCTCATGTGTTGGAGTGACTTTTATTTCTAGCCACTTACTAGGCAGCTCTAAACCTTTTGCCTGGACTGTCTGTCTTCTTCACTTGTGAAACCATCTGAGAAAATGAGTAAAAGCTCACTTTTTCTCTTCCTTTTTATACTTGACCTCCACCCCTCGCCACCCATGTATGTTTTACTCCTTGTGGTCAGGGACTCTGGTTTGTATTTGTATCCCTAGTGCTCTGATCTGAATTTAAGGTAGCTTTCCTCTTTTACTTAGTGGTGCATAGTACTTCATTTTTCCATTGTGTTTTGGTATGTTGTTTGTTTCTTCTTCCCCAGGTAGGAAGCTGTGGGAGTAGAAAGAATGGAGAGGGGATGTTTTTGGGGGGAGTTTTCAGATTCCTTTGTCTGGCTGCCTGTGCTTAGGCCAGGAAGCATCTAAGGAGTGTATGTTCCTGGAGTTTGGACGACTGCTACAGTTGGTGACAAAGTGCAGTATACCTAGTACTTTGATACCTCATAAAAGTGAAACCAGCCCCATCATCTTCTGATTATTTTTTTTTGGTCCAGATCTTTATAAGACATTAAGTAGTAATTAAATGTACATAGGTTATATTAACTTTTTTTTTCTTTAATAGATAACAAGTTGCTGGAAAAGTCAGATCTTCATTCAGTGCTGGCCCATAAGCTACAAGCCGAAAAGCATGACGTACCAAACAGGCATGAGATAAGGTATTTGGAAACTATCCTCTGTTATTTATGTCCCCTTTTTAATTGAAATTTGTCTCAGTTCAATTGTCACTTCTCTAATTTCGAAGCAAACCAAGTACTGTGTTTGTGCTCCAGTTTTGTTTGGGCCTCCCTTGTCGCTCAGCTGGTAAAGAATCCACCTGCAATGCAGGAGACCCGGGGTTCAATCCCTGGGTTGGAAAGATTCCCTGGAGAAGGGAAAGGCTACCCACTCCAATATTCTGGCCTGGAGAATTCCATCAACTGTATAGTCCATGGGGTCACAAAGAGTCAGAGCGACTTTCAGTTTACAGTTTTTAGGTTTTGTCAGTTCCTTTCAGTTCAAAGCTTCTGAAGCCACATAGCTAAAATCTTTTTTTTTGAAGGCATGTGGGTACTTCCCCACTAAAAGGCTCAGCATCAGTATGATGTGAGCTTGAGAAGCTGCTTCAGATGAGTGGCCAGGCCAGCTTCTCTAGCCAACAAACCTCACTTTTTCTAAATAATAAGGTATAAGCACTCTTGAACAGATTTACATAGATCTTGCTGGTACAGGATTCAAAGGCCTGTAAACATAAGCAGTACAGGTCTGTTTAATCTTTTTTAGTTCAGTGTGTTGCAGCATATTTTAGTATGTGATCACACCAGTGAGTTTCAAAAAGCTTTCTTTTTTTTTTAAAGAAAGACTAGGGGAAAACCTGCATTTTAATAGGAAGGGTAGGTATTGCTTCATTAAACCTGTGAGTGTATGTTCATGCTGGGAGTTTGGTATGTTTACTTGGGTCCTGCATTGTCTCTTTCTGAGGGTCCTAAGCAGCTTAAATGGAATCATTCTAGAGTGTTAACTGAAAGGTTGTTGCTGAACGATAAGACGCCAGGATTCTTGGCCTCCGGAGGAGACGAATTTAATCCGGGGCCAGAGACGAGGCTGGATCGCTAAGAGCTTTTGTGTAATAAAGTTTTATTAAAGTATAAAGGAGATAGAGAAAGCTTCTAACATAGGCATCAGAAGGGGGCAGAAAGAGTACCCCCCCTGCTAGTCTTTAGCTGGATGTTATATAGTCACTCGCAGTCTGTTAATGAAATGGAAGGAATGTCTTAAAATTTAGAATGGCACCAGATAATTCATCCCAGGCCATAAAACAATTGACTTGATTCTTGTAGAAGGTCTGATTACCGCGCAAATAGTTTCATTTACATAGATTAGGGGAACAATATCTGAGTATAACATACTGGTTTGTCAAGTAGGTTGAGCCATTTGGCGGAACCAACTTGAAGATAGAGTCTGGGGTTCATTAACATATCTGAAGACAACATTTCCATAAGAAAAAGTGTATTGGTTAACTCAAGGTTTGAGAGTAGTTAGCTTCAGGTGAAACCAGGTGTCATGGCAACACAGCATTTTAAGAGAAACCTCCTTTTACATTTGTATAGAGAAGAAAAAAAATATCTCTAGTTTCTTCCTACCGCTTAAGAGAGATAAAAATGTCTGGCACTTGCAGCCTATTTCTTCCGTTTGGAGACCCCTGGCCTTCCTGCCTGTTACCCTCTCATTACTGTCTCCCTTTTCCATTTGTTCACCATGTTTGCTCAATAGCTCAGTGGGTGAAGAATCCAGCTGCAGTGTAGGAGACACAGGTTCAAATCCCTGGGTTGGGAAGATCCCCTGAAGGAAGAAATGGCACCCACTTCTTGCCTAAAAAATCCCATGCACAGAGTAGCTTGACGGGCTACAGTCCAAAGGGTTGCAAAGGGTCAGACATGACCATGCATGCATACAACTTACATGGTAACCATACCCATTCTTGCTCTAAAATCTACATGTTTTTTGGTATGTCAGTTACATTTTCCCCATTGTAAAAGCAAAGTTGATGGTAATTTGGGATTTTAGAAGAAAAACAGAAATGCTTGATGTAGCTTATTTCATTTATTCCTGTCGCCATATCTGCTCAGTACCTGCTGTCCATGTTTCCTCGTCGGCGAGATGGTCTCCAGACAGACTGGAGTGGACAGAGGGACAGATGGCCCAGCCTCAGCTGCCTTTCTGCCTGAGCACAGTTCAGGAGAGCGTGCCTAAGCTGTGGCCCTGGGGGGGCCTCCTCAGTATTTAAAATAGTTGCTGTGCTCTGGTCAGCTTAGGTGTAGAGAAGCCACGTGACCGTTTTTCATCTAAATTCAGTCAGCTGAAATCCTGGAACATTTTATTTCTATTTGGTTAGACTCGTCATTTCCAAGGTAATGGAGCTTCAGTGTCAGTCCTTCAAATGGATATTCAGGCTCCAGTACTTGATGCAAAGAGCCGACTCATTGGAAAAGACCCTGATGCTGGGGAAAATTGAAGGCAGGAGAAGAGGGTGGCAGAGGATGACATGGTTGGGTGGCATCATTGACTCAATGAACATAAGTTTGAACAAGGTCCCGGAGATAGTGAACAATAGGGAATCCTATTGTGCTTCAGTCCATGGGATCGAAAAGAGTCGGACGCGACTGAGCGACTAAACAACAATAAGACTCTTGGTGACTAAAGTCCTCCATCCTTTATCTATCAGCCAAACTCATTTGCTTGGAAAGGTACTATAAATAAATATACAACATTCTTTTAACTGAGTATCACTGGGGTGGTTGGGCTTTCCGGATAGCTCAGCTGGTAAAGAATCTGCCTGCAATGCAGGAGACCCTGGTTCGATTCCTGGGTCAGGATGTTCCCCTGGAGAAGAGATAGGCTACCCACTCCAGTATTCTTGTCTGGGAAATCCCATGGACAGAGGAGCCTGGTGGGCTACAGTCCCCGGGGTCACACAGAGTCTGACATGGCTGAGCGATTAAGCACAGCGCTGGGGTGGTAATGTAGATGGAGGTCCTTGCTTTCCTGTAAACTTGTGTTCCTAACCAGGCCTCCTCCTGACTGCCTCATTCCTATCCTTATTTTCCACAAGTCAGCTGCAGTTCCCTTTCTCCCTCAGTGTCCCGACCCTCCCCCTCTGCAGTCACCCGGCCAGTTGATTCTTTGCCCACAGCATCCTCTGCATCTGTCCCTTGGTTTGCACTTGTGTGCCTTCCCCTTCATTGCCTACCTGTGCTTCCATTCCTGGACTGTGGCAGGGGTCTCGTTCAGTGAGACACCATTGTGGGCCAGGCGCTGGGATACGAAAATGAACAAGCCAGAGTCCTTGTTCTCAAGGACCTGAGCCTCATGGGGAAACCAACTCAGAGGTGTGTGCTGGCGCCATGCGCGTGTTCCCAGGAGATGGGATCTGATTGGTTGCTTTCTCTGTTTTCCCGGCTGTCCTTAAGTCCTGCCCTGCCCATCCCATTCTAGTTAATTCTAAAACACACTGTGCTTAAACAGCTTTCTCTCATGATTTTCTGGCTCCCCTCTTCAGTGTTTTAATCCCTTTGCTAACAGAAGAGATTAAAGTTAAACTCTTTCCTGGGAAATAGTTGACTGCAGCCATTTTCTAAGTGTGCTCCCTGGACTGCAGCCTTGGAAATCTGTTAGAAGTGCGGAAAGTTGGGCCTCACCCCAGACCTCCTGCTTCAGAAGCTCTCAGGGTGGGGCCCAGTCGTCTTTATGAGGAAACCTTTAGGTGATCCTGAGACCTCTGACACTTAGCAGCCTTGGCGGCTGCTCAGCCCTTGTGAACCATCTGAAGGTCCCGAGAGCGTTAGAGACGCAGACTGTCAGCACAGGTTATCGGCCCTTTTGTTGGACCTGATGGGTCCATCTGGGATGAGGCCCAAGAATCTCTTAAAACCAGCTGTCTGGATGATCCTTTTCTCTGTCCAGTGGAGCACTGGGCTTTTATAAGAAGTTTGGCTTCTTTGGTGAGTAAAATTGGAAGCAGTGAAAAGGCTGTGAGCAGAGAATAGAGCGCCCTGGGTCCTTGCCTTTGTCTCAGGGATCTTTTCTCTACAGTGCCAGCTTCTTGGAAGAAGGGACTAGTTGATGTTTTGCATATTTCGCTTTGCTTTGCATTAAAATGAGAATCTGATAGCAGTTATTTCTTATCTTCCTAATTCTCATACAGAGTCAGTTACCCAAGCCTGTTGCTTTTATTGCCTCACTTAGGGTGGTTTCTTATAAGGCATGGGTCACTTTCTAGTCTCCAGACTTGGACCTCTTGGGCCAGGATTGAGGAAGCACTGTGTTGCCTCAGAGAACGCAGCATTAGGGTGTCTTAGCACCTGTGTTAAAATGCTTTTAGAGACAGAAGGAACATCATTCTGCTCCCCTTTCCCTCTTTATCTCTTACTAGTCACTGGGAGGAGATGGTTCCCCCATCCTCCCTTCAGGTGGTGGTACCCTAGTTTGCCAGCCGTCTTTCCCCTGGATGGTAGTTTCAGCTGCTCACTATGGTCTGATGGTTTACATCTGTAGCTCCAGCTGAGACTGGTCTCCTGAGTCACCCATCCACAGTCTGGTCACCTACTGCAGGTTCTGAGGTAGTTTGCACACATCTGCAGACTTTCCCAAACTCCATTGGCTCTCAAGGTGGCCTGAACTTAGTCCACGGCTTCACATGTGTTTGTCTGCTGACAGTGTCCCTGTGTCAGCCTCCAGCTTGGACATCTTTACTTGAAGTCAGGCTCTAATAAATGTGCCTTTTCCCACTCGGCGTACCCCCATGGATGTCCGAGGTAACCATGTTCTTCAGCCGCCCCCTGCCTCCGCCTTCTCCCACAGCCCTTCCTCCTGAGGTGGTAATGTCTGCCTTTGATCAGCCACTCAGGCCAAAAGCCTTGAAGTCATCCCCGACTCCTGTCTTTCTGTCGTTCCCCACGGCCAGTTCAGAGGCAAGTCCTGCAGTCTCTCTCCGCAGTGGACCTACCTCGGATCTGACCACGTCTCACCACATCGCCTGCCGCTGCCCTGTCCTGATCTGCACTTCCTCGAGTCCAGACTGTAAAATAACTTGCTAACCGATCTCCCTGTTCTGCCCTTGCCCCCCTGCAGCCTGCTCTGCACCCAGCAGCTATAGCGATCCTTTGACACGTAAGTCATTCCTCTGCTCAACACCCTCAGTGGCTTCCGATCACGCAGAGGAAAAGCCACAGTCCTCAGGGCTCCGGGAGACTCTGCATGGCCTCCCTGCTCCTCCCTTACCCCCTGCACCCCTGCCTTGAGTTGCCTGCCTCCAGCCTCTGTGACGCTTGCTGTTCCCTCCGCTCACACAGCCCTGTCCCCAGGCCCACACGGCTAGTTCTTCACTTCTGTTGTGTCTCCAGTCTTGCGTCACCTCTCGGGCTGCCTTTGGTTACTCCACATGGAACAGGAGCCCTATCATTCTGCTCCCTTCTTTATTTACACTACTAAGTTTTTCTTTACAGCACATCTGACCACCAGCCTCCGTCCATCCTCTCGCTTGTGGTCTGTGCTCTTGGCTGGTTGCAGCGTCATGTGGGCAGAGGTTTGTGTCCCTGCCTTCTGCCCACTCCCAGAGCAGCCCCGGCTCAGAGCTGGCTCTCAAGATACTTGTCGACTGAGGGAACTGCGTTGTCTCCTCCCCGTTCACCTGAACTTCATTCTGGAAGCCATCCTTTATTCCTGGCACGGCTGGTGGTTTGGGTTGTGACTGGTTGGTTGTATCCATGTCTCACGGCTCCTCCTTTCTGCTTCAGGTTTGTAGTGACTCATGACTCCACTGGCCTGGAGAACTGAACTGCTTTATTGGCTGTGCTGTCATCTACAGGCTTCAGATTCCAAAGTTACTGTTCCAGTGTCTGATTGAAGGGGTCTAGGGTCTGATTTTTTCTTTTTCCTTCTTTTTTGCATGTTCTCTTCATCTGCCTGGTTGGGGCATTTAGTCCCGGACATGATGGTTCATGGAATGACAGTCAGCTGCAAGAAATGGCCCAGCTGAGAATTAAACACCAAGAAGAACTGACTGAATTGCACAAGAAACGTGGGGAGGTAAAGAAAGACAGCCTTTCTCCTCTCTCCCTGAGGGTGGGGGCGGTGGGGGGCAGGTACTTCCACTGGCATTTGCAGCCATTCGGGCTACATCCAGCATCGCCAGCTCTCTCTGGGAATGAAGCAACAGGAAAGGTGAGACACCCCCCGCCCCCAACCTCAGCAACCCTTGAGATAACTCCAGGAGGCATGAAAAGTACAAGTGGAGAAAACGTAGAAAGAACCCTACTCCTCAGTCGACTGAAAGTTTACTGATAACCATCATGAAGTGTGAACCCTGCAGTTTCAGAAAAATTCACTGGGACGAAGCGCCTTCTGGGCTCTGTTTACCCTGGATGGTGGTCTAACGGCAGGCTATAAAGGTCTTCAGCTGAGTTGGTGGTTTCATCAGCTAAAGAGTCTGGAGAGGTCGCCGGGGTGGGGGGTAGACAGACGCTCTCAGCAGGAGCCCAGTAGTCAACCTAGAACATCACAGGTCTGTCCCATGCTGCCTGCAGCAGGGGAGGCACACTCTGAGCTCGCGAGCCTCCCTGTCGGCCCTTCTCTCTTCCACACAGCTCATTTCTTCTTCCTGCCGTGGCCCAACCCCACCGGCACCTATTTTTTTTTCTTTAAAATAAGTCACTCTTACTAATTTCCAACTGAGGTCCTAAACTCTCTTGTTAATGATGAACATGTTCTTTACCTCCCAAGTTAGCCCAGTTGGTGATTGACCTGAATAACCAAATGCAGCAGAAGGACAAGGAAATGCAGATGAACGAAGCCAAGTGAGTAGAGACCAGGCCTCCTTCAGGACTGGGCGTGGGCTCACACTTCCTGTTGTACTGTCCTCTTGCGTGTGGGGCCAATAGCCCCCACGCTGGACTCAGCACCAGTTTCATTTCTGTGCAGGCCTAGCACGGGGACCTTTTCTACCCTCTGAGAATGTGAAAGGCAAGGACAGTGCCCTCAGGCCTCTGGGATCCCAGCACACACATACCCCCCTGAGACACACCCCCCTGAGAAGTAAGCTTGGCTCTGGGAAGCGAACACGAGGCAGCCTGAGTTCTCCCCACAGCCACTGCCACCTGTGGGAGCGGCGTCTCCTGTGGTGGGCATGGGAACAGGGTGCGCTTCTGAGCAGGTTATTCTTCATCTGGGAGAAGCCTGCCAGACGAGATAAACAGAGCCTCCAGATCTGGGACCTTTGAGCTGGAGGGGAGCCTGGGTTTCCTCTGGGCCTGTTCTCCGAGTCTGCCGCGAGGGCTCTCTGGAGGCTTAGAATGAAAGGTGGGGGACTAGCTTAGTCTCAGTGAGGGAAAGAGCGGATGGAATGCACGGATCCCTGGCCTCCTGCTGAGCTGCCATCACCACTCTCAGTTCAGCATCAGAATTTCCCTCTTCCTTCCCACCCTGCTTCTTTGAACCTGAACTCTTCATTCACAGTCTGGTGAACTTGGCCCGAGGTGTTGCCTCTGCTAACGGGATTGTCCCTAAACCCCCGGGGCTGGGCTTGGCCAGGTGAGGTGCCCGAGCTGGTGGCTGCGGTCACTGCAGGGCCCAGGCTCACGCAGCTCTCCTTGCTCTTTCAGAATTGCAGAATACCTGCAGACCATCTCTGACCTGGAGACCGAGTGCCAGGAGCTGCGCACTAAGCTTCAGGACCTGGAAAGAGCCAACCAGACCCTGAAGGATGAGTACGACGCCCTGCAGATCACCTTCACCGCCCTAGAGGAGAAGCTGCGGAAGACTTCCGAGGAGAACCAGGAGCTGGTCACGCGGTGGATGGCCGAGAAAGCCCAGGAGGCCAACCGCCTAAACGCGGAGAATGAGAAGGACTCAAGGTGGGAGGTGACCCCGCAGTCAGTGAGTCTCATCGTTGGTGCAGTAGAAGCTAGAAAAGCAGGATACACCTGGCAGCTCTAACCACAGGGAGGGGGCATCAGGAAACACTGCCAGCAGAAGGGGCAGAAGTGGGTGAAAAAGAGACCTGGATTTATGAGAACACTTTTATAGCTGAGCAGAGCATTACCTCCCTGAAGGGCTTTGGCCCATTACTGTATTTGCCAGTGAATTCTTTCCATGTTTCAAGAAGAAAAGCTAATTCTTGAACCTTATAAATTAAACCGGAATTAGAAAAAGATTAAAATCCTTCCCCTCATTTTATAAAATTGCCCCAACTAAAAATTCTGATCTTGCCAGTGTACAGAATGACTGTGGGCCAACGTCACTAGTAATAAGAGTCTAAAAGAATTAGAACATTTGATTTTAAATCCCCACGTCAGTAGTTTAGAATTTGAAAAGATTATCGTAGTTAAAATCTAAAAGAACAAATACATGGAATAGGAAAGAACGTTAATAACGATGAGCCCTAGTCCTACCAAATACTGTATGCAGAAAGATTTTGAAATCTGTGCGGAAACAGAAAGCAAAAGGTAGAAGGAAAAAATGTTACTCCGTTGTTTTGTGATAAGTTCCTAAATAGGAGTATGGGAAGACTTTATAAACATGAAAGGTAATGGTAATAAAAAATGGACTGTATAAAAATCATAGGTTTCTTAACATTGAAGAACACTGTAAAACGACCAATGAGGGTATGCAGCTATAAAATGTGTGTCCTTAGTATAGAGTCTATTAAGAAACAGGTGAGCATTCAGACAGATGGATGTAAAGCATAGATCGTAAAAGAAGTGGACGGGCTCAGTGAATTTGGTTAAAAGGGTTGTTGGTAGGAAGGAAGGTAGGACATTTCTGGTGGGGGGTGGGGGCTGTTTCTTCAGCCCGCTGGAGGGCTCTGGAGATGGTGGGCGCCTGAAAAGTGTTCCTCTTGTTGGAATTCATTGTAAGTGAGTCATGAGACTGACCCACAAATACAATTCCATGACTGTCCGTTATTCACAGAAGTGAAAAGTCAGAAGTGGTATCTACCTTGGGAGGAAAAGAAACTGATATTTTCATACAGTGGGATTTTATGAAGTCATTTAAAAACAGACATACTGAAGTTAATATTAAGAAAAAGTGAACTATCCTTTTCATTTTCTTTCTGTCTCACGTTTAAGTTAAATTGTGTGGCTTATAAGGGCTTCCCTGGTAGCTCAGCTGGTGAAGAATCCGCCTGCAATGCAGGAGACCCCGTGTGATTCCTGGGTCGGGAAGATCCGCTGGAGAAGGGAGAGGCTACCCACTCCAGCGTTCTCGGGCTTCCCTGTGTGGCTTCTATGTGGAGCTCTTAGACAGCTGGGGAGTGGTGAGGACACGGGGGTTCCCTGGAAGTCCATCCGCTGAGGGCGAGAAGCTGCCTGAAGGGGAAGCCGGCGTGCTGTTACGCGGAGGGAGAGTGCTGGCATGTCAGGTGACTTCGTGGTGACGGCGGGGCGTGAGGCACGTGGCACGCCTGCCCCAGCTGCGGCCCCTGAGATGTTTTCCTGGGACTGTGCCCTTGCTCGGGGCGCCTCTGAGTGCCCGCGTGGGGCCTGGGCGGCCTTTTCGTCACGTGACCCAGCTAGCTCCTCCTCCTCGGAAGCCTCCCCCGCCCCCCTTGCCGCCGGTTCCCCAGGTCGGGGGTCCTTCCTCACCTGGCAGCTTCTGTTTACCTGGGTCGCAGGGGGCTGCGTCCCCTGCTCGTCTGGGTGTGTGCCCGCAGGCCGGCACAGTGGCCGCTGTGTGGGACGCCCCTGGGGAGGCCGTCAGCTCTCAGGCTTCCTGTCGGCGTTTCAGATGAAAGCCCGCTGCGGCCGCGTTCTTCTCCCTGTGCCTCAAGCTGTGTGCCTTACCCGCCCCTACCAGGCGGCTGCCTCTCCTATAGCGGAGCATTACACACCCCACCCTGAGACTCTGCTCTTCCCTCAGAGATGGTTTAGAGGTCACCTCTTAATTCCACCTACGAAAAATCTGTTAATTTGTGTTGTTTGTCACTTATTCTGTAAACTAAGACTGACTTTTCATCTTCCAGGTCAGGTATGGGATTAAGAGTGTAAAGCATTTTTTTTAAGCTACAGCCTTGTCCTGTTGCAAATTCTGCTGTGTCACCTGCAGGACCTGCCCTTTTTGAAAGTTCCCACTATGGTAGAAGCATTTTAGAAAAAAAATTTCCAGAATTCTTGACCTGAGCTCAGGAGCAGGGCTGGAGTTGTAGGTTGTGGGGGTCCTTCCACCTCAAAGGCAAAACCACAGATACAAGTGAAATCGCCATGGAAAAGAGAGGGAGGCCAAGGCTTAAAGGTTAAGAAGCTCCTGAATTTAGGGCTTGGGAAGGAAAGCCAAAAATGGTTCTGAGAGCGGGGAGAGAGCGGAAGCAACTGTGGACCATGTGAAACTTCTGCCACAGCCGAGACTTGGGTGTTCAGTCCTAATAAATTGAAGCTGCAATACATTTTGACAGCTGAACAATCTCACTGTACCTCAGTTTCTGTGTCTGTAAAATGGGACTCATAGTATTCACCCTCGAAGCTTGTTATAAGTGTTTAATGAGTTAAAACCTGTAACATAATAAAACCGTGCCAGAGATACATACATTTTTATGATTATCCGTGCTCTTCATCTGTTAGTGTGAGACTGTTTACTGCAGAAAACTAAGTCTCCATCATGACTAACCCTGGATAAACCTGGGGTACGTTTCTGTCCTGAGAGGCCCTGGGTTCCGTGGACAGGCTTCTCTGCTGGTTCATTGCTTTCCCTAATAGCATAATACCTCCTAGGGCTTTGTTCTGAAATCCATTATAATGGGGTCCTTTCTGATGCTACAGGTGTGGGGTTGGGCCTCTGGGTATGTTTGCCCAGGTCAATAGTTACTTGAATATTCAGTGCACTTAAAAAATATTATTAGAGCTAGTAGTTTTTTAAGAGCCAAAACCCCTTGTTTGCTTTAAGTAGGCATAAATAGTGGGGTTTTTTTTTTTTTTTTAAATAGGAGGCGGCAAGCCCGGCTGCAGAAGGAGCTCGCAGAAGCAGCGAAGGAGCCTCTGCCAGTTGAGCAGTGAGTAGAGAACTGCGCATTAAAACTATGCTCTTAGTCATTTGCTTTGCTCTTCTGAAATAGCTTTATAATATTTTGTTTCTGTAAAACCATTTTATAGATTGTAGGAAGAAAAGTTAAAGACTTAGGAGAGAAAATAAAAAACACTCATTACTTTCCAGGAAGTTGTTGGCTTCCAGGAAAGGTGAGTTCTGACAGCCTTGCTGTCTTCCTGTTGACACCCTGACCCATTTTCTGCCTCTAGTCGGAGCTGTTGCAGTGTGATGCTGGGCTCTGGTTGTGTCTCCTGGTCTCTGCTTGGTTTGTGACTTCATGTGGAGTTTGGGCAAACCTTTGAAGCTTGAGTGAAAACTGGGATCTCCTGGAACACAAGGAAATGAATAAAGATAGAGTTTTTCCTAATCTGGAGTCAGGTGGAGGGTCTTCCCTGAGATTTGAGGCTTTGTTTTGAGAGTGGTGGGTATTTTAGTGACTAAATTCCCTTTGCTCTGGTTCAGAATTTGTCCCCCCCCCCCATTGAAATAAATTGTGAAATATAGTATTAGAGTTAAGATCCTCTCTTTTAAAATGTTGGTTGCTTCCTTATAAATGAAGGGGAGTGGTTTCATTTCATCTAAGAGTCATTGGCCAAAGGTCTTGATTTATAAGATAACAAATCTCATACCAAGCCTTTGCTTTAGATGTAGCATGTGTGTGTATCTTCTATCTTCCCACATGGGGAAAGTGAATGTCAGGTATTTTTGCTCAGAGCTGCAAAGTAGATAAATAGTTGATCTAGAAATGAGATTTGGTTCTCCTTAAAAGTAACATCTGATGAAAGCATCTTCTGTCTGCCTGCTATTGGCCAATGTGAACAGGTGAGTAGGTGTAGAAAGGTAAAGCATCCTGCTGCAAACACACAGCAAGTGGCAGGGGCAGGCTGGACACCTCAGGGTGTCTGACTGTAAAGTCCTGTTCTTACTCTCCTGTGCTTCCCTAAAAGTAGAGTTTCCGGGTCAAAGAATGCTTTCATCTTTGAAGGGTTTTGATAAGTTACCAGATGCTGGTATTTTCTCATGGTTCTAGGTCTTTGTGCAGTTTCAAGTACTTGCAACTGTACAGTTCTGCCTTAAACAAACCATTTACGTAGGCTCAGCTCATGTTTATCACTCTTGCCATCTCTGCTGTTCTGTTGTTACCCTTGTGTGAACAGAGATGACTCTTCCCAAACCAGCAGCGAGAGGAGAAGAAAGCCCAGCCTGTTCTTTGTCTTCAGGCCCCAACTTTGTTCTCCTCTCAGCCCTGGCCAAGATGGGGGTCAGTTACATGGGATCCTGGAATCAGTAGCCAAGGAAAATAAATTTACTTGAACTTGGTTTGACTTGCTTGGTAACAGGTTCTGAAGTATAGATTATATTTACATAGTCCAGATAATTAATTATGGGAGAATCTCTTCCAAGTTCCTGTGAATCCAAACATTTGGTAATAAAGTCTCGGGTTATTAGTTTTTATCAGTTTACTTCTCCATGAAGATTGCAACTTGGTAGGAGGTCGTTAAGACCAAACTAATTACTTGCCTTTCCTCCAACCAGGAAAGTGGGGAGGAAGGGGAATTCCAGAGGGGCTTTGCATCTGGTGGGATAAACAGCAGAGGAGCACATTTTTTTTTTTAATATTTATTTGGCCGTGTCAAGTTGCGGCATGCAAGATCTTTGTCCTTTGTTGTGACCTGTGGGATCTTTAGTTGAGGCATGTAAACTCTTAATTGCGACACGTGGAATTAAGTTCCCTGACCAGGGATCAAACCCAGGCCCCTTACATTGGGAGCACAGAGTTTTAGCCACTGGCCCACCAGGGAAGGCCCCAGGAACACATTCTTGTGACTTAGTTCACATGTAATGTGATGAACTCACCAAATGTCAGAAACACCAAGTTTCTGTTGACATAAGCATCAACAGCCAGAGTCAAAGATGAAATGTGTTTAGATTCTGCTTTCCTGTCTTTTATTCTTAAAGTAATACTTAGACCTGGGTTGTTTACATGCCCGTTGATCTCATTGCCCTTTTAGCAGTCCATCTTCTTGTTGCCTTGGACCGTCCCCTTGTCCCGGCGTATTCTTGTACACCGTAGCTGCCCCTAGCTGTCCTCCATGTGTTGCTCAGCCCGCCTCCTGGGAACTGTTTCTTGCTGAGTGCTGCAGTCTGGTGGTTGGTGTGCAGGAGACTTCTGATGAGGAAAATCTTCCCTGCTCCTGGTTATGTGGTTATGGACTTAATAAGCCGCCATTTCAGTGCTTTTCGAGTGGGAGCTGTGTTTGGGCCTGCAGAGAGCCAGAGCCCCCTTCTCGGGTTATTCTCAGCTGGAGCTCTGGACCCGACTTAGACTGTTGCTTTTCCTGTTGCTCTGATGGCCGCTCTTTCTCTCAAGAGAAGCGGAAACTGTCTCTGTCCCAGCCACGTCTCCTGGGCCGTGTGTGGTTAGGAAGTGGTGCTGCCTGTTGGCCTTAGCAGAGCAGGCTCATCACAGAGCTTCTGTTCAGCGGAAGCAAAGACTCGGCCTCTCGCCCTTCTTTCCAGGGATGATGACATTGAAGTCCTCATGGATGAAACCTCTGAGCACCCTGAGGAGACCTCTCCCGTGCGAGCCATCAGCAGAGCGGCCACGTAGGTAGATGGGTTGTGCCAGGAATGGAGCGCTCGGGGGGCACCCTGGCAGCCACCATGGGCAGGACCAGGGAGCAGTGTGGGGACCCCAGCTGGAGCATGCAGCCCCCCTCACTCGACCATGGAGGGTGTGGGCTCCAGAGCGTCCCCATCTTTCTCCATTCGCCCCTCCTTAACTAGGAGGGAGCCATCCCTCAGTGGTGCCTCCTGCCGTGAAGAGAAGCAGAAAGAAGTATAGCAGCTTCCTGAAGGAGGAACCTTGTTAGGCTGGGTGATTGTTTAGAGCATACTGTTTAATTCTTACCAGGGCTCCAGGATTTTTTTTTTTAATTTGCCAAAGCAGGACCAAAAGAATGGGGTTTGTCCTTAACCCTACTAGAAGTTGTTAGGTCAGTTAGACAGTTTATTGGCCAAAGCATCATTTCCAGGGAAGTTAATTTAAGGCTCGGGAATCTTACTTCTTTTGAGGTTTCAAGGCTGGGTGTTCCCTCCTGCCCTCCCTCTGTTTTCTGGTGGTTCAGTCCTGGGAGGGGTTCTCTGCTGGGGTTTGGGAACTCGGGAAACATACTCCCAGGAACTTACTTTTGTAGACTGTTTTTGATTGATTGTTTGGGCAGAATGTTTCTAAGGTTTAAACCTATCCTCCCCTCCTCTTTAGTAAGCGACTCTCGCAGCCTGCTGGAGGCCTTCTGGATTCTATCACTAATATCTTTGGGTAGGTTAGAAAACCTTCACCTTTCCTTGTGTGTATATATATATGTGTATAAATATACCTAAGTACATGTACATGATTTGCTAGTGTTTTTTAAACGTGCACCAGAATCTCAGTGCAGAGTATATGCAGATGCCTTAATTTCAGCTTTTCATTTAGCTTCTTCCTTTTTTCCCTCAACTTCCTCTCTCTTAATCCCGCTGCGTGCTGACCTCTGGCCTTACCCTTTAGTCTGTCCGAGTCTCCCCTTTTGGGACATCACTCTTCCGATGCTGCCAGGTGAAAACGTTATCCTCTCCTAGCCCAGCATGCGAGTGTGGGTCGTTTATAACCACGTTCATCACCGCTTCACTGCCCCAGTCATCACGTGTCCATGTGCCAATAACCAGGACGCTTTGCATGTGCCTAGGCACGCCGTCCGCCCTTTGAGCGGGGCAGATAGGTTGAGCGCTTTGTACAGTTAACTCAAGCTCTGGCCGCTCTTCCTTTTGGCATGTGTTCAGCTCCACCCTGACCACAAGTGTACCCCGAGGATGATGATAACCAGGCATAGGAATCATCTTGAAATAGTCTTGTGAAAATACCCACGAGCCCCCTTGGAGCTTGTGGTCACATTAAGTTGAGGACGTGTCTAGCGGTTTATTTGATGGGGGCAGCGGTTGTTCAGGCTTGCTTTTCAGTGTTGTGTTTCGGAGCCTGTGAGTTAGCGAGAAGGAGAGCAAAGGTAAGTGCTGTCTTTCCAGTTGTCACTGTGTCAGGGGGCTTCCAATTTGGGGGGCTCATTCTGTGGTTTGGAGGGTCTCGAAGGGAAAAGAAGCTACTGATAAGCGGCGTCTTTGAGTCCCTGCTGAGAGGTGGGCAGGCCGTGAGTCCATATAGTCCTAACATTATCCTTTATGTTACTTCTTAGGAGGCGCTCTGTCTCTTCCTTTCCAGTTCCCCAGGATAACGTGGATCCTCATCCCGGTGCTAGTAAAGAAGTGAGGGTGCCGACGACTGCAGTATCTGTCTTTGTAAGTGTGGTTTATCATCCCCAAGCCTCACCAAGCTTCTCGCGGAAACAGAGCCTGACCATTGAAGGATCCTTTCTCCTGCTGCAGCTAAGCTTTCCATTCTGGTTTCATTTACGTGGAGCTTTTACACCTGTTGGCTCTCTGATAGAAAGGGTTGATTATATTTTGATAAGCAAAGCAAGATTGCTTGGTTAAAATAAAGCAAAATCCATTAGTTTTGCTCATCTTCAGAGAACAGAGTTGGTTTCCAGCCCCCCTCTGTGAGATATAGGCCTGGGTGAGAGAAAGGATGGGAGGGGTGAGACAGGAGGACACTGACTCGGGATAGTGAAATGCGAGAGAATAACTCTTGCATTTGGCGTCACTGCTTGGCTCCAGTTAAGAGTTTTTAGTCAACCATCTGTTCTGGAAGGTCGGTCGGGCAGCTCTTGGCTTCATTAATTATGCCCACGTCCGTATGAGTTCTAACCATCAGGAACACCTGGTTGGAAGCAGGAGACAGGCCTAGGCAGAAGCTGCTGTGATGTCACGGCCAACACTGGTGTGAGAAGCTGGGTCCTAGAACTCAAGGTTGATCCAGGTCCCTGCTGGTGTGATTGAGCAGGCATGAGACCTGCCCAGGGAAGCAGAGTCCCTGGCTCCGGGCTCCCAGAGGGGGCGGGGTCAGGGGGGAGAGCAGAGCCCAGTTGGTTGGGCTGATGCTTTGATTGCACAGGGAGAGCTAGCTTTAGGGAGAGAAAGACTTGCTGTTAGAATGGGGTGGAGTTTACAAGGCAGGAGCTTTCAGTTTCAGGCATAAAGGGGAACTTTTAACAGTTACTTCTATACAATGAACTGGCTGACTGAGTGACCACCTTGGTCATTGTAAGGAGAGTCCTGCTCTGGAGGAGGAGGTGGGTGGGGAACCGTTCCAGCCCCTTCCCACTGTGCTCCTGTGATTCTCTAACGGGCCGGGCCCCTCGGAGGTCAGTGATGATTGGTAAAAGGTCTGATTGCACATAAGGTCACAGTCCCCGCCCTGCCCTCAGCTCCCAGCAGCCCATTTTTCCCTCCCATCACATTTGAGTCATGTGTATGGGCTAATGGAGCAGCTGATAGCATGGGATTCTGTCAGTGCGTGTGTCTGAAGAGTCGACAGTGCACAGCTGACCAGTATCCAACAAAACCAGCCACGCTGGAGCTTGATGAGCGGCAGCCATGGGTGTGATGGTGCATGATCTCAAGTTTTCAATCTGAGACCTCCAAGGTGGAAAGGGAGCACTGGAAAGAAAACAAATTGTATGGAGGTGGAAAGTTGGACCGCCTGTCAGATGGCTTTTCAGCACTGGGACTCGAGAGGATGGCGAGAAGGCAAAGCAATCATAAGTGCTGTTTATATTCCAGTCAGCTTTATGAGTCACTTTCTCAGCAGTTGAGGTACCTTTTTCAGTCCCAAGCAAAGGCAAAGATGAGATTTTATATTCCTAAAGGGACCTTTTTAGGCAAGTGAGTGACCTTTTTAGTGATTTAATATTTATAATCCATGTGTTGCAGCCTTCACCTCCCCCAGCCTTTTTATTATGAAAATTTTCAAATGTAAGCAGAAATAGGGATTAAAAACTGCTGTTGGGCAGCTTCAGTTAGTCACATTAGCCAGTCTTACGACCTCACACATACACAAAGTTTTGCTGGAGCAATTTAAAGCAGATCTCATAGTGATTTTACTCATGGATATTTTGAAATCCATGGTCTTTTCAGAGAGGAGATGATAGTGACGAACACTATTCTCGCACCCCATTCTAGGCTGGGGAGCTTCCTGTCTGGTTTCCCTTCTCAGCTTGAACACAGATGCCGTCTTTTCAGACGTGTCCAATGTGGATGCCAGTCTCAAGACATTTCTCTGTGAAGAATTAAGTTCTCCCAAAATAACACCTGTTCCTTTTATTGAAAGGCTTCGTCATGGTCAGACGCGATCCAAGCTTACAGGACTTGCAGAAGTCCTTATTTTTATAGATGAGCAAAGTGAAGCTTCAGAAAGTTAAGAAACCTGGCAGAGGTCCAGCTGCTGGTAACAGTGAATATTAGTGCCATGTTGTCTCCAGAACGAACTCCTGGAGTCCTCTCCAGCACTGACTTGTGGTAGGACCGGCAGCTGCTCTTGTTAGGACTCTCCGTATTAGGGTATACCCTCACTGGGACAATCAAAATGAAAGGCTTTTTTAAAAAAGGATTTTTTTCACTAATTTGATACATAGTTTAATACGTGTTTTAATGCAGTCTGGACCAGAAGAGAAGCAGTTAACCACAGATTTACTTTTAAGCTGTGAAGATCATAGTATAGATGGACATTACATTATTCTTAGAAGAAATAAAATTAACTCAAAGACAAACTTTAGGCAGTTAGTCTCTACAGTTTTTGAATGTTTTTTAAGAATATTGCACAGTATTTAAATAAATGGAAAAAAAAACTGTAAGAGTTTAATGACAATAGAATCTTTGGAGACTGTGGGCCAGGAACCCGACTTTTTGACCAGTGTTTAACGTCTGGGTAAGCGTCCGGAGCATTGATCTGTCTTGGCCCCCTTCTCGGGAGTGGCAGTTACCCCAGTTTGAAGCTGGGCGTCTGTCTTGCAGGACGCGCATGACGGGGAGGTCAACGCTGTGCAGTTCAGCCCGGGCTCCCGGCTCCTGGCCACGGGAGGCATGGATCGCAGGGTGAAGCTCTGGGAGGTGTTCGGAGGTGAGGTCTCTCCAGAGTGAGAAACAAAGAAGCGTGCTGGTGATGTCTGGTTGGCAGTCTGAATTGCTCATCTTCTTGAAATGTGCAGTATTTTGTGTGAGGAATCATCTGACCAAAGCATTGTTACTCCCAGTTACCCTTTACAGCTGACACAGCCGAGTCTGTGTTTGCTCTGGGTTTCCACGTAGTGATGAGAGAATGCTACTAAATTCCAGATACTTTAGCGTTCGTGTTTTCTCAAGTGTATACCAGTCAGAGCATCTTCTAAGATAGGGCAGGTTTTAGGTTTGAAATAAAAAAGTCTTAGTCATGGACTAGTAAAATTGCACATAAAAATTAGTAGTAAAATTACACATCAAGCTGTGTATTTAATAATGCCAATGGCCATCACCTAGGGAAAAAAAGACATTGTATCTAACCTTGAGACTAAAGAGACGAGTATGGGACTTCCCTCGTTGTCCAGTGGTTAAAGATCTGGCCAGTGCAGGTGACATAGGTTTTGTCCTTGGTCCAGGAAGATCCCCCAGGCCGAGAAGCAGCTAAGCCTGTGGATTGCAACTACTGGGCCTGCCCACCCTCAAGCCCATGCTCCACAGCTGGAGACAGCCCGAGCACTGCAGCGAAGACCCAGCATAGCCATTAATTAGTTTAAAAGGAGGGTGTATCATCTTCTTGTTCAGTGGCTAAGTTGTGTCCGACTGTTCGCGACCCCATGGATTGCAGCACACCAGGCTCCTCTGTCCTTCACTGTCTCCGATTTTGCTCAAATTCACGTCTCAGTTGGAGTCGGTGATGGCATCCAACTGTTGCATCCTCTGCCGTCCTTTCTTCTTTTGCCTCCATCGGTGGTGGTTTAGTCACTAAGTTGTGTCCAACTTTTGCGACCCCATGGACTGTAGTCTGCCAGGCTCCTCTGTCCATGGATTCTCCAGGTGAGAAAACTGGAGTGGGTTGCCATTTCCTTCTCCAGCCTTCATCAGGGACTTTTCCAAATGAGCAGGCTCTTTGCATCAAGTGGTCAAAGTATTGAAGCTTCAGCATCAGTCCTCCCAGTGAGTATTCAGGGTTAATTTCCTTTAGGATGGACTGGTTTGGTCTCCTTGCAGTCCAAGGGACTCTCAGGAGTCTCTTCCAACACCACAATTCGAAAGCATCAATTCTTCAGTGCTCAGCCTTCTTTCTGGTCCAGCTCTCACATCGTACATGACTACTGGAAAAACCATAGTTTAGAGCAGACAGACCTTTGTCAGCAAAGTGATGTCTCTGCTTTTTAATGTGCTGTCTAGGTTTGTCATAGTTTTCCTTCCAAGGAGCAAGTGTCTTTTAATTTCTTGACTGCAGTCTCCATCCACAGTGATTTTGGAACCCAAAAAAAATAAAATCTGTCACTTTCCACTTTTCCCCCCTTCTGTTTGCCATGAAGTGATGGAACTAGATGCCATGATCTTAGTTTTCTGAATGTTGATTTTTAAGCCAGGTTTTTCACTCTTCTTTTTCACCTCATCAAGAGGCTCTTGTTCCTCTTCACCTTCTGCCATTTGAGTGGTGTCATCTGCATATCTGTGGTGGTTTATATTTCTCTCGGCAATCTTGATTTCAGCTTATGATTCATCCGGCCTGGCATTTTGCTTGATGTACTTACTCTGCATAGAAGTTAAATAAGAAAAGTGACAATATACAGCCTTGAATTACTCCTTTCCCAGTTTTGAACCAGTTAGTTGTTCAATGTCTGGTTCTAACTATTGCTTCTTAGCCTGCATAAAGATTTCTCAGGAGGCAGGTAAGTATTCCTATCTCTTTGGAGGTCTTTAGTAGTCTGGTATTCCCATCTCTTTAGAATTTTCCACAATTTTTTGTGATCCACACAAAGACTTTCACATAGTCAATGAAGCAGAAGTAGACGTTTTTCTGGAATTTCTTTGCTTTCTCTAGGGTCCAATGAATGTTGTCAATTTGATCTCTGGTTCCTCTGCCTTTTCTAAATCCAGCTTGTACATCTGGAAATTCTTGGTTCACATACTGCTAAAACCTAGTTTGAAGAATTTTGAGCATTACCTTGCTAACATGTCTGGTAGTTTGAACAGTCTTTGGCATTGTCCTTCTTTGGGATTGGAATGAAAACTGGCCTTTTCCAATCCTGTGGCCACTGCTGAGTTTTCCACATTTCCTGACATAGTAAGTGCAGCTCTTTAGTAGCATCACCTTTTAGGATTTGAAATAGCTCAGCTGGAATTCCATCACCTCCACTATTTTTGTTTGTAGTGATGCTTCGTAAGGTCCACTTGACTTCACACTCCAGGATGTCTGGCTCTAGGTGAGTGACCACACCATCATGGTTTGGTCATTAAGACCTTTTTTGTATTCTTGGCACCTCTTCTTAATCTCTTCTGCTTCTGTTAGGTCCTTACTGTTTCTGTCCTTTATCGTGCCCATCCTCAGACGAAATGTTCTCTTGATGTCTCCAGTTTTCTTGAAAAGATCTCTAGTCTCTCATTCTGTGGTTTTCCTTTATTTCTTTGCAGTGTTCACTTAAGAAGGCCTTATGTGTCCTTGCTATTCTCTGGAACTTTGCATTCATTTGGGTATATCTTTCCTTTTCTCCTTTGCCTTTTGCTTCTCTTTTCTCAGCTATTTGTAAGGCCTCCTCAGACAACCACTGTGCCTTCTTGCGTTTCTTTTTCTTTGAGATGATTTTGGTCACTGCCTCCTGTAGAGTGTTAGAAACCTCCGTCCATAGTTCTTCAGGCACTCTGTCTACCAGACCTAATGCCTTGAATCTATTCATCACCTCCACTGTAAATTCATGAGGAATTTGATTTAGGTCATATCTGAACGACCTAGTGGTTTTTCCTACTTTCTTCAATTTAAGCCTGAATTTTGCAATGAGGAGTTCATGATCTGAGTGACAGTCAGTTCCAGGTCTTGCTTTGTTGACTGTATAGAGATTCTCTCTCTTTGGCTGCAAAGAATATAATCAATCTGATTTCAGTGTTGACCATCTGGTGATGTCCATGTGTAGAGTCTTCTCTTGTGTTGTTGGAAGAGGGTGTTTGCCATGACCAGTATGTTCTCTTGGCAAAACTCTTATTAGCCTTTGCCCTGCTTCATTTTTTACTCCAAGGCCATCTTGCCTGTTACTCCATGTATCCTCTTGACTTCCTTCTTTTGCATTCTATTCCCCTATGATGAATATCTCTGTTTGGTGTTAGTTCTAGAAGATCTTGGAGGTCTTTGTAGAACTGTTCAATTTCAGGTTCTTTGGCATTACGGTGGAAGATAGACTTGGATTACTGTGATACTGAATGGTTTGTCTTGGAAATGAGCTGAGTTCATTTTGTTGATTTTGAGATTGCACCCAAGTACTGCATTTCGGACTCTTGTTGACTGTCAGGCTATTGCATTTCTTCTAAGAGATTCTTGCCCACAGAAGTAGATATAATGGTCATCTGAATTAAATTCACCCATTCCCGTCCTTTTTAGTTCACTGATTCATAAGAATGTTGATGTTTACTCTTGCTATCTCCTGCTTGACCACGTCCAATTCACCTTGACTCATTGACCTGACATTCCAGGTTCCTATACAATAATGTTCTTTAGAACATAGGACTTTACTTTCACCACCAGACCCATCCAAAACTGAGCATCATTTCCACTTTGGCCCAGCCATTTCATTCTTTCTGGAGCTATTGGTAATTGTCCTCTACTCTTGCACAGTAGCAAATTGGAGACCTTCCTACCTGGGGGGCTTGTTCTTCCAAGATCAAGACTGAGTCTCTTTGATTACGTTTTGTTTTAGGAGTGACTTCGGAGTACTCAAAATGGGATGGCATTGAAACAAGAAAGGGGAGTTAGTGAAACCTTCTCCCATATGTCTGAGCTTAGGCATAGCCCACTTTCCACATTTTGATACTTGGTTAAATATACATGTGCTTTTAACAAGACAAGGTCAAAGGACAGGCTGAAGGATTCTGTAGGAACCACTTTGTCAGGTCTCCTTAGTTGGAGCACATGTGTGCTCACTGTCCAATAAGAGGTAGCACTGTCATGCCTTTTGTCTGTTTTATTTCCTCTGAGCCTCACTGTAGCCCTTTGCTGTTAGACAGGTGGGTATCACCCCTGTTTGAGAGATGAAAACTCAGAGACGCTTCTTGATCCATGTGGGTGCTTTATGTGGGCAGAGTGGTGAGCTAGGACCTGAGCTTGGGTGAATTGCTGAAATTTAATAATAAAATGATAAGAATAGAGATTTGGTGACTTAAAAAATATCTACACAGATAGTCTATTTTGATTATACCTTGCAAATAAATACAAATAGCTCTAGAAATACTTTCGTTTTACTCCTTGGTCAGTAAAAATACCTGTAAGAAAGTTAGAGATCCAGCCACTAGTAGAAGTATTAGCTTTTTGCTGTCGAAGAGGAAGGAACACTAATCAGAATTAATACTGACATAATTTGTGCCAGAGCATAAGCTGTGTTAGTAAAATGAAAAATTTCTACTAAATCTACAGAAATAACATAGAACATCTGGCAGCATTTTTTTTTATAGTTTTCAGGAACAAATATTAGTCATGTTCTAACTAATTATAGGATTTTTCCTCCACAGATGGCTTACTTGGTGTATAATTCCCCACCCCCACCCCACCCCACGGCCAATATTTACTGAATCTTGAAAGAGACCAAGTCCAAAAGGCCTTTCATGAAACAGGAGGATCTTTGGTCTTTTGAGCTCCGTCTCTTGTGCAGACTGGCACTCAGTGATCATTGCTGAGGTTTTGGCACTTTGTCACCTGCCAGACAGAGCAGTGTTTTAGGCATGAGCCACAGAGAGAAGGAAATGGCAACTCACTCCAGTGCTCTTGCCTGGAGAATCCCAGGGATGGGGTCGCACAGCGTCGGACACGACTAAAGTGACTTAGCACAGAGATATTTTTTAGAATTTGCCATAGTATTTTTGTCTGTATAAAGATATAATCTAAATAAAGTCCTTAATTAGTAGGTGTTGACCTTTTTTAGACTCTTGAAAATCTTTTGAAAGCTAGGATCCAGGGAAAGGCATTAAATTGTGCTGTATTTTGCAAATTAATTCAGGGATTTACTCACCAACTTAATAGTCCTGGCCATAAATGTATTTGACAGCTCCAAATCCATATTTATGTCATTTTTATTAGCATTCAGAAGTCCTGAAAGAAAAGGCTGTCCATTGAAATGTATACTATTCTGTGCTGCTGTCTTATGAATTTGATTTGAATGGTTCCCTAACTATATCCCTAGCTTGTCTATCTAGGTTATCCTTAAGATACCCTTTAAAGAAGGAGTTTAATCACAGCATCATGGAGATTTATCCTTTTATCTGTAAAGTTGCCCTCAGGGTGGCCATAGTCTGCAAGCAGAGTCCAGGGGTGAGTGGCCAGGCCTGTCGGTGAGAGCCTGGGGGTAAGGTGGGCTTCAGGGGAGCGCTGGCAGGTGACTGGTTCACCAGAACCTTAGGTTCACATAGGTAGAGTGAACAAATAAATCCAGAAACACCAGACTAGCTTTACTGGAAATCTAATGACTAGCCAGCTTATATAACTATAAGTAAAACTTTCTTTTCGTACTTGGGTTCTGAAATTTTAACGGTCAGCTTCTATGAAAGTGATAGTTAAGTTGACAAAGATGTGTTTGTGTAAGTTAAATAACTAAATAAACTGTAGGTCAGTTGACATGTTTTTAAATTCCTGCACTTCTGTAAAAGGAATTGATGAAATTGATGACACTAAATTTCTTAAAAAGAGCCGTGTAGGAGCCAACTGGAAAATGCTGGGCTCTGCACCCTCTTGTGCATTCATTGCTTTGCGAACTGGTCAGCTGAAAATTTTGGTCTCATTATGCTGTTTGTCCTACTACTTGGTTCTGTAAAGATGCGGGGAAGTTTTTGACCATGTAATTAGCTTCCATTGTGTTTCAAGTGCCTCATTTTAATTGGTATGTTGGCATCTTTGTTTTTATGCAGACAAATGTGAGCTCAAGGGCTCCCTGTCTGGCAGTAATGCAGGAATTACAAGCATTGAATTTGATAGTGCCGTAAGTACCTAATATCCATGGAAATGGGTGAGTTGAGAGGTATTTAGAAACCATTTTCGACCTCTGGTTCTTGAAATTTAAAAATAACCTACCTGGCTTCTCTGCTGTTTTCTATCTTAATGTTAGAAAAGGATGCCAATAGGTTAAGTCAGTGCTGATCTCGAGTAGGTTGAAGATGGGTAGGGAAGATAGGTCTGTGGGAACCCAGTTAGTCAGCATCTCGCCAGACTTGATAAAGGCTCTGGTTTGGGCCGAGTCAGTGCAGGTGGAAAGGAGAGGGTCTACAGCTGGGGGACAGCTGGGAGGCGAGGCTGGGGAGTTGGCGCCTCTGGGCTCGTGGACTTGGGCGGGTGTAGAGAATTAGTACTTGCACTTACCAAAGTGGGGTGGAAGTGAGCAAAGGAGGATGAGTTCCATTTTGAGCTGGAGGTGTAATATCTACAGCCTTCAGGCAAGGTTGAGCAGGCTCAGGTGAGAGGTCTGAAGTTAAAGGGGGTTGATAAGTTAACAGAATTCTGGTTATAACGGTATTCCGATCAGGTATATGGTTTTAGTCATCTAAACATTCTTGGGTTTGATATGAGGAAATTTGTATCATGTGAACTGAAGCTCTCTGTTTTTCCTTCTCCCTTGCTTTCCTGTAGGGATCTTACCTCTTAGCAGCTTCAAATGATTTTGCAAGCCGCATCTGGACCGTGGATGACTACCGGTTACGGGTAAGACCCAGTTAAGAAAGAAAGTTAGTACAGCCTCCAGACTTCCTGTGGTTGGGTATCAGTCACAATATGTAGGAAATGGCAGGGTGATTTGTTAGGAGACTTGTATGTTGTCCTGCAGATCAGACTTGATTCCCCCTGCCCTTTCCTCCTCAGGAAAATTGATGTTTCCACTTCACGTTCTTTGTCCAATATCCAGCTCTGAAATATTTGCCATAGGAAACCATCACATTTCCATGAAAGACTTCGGATACTCCTGTTCATAAGAGCTAAGGTTTTTAGGTAGGTGTCAGTCTTAGCTTAACTTCAGCTATTTTAGCACCAGCGTGTAAGCTGTGTTTCTTAAGGACCCCAAGACTTAATCACCTCACAGAGTAGAGCTGGAAAGTAGGCTATGGAGAAGTTCTTGTGGGTTATGATGGAGATAAAACACCTCACACAAAGCCAGGAGACAGGTGTATGGGAAAGTAAGAACCGTGGGTTCAGATGTTGAAGAAATCTGCAGTCTAAACCCACACTCTCCAAGAAGTCTCTTGGATTCTATACAAAGACAGAAATTTGATGGTTATATCACTTTTGTTCTAGTTAGAAGACATAGATTAATTTAAAGACACATTTTTCTCATTAAGCTTGAAGCAGCCTTCACATGAGCTTATTAAATGAAGGCTACTGAAAGATGAGGTGGAAGATTTACTTGACACTGATAGGCATTTACCCCCAGAAAACACTTGATAGAAACCTGTGCGTCAACTCACATGACAAGCAGAATGTGTGATGTGAAGATGAACTTCCTAGAGATAATCTACAGGGAGTTGGGGGGCTGCGATACAGTGGTCTGGGAGGTCGTTACCAATGGCCTGAGGCTGTGGTGCAGGGACGGAGCCAGAAGAATGACTAGAAACCCACTGCTCACTCACCACCGGGCTTTCCATTTCCTTCAAGGAACTGTATGGAAAATAGCCAGTGTTAGGTGCTAGCTGGGAAGATCCCCTGGAGGAGGGCATGGCAATCCACTCCAGTATTCTTGCCTGGAGAATCCGCATGGACAGAGGAGCCTGGCGGGCTACAGTCCATGGGGTTGCACGGAATCAGACATGACCGAGCAACTAAAACACGGCACAGCAAGGTGCTAGCTCACACACAAAGGGTTGTAATTCCTGATTCTTAGCTGAAAGACGATCCAAGTGCAAAGCATAAGACGTGAGGATGACAGAGACGGCTATCAAATGACAGCTGAAGGGCCTGTTTCATGTTCTTGGAGGAACAGGGAGGTGGACTGCTGGATGCTTGTGGGCAGGGCTGGATGCCTCTCAAGTCCCAGTTCACATCTGTTCCCATGCTCGGATGAGTTTTCAGTTGAGGCCCGATGGTCCTGCATCCTCAGCTGGGAAAGGTGGTCTAGCCTGTTCTGGTAGTATCACAGTCCGCCCTGGGGCATGCCTTCTCTAGGTAACCATCAGTTACTCGGTGGAAATTTGTAGTGGGGTTGGATTACTCTTGCAGACCTTAAAACAGACCCAGTAGTCGAGTGTGTTATGTATATTGTTCATTTGCCCAGTCGTGTCCAACTCTTTGCAACCCCATGGACTATAGCACTCCAGGCCTCCCTGTCCCTCACCACCTCCCAGAATTTGCCCAAGTTCATGTTCATTTGGTCGGTGATCTGTCCAGCCATCTCATCCTCTGATGTCCTCGTCTCTTTCTGCCCTCAGTCTTTCCCAGCATCAGAGACTTTTCCAGTGAGTCATTTGTTCGCATCTGATGACCAAAATAGTGGAGCTTCAGCTTCAGCATCAGTCCTTCCAGTGAATCAGGGTTGATCTCCCTTAAGATTGACTGGTTTGATCTCCTTGCTGTCCAAGGGACTCTCAGGAGTCTCCTCCAGCACCGCAGTTAGAAGGCATCAGTTCTTTAGTGTTCTGCCTTCTTTAGGGTCCAGCTGTCACAACCGTATGTGACCACTGGGAAGACCAAAGCCTTGACTATACAGACCTTTATCGACAGTAGTATCTCTGCTTTTCAGCACATTGTCTAGGTTTGTCATCGCTTTCCTGCCAAGAGGCAGTCTTCTGATTTCATGGCTGCAGTCACAGTCCTCAGTGATTTTGGAGCCTAAGAAGAGGAAATCTATCACTACCTTTTCCCCTTCTGTTTGTCATGTAGTAATGGGACTGGATGCGATGATCTTAGTTTTTTTAATATTTAGTCTTAAGCCGGCTCTTTCACTTTCCTCCTTCACCCTGATCAAGAGGCTCTTTAGTTCCTCTTTGCTTTCTGCCATTAGAGTGCTATCATCTGCATATCTGAGTTTGATGTTTTTCCCACGTGCGTTGATTCCGGCTTGTAACTCATCCAGCCCAGCATTTCTCATAATGTGCTCAGCATATAGGTTAAACAAACAGGGTGACAGCAGACAGCCCTGTCCTACTCCTTTCTCAATCTTGAACCAATCAGTTGTTCCATATAGGGTTCTAACAGTAGCTTCTTGACCCACATACGGGTTTCTCAGGAGACAGGTAAGATGGTCTGGTATTCCCATCTCTCTTAAGAGCTGTCTGTAGTTTGTCATGATCTACATAGTCAAAGGCTTTAGTGTAGTCAGTGAAACAGATAGATGTTTTTCTGAAATTTCCTTGCTGTCTGTATAATTTAGCGAATGTTGATGATTTAATCTGTAGTTCCTGTTCCTTTTCTGAACCTAGCTTGGACGTCTGGCTGAAGCCTAGCGTGCAAGATTTTAAGTATGACCTTGCTAGCGTGGGAGGTGAGTGCAGTTGTCCGATGGTTAGCACATTCTTTGGTACTACCCTTCTTGGGAATTGGGTTGAGGATTGACCTTCTCCAGGCCTGTGGCCACTGCTGGGTCTTCAAGATTTGTTGACATAATGAGTGCAAAATCTTGATGGCATCATCCTTTAGGGATTTAAATAATTCTGCTAGAATTTCATTGCATCCACTAGCTGTATTATGTTATATACGTTACTGCTTTTAATTCTCAGGAATCCAGGGGAGGTAGGTAGATGGGAAAACCAAGGCTTAGCTAAGCCCGCAGAATTGCCTGGGGTCACGCGCTGAACAGATGAAAAGATGAGACTTGGGACTGAGGCCTGTGCTGTTTCCTGTGTTCCATTGGCCTGAATCATTTTCAACTGAGATACAGCAAAACTGTCAAAAGAGTGCAAAGGGACATACAGCCTTCCTTACATTTTAGGCCCTTAGATGAGTGAAGCAAGGAGTTGGTGCGGGATGGTATTTGTACCTGGTAGAAGAGTTCTGAACAGGTAGGTGTCAGCTTTGGGGTCTGAAATTCGGAGGAGACCTGGAGGTAGAGTGAGCTGGTTTGCAGAGGTGGGCGAGTCTCGCTGGAGGAGCTGCTGGAGCCCCAAGCTGGGTGCTGACGAGCTGGGGGCTGGTGCCAGGGCTTGTAGCCTCCTGTGTTGGACCAGGGCTCACAGCCGTGCCCTCTCACTTGGTAAATGTGTGAAGGCGGTCAGAAGGCCTTTTTAGCAGGTTTGCATACCCACCGAAACCACATGAAACCCTTCCCAGGGCCCAGGAAGTGAGTAGGCTCCCTGCCCAGGAGGCTCTGGCTGCTATATTTTGCAGAGGATGTTAGCAGGCTTGAATGGGCATCTGTGTTCTGAAACATGAGATGCAAGCCCTGGTCAGTGTCTCCTCAGCTCGTATGCTGAGGGGGCGGTGTCGGGTGAGACCAGAAGGCCAGAGCGGCTGGTCAAGTGCTTGCTTTAAAATTCTTTCGGGAAAGGTGTCCTAGAAACAGCCTGGTGCTGAAAGGGGTCCGTTCCAGAAGACGCCTTTCAAGGTAGGGTGTTTTCAACTCTGCCTAAACAATCTTACAGTGGGGTCACTCAGTCGTGTGCGACTCTTTGCAACCCTGTGAACTGTGGCCCGCCAGGCTCCTCTGTCCACGGGAGTTCTCCAGGCAAGAACACTGGAGTGGGTTGCCATTTCCTACTCCAGGGGATCTTCCCGACCCAGGGATCAAACCCGGGTCTCCCACATTACAGGCAAACACTTTACCATCTGAGCCACCAGGAAAGCCAGAAAAAAAACCCTCAAAAGATGAATGTAAAACTGAGGAACTGGGTTGAAGAACCTGCCCTGCCGACCTCTCTAATGCTGATGTGGACAAGGGGCTTCAGTGTGGCCTGGCTCTCAGATGATGGTTTTTATTTCAGAAACCTCCTCATCAAGGTCTGCGTTTCTCTGAGGTCACCTGTCTTGGTTGCGTTGATGGTTACTGCCTGCATGGTGGGCGGCCCTGCCCGTGCAGAGCCCGAGGGCAGAGAGCGCTCCGCTGGGAGACTCAGGCTGCTCTGACTTGAGAGCATGCTCTGACTTCATGTTGGCTCTGAAAGAGGAAGATAAAACCTTGAAGTAGTGTTAGAAGTTAAATGTTACCTTTTTTGGAGGGTTGGGGAGGGCTGTTCGGGTCTTCATTGCTTTGCTCGAGCTTTCTCCAGTTGCAGGGAGCAAAGGCTGTCTTCCTTGTGGTGTGTGGGCTTCTCTTTGTGATGACTTCTTTTGTTGCAGAGCATAGGCCCTAGGGTGTGTGGGCTCAGTAGTTGCCACTCACAGGCTGTAGGGTGTGCGGCTCAGTAGTTGGGGCGCACAGACTTAGTTGTTCTGCAGCATGTGGAATCTTCCCAGACTGAGAATCAAACCCACGTCCCCTGCATTGGCTGGTGGATTCTTATCCACTGTGCTACCAGGGAAGTTCCAAAAGTTAAATGTTAGATATTAATAAGTATCAAAAATACTGAATGGGTAAAAGAACTTGAAATAAATCTGATCCACTTAAAATAACTTAAAAATCAATTTTTAAGTGAATCAGTTCAGTCACTCAGTTGTGTCTGACTCTTTGTGACCCCATGGACTTCAGCAGGCCAGGCTTCCTGTCCATCACCACTACCAGAGTTTACTCAGACTCATGTCCATTGAGTCGGTGATGCCATCCAACCATCTCATCCTCTCTTGTCCCCTTCTCCTGCCTTCAGTCTTTCCCAGCATCAAGGTCTTTTCAAATGAGTCAGCTCTTCGCATCAGGAGTTTCAACTTCAACATCAGTCCTTCCAATGAGTATTCAGGACTGATTTTCTTTAGGATGGACTGGTTGGATCTCCTTGCAGGAGCTAAATTTCATACCATTGAGAGCATGGAGATGGAATTAGCCAGCTTCATTCAGGTTTTGTCCAACTGGACAAGAAGAAGATAAACAGAAATCCAGAGTTTTTAGAAGTGACACATGTGAAGAGCTAGGAAATAAGTCACAAGGAAGCCTTATACTCATAGATATTCATTGCAGTATAATTTCTGATTGTGAAACTTTTAAAGGGATCTAGGTGTCTGCTGGCCAAGGAAGTTTCAATTAGATTATAATCTCATTACTTGAAGCCTGTTTAACTATTATAGACTTTGCCTATATTAATTACATTACAAAAACTCTAGAGGGTCAACTGTGTGCCATGTGCATGGGTCACCCTTCTAAGCAGCATGAGGAAAAGATTAGTCTTTTACAGACTTAGAGACCCAGGGTATTCTGGCCAAACATTGAGACCCTCAAACTGTATATTTTCAGCTGTCACATGGAAAATTGCTTGTGCCGTGAAATAAAAAGTGGATTCCAGGGTATGCAGTTTTGAATGCAGTGGGTTACAAAACTAACACAACATTGTAAAACAGTTATACTCCAACTGGGGGGAAAAATGTACAGAAAGAAACAAAAATGTAGTGGATAAATCTGTAGGGATATTTCCATATTAACATGCAGTTAGGGTCAGCAGAGTGAGTGCATTGGCATTGCCCACTTAACGAGCAATGTTTTTTCCTCCTGGTGTGTGTGATACGCGATTGTAATTTTTTGGTGAAAATAGTTTTCTACCAATAGCTTACATAGCATGAGAAGTGCCTGCACGAGCTTTTGGTCTCTCCCCAGTGTTTGTGCAGATTAGATGACTTCTGCTGGGCATTTTTCAGTAGAACAGGTTAAACATACTGCATTTAACATGAGCTTTGTTGCTGGAGCTTGCTTGATCTTTTCAGAAGGATCAGTAGGGGGTTGTCACATAGCCTCGGTAGGGGGTTGTCACATAGCCTCGGCACGGCTGCCACCTGGCTGGCCATGATTGTAGGATGCTGTTCCAGCTTCAGAGAGGTTTAAACATGAGAGGAAGGAGTCTTGGAGTCTGGGCAGACTTCCCTTTCTAAGAGGGGAAGTACATGCGGCCCTGAGCTTTCTGTTCCTGTGATAATGTGGAGTTGTTCTACTGGGCAGAGAGGGAAGATTGGTTTCTAAAATGTTAATTCTCAACTTTGAGATCTCAGCTCAGGGATTTGGAGTGAAACCCAGGAAGGTAGCAGTTATAGTAAATATATTAGGGTCTTTTAGAAGCTGCTTTTTAGGGTGGTGAGGATGGTATTCCCTGGCGAACTGGTGGTTACTATGCCATACTTTTCATTGCCAAGGGCCCAGGTTCAGTTCCTGGTTGGGGAACTAAAATCCATCATCCCACAAGCCTTGAAACAACAACAACCGAAAAAAAAGCCCCTTAAAAAAAAATTATAAAAAACACTGGTGAATATCTGAATGCCCTCTGAGCCTCTGAGATTTCCACATAAATATGTTGATCCATGTTGAGAAATAGGAAAGACTTGGCTGACTCCCCAAATCCTTTCCTGGCATCCCTGCCACCCCCAGCCGGCTCTCCCCTTGGGCTCCAGTAGTGCAGTGATGGGCAGAGGGCAGCGACCCTCTGTTACAACCCAGTGCTGCATTCCTTGGCCTCCCGGGGAGACGCCATGGCTGGCATCCGACAGCTGGTCACAAAAAGATGTGATTGTTGGGAATGCTGGACTCTGGCTGTGGTCTGACGTTTCAAGCTGAGACCTCTGATTGAAAAACGCCTGGAAGTCTTAATTGTTTATTTAAAGAGTCCTGATGTTTCCTTTTATAAATTATGCCTCCAATGATCCTGCCTGGTCTGACTTTAAATAGGACACTGACTTTTTATAATTCCGACTTCCAGAAAATGGCAAGAATGGTACAGACAGGTATCTGTAGTAGCGCTTATTTCAAGAAGGTGCTCATCCCCTCCCCCCCCTTTTTAAGTTGTGTAATTAGCCTCAGTAGAGGATGCAGATTCAGGAAGTTTCTACATGTGTTTTTTTTTTTATGCTTGGGAGAAGACAAACGTTATTTTTCTGTAACAGACAAGATTAAAGAGGCAGCATAAATCTAATAATATTAAGTAGATGCCATTAGTATATGCATTGTTCTTTTCCATTTCGTTGGCTAATAAGACTAGATGCAGATATCTTATTTTTGTTTGCGTTCTGTATGCTGTCTTTGGTAGAGCCTTTACTGAGTACTTCATTATACTGTTTTTATGCGTCCTTTTTTTTCTCAGATTGACCTACCACACTGTTAGTCCCAGATGCACAAAATAGTGCTTCATTATTCCTATACATTGCCAAATGATCATCACATACATCCAGCTGTCATCTGCCAGCAAAGTCATTGCAGTATTATTAACTACTCCGTGGCTGCAAATCCCATCCCTGTGAATCCTTTTGTAATTGGAAGTTTGTACTTAATCTCACTTATCTTTTCTCTCATACCCCCCACAACCATCAGTATGTTCTCTATATCTGAGTCTGTTTCTGTTTTGTATGGTGTTAAATTTGGTTTTTAGATCCCACATATAAGTAAAACTGTGTGATATTCGTCTCTGTCTGACTCATTTCACTTAGCATAATAACCATCTAGGTTCCTCCATGTTGTCACAGATGGCAAAATTTCATTCTTTTTTTATGACTTGATACTCCATTGTATATATTTACCATGTCTTTATCCATTTGTCTACCATCGGGCACTTAGCTTGCTTCCATATCTTAACTGTTGTGATTTATGCTACAATGAAAATAGGGGTGCATATATCTTTTCAAATTAGTGGTTTTGTTTTCTTTGGAAAAAGTACCCAGAATTAGAATTGGTGGATCATACGGGGTTTCAGTTTTGTTTAATTTCTGGAGGGCTTCTTCATGCGGTTTTCTTAACGGTTACACCAGTTTACATTTCTCATGTATCTGTTGGCCGTCTGTATGTGTTTTTTTGGAAAAATGTCTGTCTGGATCCTCTGCCTGCTCTTCCTTTATTCTGAGGATGTGGTCATGTGAACTTTGTTCTAGTGGTGTTGGATGTTTTATTTTTCTATAGCCTTTTTTTTTAATTTATGATGAGAGATTATTCTCTTCATCTTGATACCTCACTGGTGGGAAGTACCCAGAGACAGGCTTTCTGGGTGTTTCCCTGAGCCGATCATCCTTTTGTCTCTTGAGTTCCCCTGACTGGACCTCAGGGTGTTTGGAGGCGCTGGCTCCCAGGCAGTTGGCCCCTGACTCCCAGCGTCACGCCCAGAGGCTCACCCTGGCTATGTTCTGTCTCCTAGCACACGCTCACGGGACACAGTGGCAAAGTGCTGTCTGCCAAGTTCCTGCTGGACAACGCACGTATCGTTTCTGGAAGTCACGACCGGACCCTCAAACTCTGGGATCTACGCAGCAAAGTCTGTGAGGAAATTCAATCTCTGCGTCTGAAAGATTTGATACTAACCGCAGAGCTGTTTGTTTCTGCGTTAAAGCCGGCATTTAGTGTGATAACACTTTTTCGAGTGTGTCTCATATCGGGTGGTGATGATGTAGGGGCTGTTTTTCAAGTTTGAAGCTTCATTTAAATAAACAGTTCCAACGCCTTAAGCAAGGGTGAGAGGGCAGCGGCGTCGGGTTCACATCACAGAGGGGCCTCTGCCTGACTGCTCGTGTTCGGTGTTCTTCTAGGCATAAAGACGGTATTTGCGGGATCCAGCTGCAATGACATTGTCTGCACAGAGCAGTGTGTGATGAGTGGGCATTTTGACAAGAAAATTCGTTTCTGGGACATCCGGTAAAGCACCCACGAGCTTGGTGGGGAGGCGGATGAGAGGGCGCTAGAACTGTGATGGTGTCTTGTGTGTGGATTGTGCTGCTGCCCTGGAAATGGCAGAAATGGGCTCCAGCCGACATTATCTTCCCTGTTGGATATTCTTTACCCTGAAGTAGAATGTCACAGTCGTCACCTCTGAGCATGCCTGTGTCCTCACTGGTCACTTTGCTAGCTGCCAGGTAAACAGTGGGACAACTAGGTTGTCAGGTAGATTCAAGTGTAACTGGGGAGACCGACATACAAGTCTGCAGGGTGTACTGAAGCAGGGCTAGGCACTGCTATCCAAGGATGTTAAAGACTGTCTCGCAGGATGAGCCTAGAGAAGAGCCCCAGAGGGCAGCTGGCAGGGAGTCAGGCGAGAGCAGGTATCAGGGTGGGTGGGATCGGATTGCCGCAGGCTCTGCACGCCATTGATGAATGACGTGATCTTATAAGCCGTCAGGCGTTTAGCAAGAGATTCCTTCCCAATTACATCGCCGTTTTAGAGAGCGTCTGAGGAGCAAGGAAGTCACTGCAGCCTTGAGGAGCTGAACTCAGGGCAGTAGAGGGCGACGTGGAGCTGGAGTCGGTTCCTGGGAGAGTTTGGACGGCGCTCATTACAGGTTAGATGTGGAGGGTGAGGAAGGGGAGAAAGAAGTAAAGCAAGATGGAGAATAAACGACAGATTTAGGGAGAGGATGCTGTGAACATATTCAGAAAAGGGCATTAATTGGCAGCTTCTAATAGAGTATTTGGGAAAACAGAATTTTTGAGAAGTTGGATGGGAGAAAAATTCAGACATCCTCACAGGAGGACTTTGAAGACATGAGAGTGGATTCATCAGAGCTGGTGTGTGAGGCGACAGGAGGGCAGCCCTCAGGGAGCTGTCAGGAGGGCTGAGTGGCTGGAAATGGAGAGAAAGCTGGGGTCTCGATGATGGGCCAGGTGTGGGGAGTAAAAGGGGAGGCGTCTAGTCAGGGTGAGGTTGGGTTGGTTAGAAGTGGGCAACTGTGATTAGTTTCACGTGTACTGGTTGGCTGACAGTTGAACTGAAGTATGGAATTATAGAGCTAAGCTGGATGTTAGAAGGCTCCTGGTCCATCCCCTAATTTAACAGATGAAGGCCCTGAGTCCCAGGAGGTGGAGCGGCAGCAATAAAGTAAACTCTCTGCCTTCATTATGGTTTGGGATAGGAAATCTTTTCATCGAAAGTTTACAACAGAATGACCACAGGAGGGTTTGCAGCTCCTTTGGCTATATCACCAGCAGGGCCTAGTGGAGGATGGCTACTCACAGACCTGGCGTGGACTGCGGCCCAGAGAACTGGGAGAAAAAAAGGAAGAAGAAGAGGTGGCCAGGGTGTCCGGGCTCCACGTCTAGAGTCGCCAGGATGGGTTGGAGGGCCTGGGAGCTGAACTTTGTATGGCAGGATTCCTAGGAGAGTCCACACTTGTCCGTAGAAGGCAGCCCAGACCCGCTAAAGCAGATATACATCTCTTTGGAGAAGCTGAAATGATAAAATTGAAGTAAAACAAATTATATAGTAGCCCTGCTTAGTTCATACTGATCAGAAGCTCTGATTGCAATTACTGTATTTCAGAAATGAGCAAGGAAATTAATTCTTACCAGTTTCAGAGTTCTGATACTCACAACTACTTAATAGAATCTGTTGATGGCAAAATAATAAAAGCCGAGGCTGAGGTTGTTTGTGTGGGGTTGGGAGCGCTTCTGCTGTCCTTGAAGACTACTGCGTTCTTGTTGAATTGACTACCCTTCCCGCTCCATGGCATGCCACCCTGCTTGGAATGGGGAAGTTCTGACCTTTCTGTTACATTTTCTCAGATTTTCCATCTTTTTCGTAGATCAGAGAGTATTGTCCGAGAGATGGAGCTCTTGGGAAAGATCACTGCCCTGGACTTAAACCCAGAAAGAACTGAACTCCTCAGCTGCTCTCGGGATGACCTGCTGAAAATTATTGACCTACGAATAAATGCTGTCAGGCAGACATTCAGGTAACTGAGGACACTCTGGTTGGGTTTCCAGAGGCCTGCCTGCGCTCACACCCTGAGTGGCGTGGACTCCAGGGTAACGGTGCCTTGTTGTCTGTTTCAGCGCGCCGGGCTTCAAGTGTGGCTCTGACTGGACGAGAGCTGTGTTCAGGTTAGTTGGGGGGCGCCTCCTGCCCCAGCCCGCCCGCCCCAACACGGCTCGTCTCAGGGTAGAGCAGGGGCCTCCTCCCACTGGGAAATGAGCTGAATCTGTACAGTGTCTCCACGCGAGCAAGTGTCCCGGAGCGTACCTGCAAGTTCAGTCCTAGACGTTGCTGTCACTCCCTCTTTCTGAAGTGTCCCTTCCATGGCTGAGAATGTGTGCCCTCCTGGAAGCTACGGTGATAAACGGGTTTGTTCACCTCTGTCTGCTCGTTACAGTAGAGCTCTGAGAGCTTTTCGGGCAGCATGGGGAGTTCCTGGGGCACAGCAGAGTGGGCTCCCTCCCTTTCCTGTTCTCCCATCTTGAGTGTGGCCGTTCTCACAGACACACTGCCACGGTCAGGGCCAGTACTGTGGAGAAGGTCCTCCACAGTCCTCACGTCCTTCCTTTTCTGCTTTCGCTGAACCGTGTGACCGGGCAGTTCACCAGCTGAGGGAAACCCTTCGCCACTTGGGGTTGCCTTTGACCTCCCTGTGTGCTCGAGATGACTGGGGACGTGTGCCCCCAGGAAGTGCTGCGCTGGCACCGTTTCTCATCAGCTGGTGAGGCCAGATAACGGTCTAGCAGCTTTCAGCCAAAACGGCTGTGAATAGCATCTTGGGGTTTCTGGGTACCCCGGAGTGGTCATGAGTTTGACTCATAAGCGAAGACCAAACCTGACTTCCTGGGGAGAGGTCCGTGAGGACGCTGACTTGAGAGTGGGTGACGAACGCTGTTTCTCTTGTGTGTCCTCCAGCCCTGATGGCAGTTACGTGGCGGCGGGTGCGGCCGAGGGCTCGCTGTACATCTGGAACGTGCTGTCCGGGAAAGTGGAGAAGGTCCTCTCAAAGTATCACAGGTAAGACGGCAGCCCCTCTGAGGTGCTAAGCAGGCCTGTGGCTCCATCCCAGAGCCTGGTGCTCTCCCAGGCGTGGACCCGAGGTCGACCCCATGAGGGCCATGTCCACTCGGGCTCTCTGCTGCGGGTGAGGTCAGTGGAGAGAAGCTGGGGCCGTTCTCAGCGGACCGCAGACCGCCACGTCCTGCTGCTTTATGTTCCAGGACGTTCCAGTTAGGGTGGCCACTGGAGAAAGGCTTGGAGCCCTGTGTTCTGCCTCTTCATCGTGTGCGCACCCCCGCGTCCTCCTGCCCCTTCACTGCCCTCCTCCTCTGCGGCCCCGTCTCCCTTCTAGTCCCTTTCCTCAGGAAGGTGACTGCTTGTGACCACTGGTTTTCACATACTTTGCCCCAGGCACCTTTTTGTCTCAGCTTCGTCCTGTCCCCACAAGCTCAGCTGCTGCTGAGAAGGCAGGCCCGGCCGGGGCCGCCGCTCATGGTGGCGCATCTCCCGCTCCCCAGCCAGGCGCCTTGCGGCGCTCCTCAGAGACTGCAGTGTCGCTCTTAACTCACTCAGAGCTACTCCCTGAGGGCAAACGTGATAAGGCCTGGCTCCCTTCCTTCCTAAACTGCCCCCTAGAACCACGGCGGGCTTCCTCCAAGTTCTTTTGCTCTGCGAGCGCCTGTTTGCACGTGGGAGGGCCACACTGGCGAGTAAACCAGGTGCTGGGACAGGCCTGACTGACTCCCTGATGGCGAGGGAGCCTGGCGCTCAGCTCACTGAGGTCTCACCCGTGTCCCCACCTCTCCCTTTGAAGCTCGTCCATCAACGCGGTGGCCTGGTCCCCCGCCGGCTCCCACGTGGTCACTGTGGACAAAGGAAGTAAGGCCGTGCTGTGGTCGGAGTATTGACAGCCCCTCGTCGGGAGAGTGCGGATCTGGAGCTGGAGGAGCCGGCGGCCCCGCGGCTCTGTCCTGGCAGGGGGTGTGTTGAGCCGGGCCGGGGCCTGCCTGCGAGCAGGGTCCCTGAGGGTCGCGGCTGAGGCCCCTGCCAGCCTGAAAGAGCTAACACTGCAAACCCTGACGCTGCGGCCCTCAGCCAGGGGTTCAGGTCCTGCCCTGATTCAAGGGGTGAGAACAACACTACTGGCGCCCGCCTCGCATACCTCAGTGGGGGCGCGCGGGCGCCCGCACTCTCCCCTGGGCGGCAGTGCCAAAGGCGCCCCCACGCCAGGGCGCTGGTTCTGCCCCGTGCTTTCTCCCGTCCTCCCAGGTCGGGCCTGGCCTGATGCATGTCCTGTCACCTTGGGTCGTTTCCCCAGGGGGCCTGCTTTAATCGTTGGATCAACAGAAACCCGAACAGGACCCCCGCCCTCAGGTAGCCCATGGGGGCTGCCCTGGCCTCTGAGGAAACGTGGCCTGGGGTCCTCCCTGCTGCTCTGTGTCTGTGTCAGAGGCTCTTCTCTGGTCTCACCTGATCACTGTTGGAATTTCCCTCGCTCTCCCAAAGTGTTCTTCAAAACTGCCTCTCCCCACCCCTGCTGCCAACAGTTCTACATATCTATTTCTTGGCTGAGAAATAAATCTGTTCATTTAAAAAAAAAAAAATGGGGGCGGGGGTAGGAGAGGAAGCGCAAAACACTTTTTCCAGAAGAGCGGGTGTGCTGTCAATCAGTGAAGACTGATTTCCCGAATCACCTGGAACTTCCCAGCTGCCAGCCCGCCACCTTCTTCCCGCCACGCTGGGGTGAGGGTGGCTGGTGGGTGGGATCGGAAGCCTCGGGTGTGTTATCCCCGAGCCAGCAGTTCCGGGTCACGCCCCTTTGCCAGGCCTACGTGCAATACCCCCTCGGTGCTTTAGTGCAGGAAGCCCATTCCAGGAAGCATGGAATGCCATCTTTAGATTTCAGGACATGTGACTAGGCCAGGGAAAAACTGGCCTGTGCAGTTTTTTTTCTTTTTTTTTTTTAAAAAACAAACATGTATCTTTACCATCTTTCTTGTTTATAAAATTTTAGTTTTGAGCGGCTGAAACACCATTAATTTTTATCAGTTACTCATTTGCACTTTATTTTTTTCCTCCCATTCTTGTTCTCCAGACACTTATTGGGGGCGAGTGCTAGGGCAGGGCAAGGAGCGGGGGGTTCACGTGCCCCATTTCCCCGGCCCTCGCCTCCCTCATTTGCTGTCCAGAGGACTTGCTTTGAGAGGAGTTGAAGTTCACAGGCCAGGGCACATCTTTTATTTATTTAATTATGTTGCCCAACAGAACTTGATTGTAAATAAAAGAAGAAATCTGTTATATACTTTTCAAAACTCCATGCCTCTTGGTGGTTATTTTATTCCTCTTCATCCTAAAGGCAAAAAGCTATTTCTTTCATTTATTTTCCTGGTACTCATTTGTTTATAAATAACGGTTAGTACTTTCCCAGTGCCTTTCCTTGTGGTTCATTGTTACTGCTGTCTATAAACGTCAGTGTTCCAGTTTCACATTATTTGCAGATCTTCACTGAATCTAGAGGAGGCTCTCCTGGGGATTTTGGTAGCTGTGTGGCGTGCTCCGCACTGTGGCCATAGGAGCCCGGGCCCCCGCACTTGAGACGCTGTCCATAGACTAGACCGTGAACTGTACGAGTCTCTCAGCCGCCAGGCCCCTTCTGTGCTGAAGGCGCATAAATTTCCTCAGAGCAGCTCAAGATATCTAGAAGCAGCCTTGTGCCATAACAAATTAGGGTCACCCTGGAGTATCCCCCCTGCTCCCGAGGACCTCTGTCCAGCCCATCACCACACAGTCGCCCAGCAACTCGAGTTGAGGTTTCATCATGATCCGAAGTCTTGGGGGCAGTGGAAGGAGGGGAACCCATGGCAGTCACCTTCAAGGAGGTAAGTCATTCTTCAGAAAGGCTGAACGCAAGCAAACCAGTAGCCTGATTGTCCTGTTTTCCTTGACTTTGCAGGGGAGCACGTCTGCTCTCTGCTTCTGGCAAGTGCTCTTCAGCTCACCCGACTCAACGCTGGGGTACAGGCCGGGCTCCCACCGAGGTGGAACATGCTTCCCTCCCCCTCATGATCTGTTCTCTGTCTCTCAGGTCTTCTGGGCCATTCCCCCGGCACTCCTGGTTCCATTTGTCAGGGCAGGAATGGGCATGGGAGTTTTTAAAATCCCTGAGCGAGTCCTGGCTGGTTGGAGCTGGGGTGGGCTTTGATCCCGACATTGGCATGTCTCAGGTTGACAGTTCAAGACTTAAAATTTATATTCCCAGGAATTCCCTGGCAGTTCGGTGGTTAGGACTCAGCATTTCTCTGCAAGGGGCATGGGTTCAATCCACGGTCGGCGAACTAAGATCCTGTATGCCACCTGACCCAGGCAAAAATAAAATTTATATTCCCTAAGTCACTTCCCAGAATCATGTGATATATCAAGTTCTGTGTCTGTCTTGTAAAGCATATACTGTGCACACATTCACCTTTTATCTGACAAATCTGGTAAGGCCTCAATGTGTCTTTTCACATCACAGCACACGGGGAATTTCGTGTGGACCCTGGACAACAGAGGGGCCTGCCCCGACCGCAGGAGCGTGTGTGCTGGGGAAGTCCATGTTTTGCAGGTGTACCAAGCTCCCTGTGTGTCTTCACGCCTGTGGCATAGCCTCAGCCAACCATGACTTTGGGGAACGAGAGCATGGACTCGAAGCTCACGGCATGGGCGGGACCCTGGGAGAGGCAGGGGCCAGTGAGGAAACCTTCTGCAAGTCGTGCCTGTTTTCATAAGGGGTCTCGGATTCTGTCAGAGGTGAAGGGTCTCCTGTCACAATTGGGGGAGAGCTTCCCAGCTAAGCAAGAAGCTGTTCCAGAGTCCTGGTCCCCAGGCGGGCACTGGTGCCCAGGGACACCCACCTCAGCCGCCCACAGTGTGAGGCAGTGGCAGGGCCTCCAGGGGGCGAGCTGCCCAGGCTCGTCTGCACCGAGTCGTCCTCTGTCTTACTGAAAGCCCGCTCACTAGAAACGCCCAGTTTTCAAGCCAGTAAACTTCGGAAATCTTGAGTAAAGTGAAGCGTACCCGTATTCACATGGATTCTGTGGAAACAGGTCAGATGTGTGGTGTGTGCCCGTGAGAGTGGACTCGCATCCAGAAGACGATTCTTGTCTCCCGGAGCTCTGGTTTCCACGTGTGCCTCAACTTCCCTGTGTCCCCTCCAGACGCTCCTCCGCCCTCTCGATGGTCTGGCCACAGTGGGCCTTCAGCTGCTCCCAGCTCTCCTTCGTGGATCCTGCTGGCCGCCGAGCTGCCCTCTTTCAACCCCGAGCAGAGGGCGTGATGGGAGCGCCCACGTCTGGAGGATCCAGAACCCACAGAGGCGGAGGAAACACCAGTGTTGGAGCCCCCTTCCTGCCTCTCAGCAATTTTTCCAGAGTATTTTACAGCAAACCTCAAGTATGCCGTTTCTCCCCTAGATCAGCATGCGACCTAATAAGGACACCATGCCATAGTTACACCTCCGAATTAACAGAGACCCGGTGTCATCCACCCCTGGGTCAGGAAGATCCCTGGAGAAGGAAATGGCAACCCACTCCAGTATTACTGCTTGGAAAGTCCCATGGACAGAGGAGCCTGGCAGGCCACCGTCCATGAGGTCACAAAAGAGTCGGACACGACTGAGCGACTAAAAGTGTCATCCATGATCCAGTCTGTGTTTGAGTTCTCCTGATAGTGCCAGTGCATTGGCTTGCTTAAGTCAAGATCCAGTTAGTTTTTGCTGCATAACAAAGTGCCATGACATGTAGTGGTTCCAAACGAGCATTGTTTCTGTGAGCGGGCATGGCCAGGTGGGTTCAGGGAGACTGGTAGACGGCGACTTCCCTCATCTGGCCATTCATTTGCCATCAGCAAGGGAAACAAGGACGATGCACTAAGAAGGCAGGCGTCTGTAGCACCAATTGTAGCTCCACCTGGTCACCTTTGTTACCCGCTGGCTGGAGCAGATGGCATGGGCAGCCCTGCCTGCCTCTGCAGGGCACTGCCCAGCAGCATGGGGACATGGAGGAGGATCTCCACAGCGGTTCTGGCACCTGAGGTCCCAGCTGGATTTGGCTGACTTTCCTCCCATAAGTGATGTGTGTATCCCACGTGGGAACATTGTGGGCTTCCCTCGTGGCTCAGTTGGTGAAGAATCTGCCTGCAATGCAGGGGACTGGGGTTTGATCCCTGGGGCAGGAAGATCCCCTGGAGAAGGAAATGGCAACCCACTCCAGTATTCTTAGCTGGAAAATCTCATGGACAGAGGAGAGCCTCATGGGCTACACAGTCCATGAAGTCACAAAGAGTCGGACATGACAGCCTCTAAACCACCACCACCGCGAGGAACTTCCACCCTGGAGGTTGCTGTGTGCCAGGCCTGTGGATTTGCTCCACCCTAGGACCTGGGGAAGAGAGCAGGGGAAGTCAGGCTCTGGGCTTCACTTCTCCAGAGAAACGGACTTAAACAGTAGATAGGTATGCTTGTGAGCCATGCCCGTAAGAAGACAGGCTGTACGCGGTCCAGTTTCTAAATAACCATATGAAGGACTGCCCTAGTGGACCAGTGGCCAAGAGTCTGAGCTCCCAATGCAAGGAGCCCAAGTTTGATCCCTGGTAGGGAACTAGATCCTGCAACTGAGTTCTCATGCCAAAACTTAAAGATCCTGCAGACTGCAACTAAGACCCAGCACAGCCAAATTGAAAGAAAGCCATATGTTCTGCTGCTCCCGGAAGGGGCAGCAGAGGTTCTAAGGGGTCGTAAGCCAGAAGTCTCAGAATCAACCGTATCTTTGACTTTCAGGTAATGCTAAGCACAGAGTGGGTACTCTTAAAAGTTTTTATTTAATAGAATTGAATCAGCAGAAAGAAAAGACAGGCTTCCCTGGAGGTCCATTGGTTAAGAGTCTGCCTTGAAATGCAGGAGACATGGGTTCAATCCCTGGTCTGTGAAGATCCCACATGCCATGGAGCAGCTAACCATGCATGCCTAGAGCCTGTGCTCTGTAACAAGAGAGGCCACTGCAATGAGAAGCCCATACACCGCAACTAGAGAAAGCCCGAGTGTGGCAATGAAGACCCAGCACAGCCGAAATAAATAATTTCCTTGGAGAAGGAAATGGCAACCCACTCCAGTATTATTGCCTGGAAGATCCCATAGACGGGAGCCTGGTGGGCTACAGTCCATAGGCTCGCAAAGAGTCAGACACCCCTGAAGTGACTTGGCATGCAGACACGCACTGGGTCACAAGGTAAAAATAAATGAGTTTCTTTTTCTACTATTTTTAAATGTATTGAGTTGAAATTAACATAAAATTAGTCATTTTAAACTGAACAATGGCATTTAGTGCATTCACAGTGTTGTATGAGCACCACGTCGAGTTTCAACAAGAAAGGCTAGATGAGTGTCCTTTTTCTTTTTTTCTAAACTTCTGGTCTCTCCGTAGAGAAGCGTGGGCCCTCATCTTGCTCAGCTTGGGCTGCAAGGGTGAAGTTCTGCAGCCTGTGAGGCTTACACAACAGAAGCGTCTTACACCCGGAGAGTGGAGTCCTGGCTGAAGGCACCAGCGGGTGTCCATCCTGAGGCCTTGCTGCCGCTGAGCTGTGTGCTCACGGGACTGTTTGTGCAAGGAGAGTGGCGATCCTGTCGGATCAGGACCACGCTGATGACCTCGCTCAATGGCCCCGCCTCTGAATACCATCACACGGAAGGGTAAATGGGCTACAACATGGGAGTCTGGGGAAACATGCTCCCATGTTTCCTCCATGACTCCTCCAGAAGGCTCTGCCTAGTTTTGCTCAGCTACAGGAGTAAGCATCTCAGTGTGGTGGTGGTGTTCAGTTGCTAAGTTGTGTCCAGTTCTTTGCGACCCCATGGACTGGAGCATGCCAGGCTTCCCTGTCCTTTGCCATCTCCCAGAGTTTGCTCAAATTCACGTCCATTTAGTCAGTGATGTCATCCAACCATCTCATCCTCTGCCGCCCCCTCCTTCTCTTGCCCTCAATCTTTCCCAATGAGTCAGCTCTTTGCATACCAGGTGGCCAAAATATTGGAGCTTCAGCTTCAGCTCAACTTCAGGAGGAAGCACCTCAATGGTGTCAACTCCAAACTCATTACCATTGAAGCCCCCTCCAGCGTCGGGACCCATGTGGTAGGACCAGAAAGGAAGAAGCGCTCATGTCAGGGTGAAAGAAAGTGGATCAGGACCTTTTCAAGGCCTTCTCTGTACATTTGATGCCTTTCCTTGACTCCTTCTGCAGATGGAGAAAAGAATACAGTGAGGCGGATGTAGTTTCTCAGGATTGAAGTGGACTCATCAGTGAGCCATGACAATCCAGAGCTCTAGTCTGGGGCTGTTTGCACAGCTTGCTTCCCCCACACAGAAACCTGGAGTGTTAGGCACCATTGTCAGTGTGATGCCTCAGGATGGATATTTGACATCTGTCTTGGGGAGGACCGCAGTGGTGAGAGTTTCAGTGCCCATGAGGATTGAGCACCTATATTCTAACAACAAGCAACATTCTAATCAGGAAAAACTGACATGTGGAAGAGATTGGATTAACTTAGACCCATGCAGAGAGGTAGAAGGGAGGCTGATTTCCATCCTCACAAAAAATTTCCTCACACCCCCCGTTATTTCAAAGAGAAGTGGTAGTGATTCCCCCATCCCTGGAAGCATTCAACAACTTCCTATGGATATTGTAGAGGAGCTCAACACAAGGGATGGCATGTAGACTAGATATTTTTCAAGGATCTATGCCCACGGGGTTCCGCTTAGGATTTCAGACATTAGCCAGCCCAACCCATAACAACAGCCCTCTATTCTTACGGCCAGTTGATTAAGAGGTACATGTTGGAATTAGGGTAGTTCTGGTTCCCTGGCACTCTTCATAAATAACAGTAACTTCAAACTTGTCCAGTGCTCTCTGCTTCAGTAGAACTAAGGCAGTGAGGACACAAGTTTTCATTTTGCAGTTGATGGGTTAGCAGACTGAACCAGTTTCCCTCATGCATGTGCCCTAATAAACCCTTAAGACGATCACCTAGCCCCAGAGCCTCTAAGCCTCTTAGCTGTACATCCCACCCTCCACCCCCTCGAGCTGGCACTGCGTTCGGTGTTGGGAAGTGGAACACGGGGTTTGTAGCTGCTTCTCACTGGATCTGATGCAAGAAACAAGTAATGCATAGCCAGGGAGTGGTTCCTAGACTCTGAGAATTAATAGACCAGTAAATTTCCAGAAGAACTGTAGCAAGAGTTGGAAAACTTTTCATTTTGGCCAAGTAAGGATTTTTTTTTTTCTAAACTGCCATCTACGCTCCTCTCTATTTTATAAAAGGAAGAACACTTTGTCCCTATGCTTAGCAGCTGCATTCTGAAATATTTATGGGTAAAGTGTGTGTCTGCAGTTTACTCTCAAATGGTTCAAAAGGAAAAAGGCGATAGATGAGCACGTGCAGTGAAATGTTGAATCTCCATGTGGACTGTGGGGGTGTTTATTATTCTGACTTTTCTCTGTTTGTTTAAATTCATAATCAGTTCTAGAAAATGTAAAACAAATGACTGAAAGCAAGTCAGTGGTTACCTGGGACAGGGAGTTGACTGAAATGTATGCTGGGGAACCTTTAGGGGCAACGGAAATGTGTCTTCATCAAACTCTGCACTTAAGATGGGTAGATTTGGTTACATGCAGAGTATGTATCTATAAAGATTGGGAGGAAGAAGGACATTTATATTTAAAAATTTAAAACTTCAAATAAGGAAGAAAAAAGAAAAATTTAGAACTTCATAACCTTAGAATAAAGAACCACCCTTTATACTGAAAACATTTAGGTCTATGGAAAAACTGACAACAGTGTCCTCATTTTCCTTGATTCTTCACCAAGCGGAGAAAAATTCATTACAGACCAGGGGCTGGGAATTACTACCAGAGACTACGATCTCCAAAAAGAGTGAGGTCTGGAGTGCAGTGCACCCCAGATTCTCCTACCTGTCCCAGTGCTGACAGGTCAGTGACTGAGACCTCCACCCTGGGGACCTGGGGCTAACACAGCTACAGGAGAATGGGGGTCCCAGGGGCACCCACAGCTCAAGGGCAGTCAACTGATGGAGACACTAGAAGGGCCCTGGTCATTTATCTTCCTCTTACTATTATTATTATTTAATCTTTTTTTTTTTTTTAACTGCACCTCACAGCTTGTGGGATCTTAGTTTCCCAACAGGGATTGATCCCAGGCCCCCGGCAGTGAGAGCTCGGAGTCTTAACTACTGGACCACCAGGAAATTCTCTTATTTCTTTCTTTTTTTTTTTTTAAAGGGAAAAGAGAAGATTTCTTAAAAACAAAACCTAATATTCCCTTCACACAGACCACCAATGTCAGCTCCTTGGTTCCTATCCCTGAAAACTGCGTATAATGTATATGAAAACACACGTGTCCACATATATCCACACATAGACTTGTGCATTTGCAAAATGCGATCATACTACACATACCGTCCTGTGACCTTTGTTTAGTCACAATCTCAACCTTCCTCGTCCAGTAATTTCCATGCCACCTGTCTGAGGTCAAATAACAAACATATTCCAGGGGCTCTTCCCAACCCAGGGATTGAACCTGGGTCTCCTGTATTGCAGGCAGATTCTTTACCATCTCAGCCACTAGAGAGGCCCCAAGAAACATACTACTGACACGTTACTAGATTATATTCAGATTTTCCAAATGGTCCCAAAATGTCTATACATCCTGTTTATTCAATGGGGACCACACAGTACATCTGAATGTTGAGTCCCTTAACTGTCTTTTAATCCAGTGCATCTCTTTTCTATGATATTGACTTATGAAAGATACCAGTCACTTTCTACATTCATCTGGTAGCTTTCTTGTGGTCCTATCTAGCTATTCTTTGTATGTCCTACAAATGAGAAGTGATGTCTAAAGGCTTGATGGATTCCAGCTGTCTCAAGATGACACATCACGGTGGTTGACTCTTTGGAGATGCTAAGATTGACTTCGGACCACGCCTGCTCCCCCTGTCATGTGGTTGCAAAAGGCTTGCACCTTGTGAAGTCTTGATCCATATGGCATCACTCTGGTGTCGTAGGAACAGACATTTCCCCTTCAACTCTTCACATAATGGTTTTGACACCAGTAAAGAATCCTCATCTGAGTCAGTAATGTTGTCCGTTTTACAACGCTAAGTTTTACTGTTATTCAGCTCTGGTGAGATCAATGGCTCAGAAGACATTGTCATTGAAAAGATAGTTTATTACTTACAGTCCCTCAAAGTGGGGCAGGCCACCCATGGAAGCACCAGGGGCTGGTCAGATGGTAGAAGGATCAAGGAGAAAACATGGGCAAGAGGTTTTTTGTGGTTTCCTTGAGAAAGAACTGGTGAGACAAGATAAGCAGACTTAAGACCGGTTCTTTACTTCAGCAGGCTCTGGGGTGCAGGGGCTGTCTCCAGTTGTCTGACACCTGGCCCCAGGATGACTGACAGGAGCAGGGCAATAATGGTTCGGAGTATGAGACCCCCAGCAAAGCAGGAAAGGAGGCCTATGGTGTGTTCACATCCTGGGTTGGCTGATACGGACCTGAAAAACAGTCACTCTGGGAAAAAACTAGCCCTGGGATGGCAGTCTCTCCAGGGTCAGCAAAGCCCCAGATGTCAAAGCATCAAAATTACAGAAAATAAAAAGGCACAATTATTACAGTCAGAGTTTGTCGAGTGATGTTTTTCTAATTCTATCACTCTCTTACATTTGTGAGCAGACATTCCTCCTTTAAAATTTTTAAAAGTTAGGACTTTCAGCCATTAAAAAGAATTCATTTGAATCAGTTCTAATGAGATGGATGAAACTGGAGCCCATTATACAGAGCGAAGTAAGCCAGAAAGATAAAGACCATTACAGTATACTAACACATATATATGGACTTTAGAAAGATGGTAACGATAACCCTATATGCAAAACAGAAAAAGAGACTCAGATGTATGGAACAGACTTGTGGACTCTGGGAGAAGGCGAGGGTGGGATGTTTCAGGAGAACAGCATTGAAACATGTTATTATCTAGGGTGAAACAGATCACCAGCCTAGGTTGGGTGCATGAGACAAGTGCTCGGGCCTGGTGCACTGGGAAGACCCAGAGGGATCGGATGGAGAGGGAGGTGGGAGGGGGGACTGGGATGGGGAGTACATGTAAATCCATGGCTAATTCATATCAATGTATAACAAAAACTACTGTAATGATGTAAAGTAATTAGCCTCCAACTAATAAAAAAAGAAAAAAAAGAAAAAATAAAAAAATAAAAGTTAGGACTTCCCTGGTGGTCCAAGGGTTAAGACTCCCTGCTCCCAGGGAATCCTGGTTCGATCCCTGGTTAAGGAACTAGATCCACTTATAGATCTAGATATATTTTTAAATTTTTATTCTCATAGAAATGAGATTTTTTTCCCCAACTTCAGCTGTTGCCAGCCAGCATACTGTTGCAATCCAGTGACTTGTCGATTTTCTCCAAGCTTATTGAGGCCCCGATTCTAGATACTGGAGATGGGAGAGGAACTAAACAGTCAAGAATCTCTTCAGTCCTGGGACCTACAATCTAACAGTGGTGGCGGGGGGACAGACAATAAAGAAGAAATGAATCAGTTCTCCTCTGTGTTAGATGGTTGTAGGTGCTACAGAGGAAGGTAATGCAGAGGAAGAGGACAGAAGTGTTGGATGGGGTGGTACACCAGGATACAGATGGATAGGATCACAGTGACGTCAAGACTCAGGAATAAAGGGAATGAGGCGGGTGACTATCTGTGGGAAAAGTGTTTCAGAAGAAGAAGCAGTAGGCACAAAGGCCCTGAGGCAGGTTTGAAGAAAAGCAAAGAGGCCAGTTGACTGGAGCAAAGTGAACAAAGTTATGAAAAGGGGGCCCAGATCATGCAGGGTTTAGGTGGGAAGCCACTGGGGTGTTTCAATAGATACTAACACCCCAAACATCAGAACTGGCTTTCTGCTTAGACTGGCTTCACTTCCAGACACCAGCTCAAGTCCAAAACACACATGTGTTAGTGGCCTCACCATCCCCTGCATTCATTTCCTGAATATTCTATTCCAGACACTGGAATATAAACATAAGGGAAACAAAACAGCACGGGGTCCCTGACCTCATGGAACCTAGAGTCAAGCATGAGACGAAAGACCATAAAATTATCTTGCAGACAAGCATCAGATGCAGAAGAGCCTCCAACCTAGTCTGGAGACTGGGGAAGGCTCCCCTGAGGAAGTGACTCTTGATCCGGAGTCTGAGGGTGAAAAGAATCAACGAGCGTGGGAGAAGAGGGTGGTTCCAGGCAGAAGCAATGACAGGTGTGCAGTGCAGGGAGATGGGGAAGGGTGGGCAGAGGCTGGAGTGTGTGACTCTAAGTTCTGTGTCTAGGAGTCCGGTGGGGGTCCAGTGGCTAAGACTCCACCTCCCAATGCAGGGGGCCCAGGTTCGATCCCTGGTCAGGGAACTAGATCCCACATGCCGAAACTAAGACTGAAGACCTCACAACTAAGACCCAATGCAGCCAAATAACAAATATTTTTTCAAAAATCTGTGCCTATAACTGAGAACAAGGTGAGATGCTGAGCAGGAGGGTGGCTACTCAGGGCTTGGAAGGATGTAGTCAGACAGCAGTAGACATTATTGTCCAGGAAAGCCAAGGGGCTGGTGTGGACCCTGCGGGGGTGGGAGGACTAGACCGATTTGGAGGATTCCAGGGGCAAAATTGACAGGACTCATGACGTAATGGATAGGACCATGGGGTAGAGGAGAAGGACAGCACCCATTTGGCTTGCGTAACACCAGCATTCATCTTGAGGTTGACATTTCTCCTTGACCTTTTTGTCTCTATCCCCCGCCCCAAGGTTGCATTAGCTGCCTGCTGAGTTTAATCAAGCTGGTTGAGCTGTGGAAAATCCCTTCTCCTGGTGATAGCGGGAAGAAGGGATAATCATTCTATTTCCAGAACCCAAAGTGGGTTAAGATAGAAAGTAGCTTTGGTCTAGCTGTCATCCCTCCCCTCCTCCACCCTTCCCCGCTCAAGCGGGTTGGCTCCTGCAAGCCCACTGTGAGCCCCTCTGGACGGAGACCGAGAGGCCCTTGCCTAATGCTGAGAACTGCTGAAGCTACCATTTCGTCCACCGCAGCACTAATCCAGTTACTGCTCTGCTCCTTCAGTGGGATTTGGCTTCTAGACACTGAGATGTGGGTGCGGGGCACCCTCTCCCAGCTCCCTACAAATCCCCCTGAGCGGTCAGCCGGGGCCCGTGTGGAGTTGTCTGGGTGGACGGGGCAGGGGCTGGCTGTCTCCTCATCCCGAAGGGCACACCCTCTCCCCACCTCCTGGGCCCTCCAGGCTGGTCGCACGAGGTACGTGACCACCCTCCAGCAAAGCCTTCTCAGAACCTTGGGGCAGGCCAGGAAAGAGCCAGGACCGGGGAGACTGGCATCTTCGTGCAGTCAGTCTGACCCAGTTACTTTCCGCGGACATTGCTTGTAAAGGAAACTCAGAAGGTGTTGAATTTCAGACAGCTTGGACTGCCTCTTTGTTGTGGGTAGAGCTGGGGATGGTGAGAGAGAACTCTGCTTAGTGTGAATTGCTGAGCAGAACTTTTAAGGGATTTAACGGATTTTTAAAATGATATTCATGAAGTGGTTAGGTTGTGGTTTGCAGGAACTTTTTCTACCTTAATTGCCATGATACATCGTCAAGATAGAATTTTAAAATCAATCTGGCTTACTGTGACGATACCAAGGCTTAGTCTCAAAGTAAAACCTTCTCGTGGGAATCTTTCTGAAGTGAGGTTTACTAAGAAGTGAGGTTTGCTGGTGAGGCTTACTAAGAAGTGTTTGAGGCTTATCAAGAAAAAATAAATACCTTAAAAAAAAAAAAGCAGCTCACTGTAGTGAAATACAAACCAGACAAAGGCCTTATTGAGTCAAACGTGGATCTCAAGGTAGAAGGAAATGTCTAATGGATGTGCAGTATCTCATGAGTAGGTTTTGTTCCGAGAATGTTCTCGACGTTATATTTAGGATGGCTTTACCTTTCTGCAGCCCTCGAACACCTGACATACACCCTAAAGTGGAAGAAGCTGCCAGGGACAGTTAACGCAACAGCCAACATGCAGGCCCATAAACCCGCCCCAAACCACGTTATCTTCAAAAAGATCTCCCGTGACAAATCGGTAAGTGGGGCAGATGTGAGGGGCTCGAGTGATGATTTTTTTAATGGGCTTTTTCGAATAGATGGGATCAGTATCAAGGCCCCGTGAGGTCAGTGGAAGTGATGTGTGTGTCATCCATCTCTGTCTACTGGATGATAAATGAGATGTAAAGGGATGACTTGCAGAAATAGTACTTCTCTTCAATCTCAACAAGAATTCAGCCCCAGGACCCTTCATCTTCTCCTGATCTCTCAGTCCCCAATCCCTCTCCTCCAATTTTACTTCTTTTTCTAGCCTTGAACCCTTGACTTACATTTCAGACGTTGTTTTGTTAACGCCTATAATTTACTTGGGCCTTTTTCTATCGTCTTGCCTACCTGCCTGGGGAGAGCACTGATGCTGGGTCATGCAATTCTCTACCTTCTGGCGCCCACCCCAGGAGCCAAGCTCTCAAGCCCTAATGGGCCTCCAGAACCACTGGATAAGGGCGCGTCTCCCGATGCTCCACAGTGCCCACTGTGGCTGCACGGCCACCAATACCCTGGCACCCTGCATGCCCGGCAGAGGTGATGCCACTGTTGGCTCCATCAGGGGGACGGTAGGTGGTCTAGATGTGCCTGTGAACTTCCTGGCCTGGGAGACCCAGTGAGGGCCCACCCCACAGCCTCTGTGGATGGTGTCTCCTTGCATGGCTCGAGGGGCTGACAGTCTAGTTCTGTGCCATCCAATGCAAGCTGCACTTCTAATTTTAAAATTTTCTATTAGCCATGTTAAAATTGTAAGAAGAAACAGGGAATTCATTTTAATACTGCATTTTATTTAACCCAATATAACCAAAAAACTCAACATGTAAATTGTATAAAAAGTATTGAAAACACTTGTTTGCTGTTTATTCAGTCACCAAGTCATATCTGACTCTGCAACCCCATGGACTGCAGCATGCCAGGCTTCCCTGTCCTCCACTATCTCCCGGAGTTTGCTCAAATTCATATCCATTGAGTCAATGATACCATCCAGTCATCTCATCCTCTGTCACCCGCTCTTCAATTTGCCTTCGATCTTTCTTAGCATCAGGGTCTTTTCCAGTGAGTCGGCTCTTTGCATCAGGTGGCCAAAGTTTTGGAGCTTCAGCTTCAGCATCAGTCCTTCCAATGAAGATTGATGACATGTTAAATTTATTTTCTAAGTTGCTGAGACGTGATGTGTGTTATACATTTACAGCACATGTCAGTTTGGAGTGGCCATATTTCAAGTGTTGGGGCTACCAGTAGATAAGTACTGGAGGATTGGACCTAGGTCATTCTTCTAGATGACTCCTGAAGCCTACACTGGGCCTGAAAGAAACTCTCTGAATCTTCTTGGACCTCACAGGCTCTGCACAGACACTCTCCCCTTCGCCTCTCCTCTCCTCCCTGAGGATCTCCATCACTTCCGTCCAATCCTGATTCTTCAGGGTGACAAGTCAGGTACCCCAATCTTTCATCCTCCCAGCTCTCTTCCAACGTGGTTCTTTCCAGTGAACTTTATCTTGACTTCCAGCAAAAGGAGAGAGAAACCATTCCTGCTGGGTATTATCACTTTCTCACTTTTTCCTTACTCCACCTAGCTAGACCTCCTTTGACCTGGTAAACTTAGAATTTTTGTATGTAGAAGGAAAATGTAATTCATCCATGACTCTCCATATTAGGCTCATTTCCACTGCAAGTGTTGTCTGGCCTCGGGCATGGCGTGCCAGGGCCCTGGGTCAGTTTCTTTCCGAATCTCTCCACTCCTCCGTCTTTTGCGATCTTCATCCCCTGGCTGGTGGCAAGACGGCTGCCCCAGCTTCAGGGGACTCACCTTCACTTCCTTCCAGAGGAAGGAAAAGGCTGTTGATTCCTGGGGTCTCTTAAGGGTGAGGAGGTATTTCTCCAGCAGACTTCTCTTTATTTCATTGGTCAAAACTGACTACATGCCCACCTTCAGCCCATCCTGAGCCAAAAGAATGGGAGCAGGACATTCAAGAATCATCCTTCATGATGGATGTTTGCTAAATTTATTGTGGCTATTCAGTTCAGTTCAGTTCAGTTCAGTTCAGTTCATTTCAGTCACTCAGTTGTGTCTGACTCTTTGTGACCCCATGGACTGCAGCACGCCTGGCCTCCCTGTCCATCACCAACTCCCAGAGCCTACCCAAACTCATGTCCAAAGAGTCAGTGATGCAATCCAACCATCTCATCCTCTGTCATCCCCTTCTCCTCCTGCCTTCAATCTTTCCCAGCATCAGGGTCTTTTCAAATGAGTCAGCTGTTCGCATCAGGTGGCCAAAGTATTGGAGTTTTAGTTTCAGCTTATAGTTTTGTGCCTGTAGCTTTGTGATTTACACAAACATAATTATATTGTACACCTTAAACTTAAACAATATGTCAATTATATCTCTGTAAAACTTGGGGGAAAAAAGAACCATCCTCTGGGGTGCCCTCCTTAACACAACCACTTGGGGATGGTGGGCCCTGGATGCAATTGGTGACTTACCCATGAAGATGGTGCGCGTGGCTGTCAGATGGGTAAGCAGCAGACTGGTTGGAGCCTTGCCTCGTCCACCCCACTTTCTCCACCTGCTCCTGTCTCTTCCCCCAGCGGACGTGCTGTTGCTTCCTCTGAGGTTCATGCTACTTACAGCCTGGATCGTGGCCCACCACTCCTTTGGGTCCTATCCCAAAGCCTCCTCCCTCTGAGGTTCTCCTTCTCTACCAGTACCAGCCTGAGCATGACAACAAGGACCCACCTCATGCATCTTAAACACAAGAACAAGAACAACAATAGCCCCTTGACCCCGTCTCCTTTCTAGCTTTCTTTCCTTCACAGCCACGGCTTGAAAAAGAAGACATTCTGTCCCCCTACCTTCTCCCTTCCCATTCACTCCTCAGTCCTTCCTCCTCCCGACCTCTTTCAGCTGCCTACCTGGCTTTCCTCTCGCAACCCCTTCTCCACTTTGCTGCCAATGCAGCCAGAGCCTCAGTGTTCTCCTCCATAAAATGGGTTTAACCCTTAGCTTGTAGAGTAGTTGTGAGGATTAAATGAAATAACGTACTTTGTGTGCTTAGCTTGGTACCTGGTACAGGACAAGCACCACATACCCCTTAATTGCAGGCCTTTCATCCTGTTTCAAATGCTTCCACATCCTCCTGGAATCTTCAGGGTCTGGTCTTGTAAGATCCTTTCTGGCCACTTGCATCTCCATTTGGTGGCTATGTACCTGCAGGTGAAACCATAGGCAGCTCCAGAAGCATTCTCTTGGCTCTGGGCTTTTTACACGCTGAGTTTTTTTTTTCTACCCAGAAAGCATCCTTTCACCATAACCCACCCCGCTCCCAGCACTGGTTATGATCAGGTGCTTCAATATCAATCACACAAATAACCTGGAAGCCACAGAGATCCACTCCTCCTGGGTAACCACTACAAGGGAGCAGATATAGGAGATGATTTAATGCCAACAGAAACTATTTTGAGTGTCCATGGAAAGAGACATATGAATTCCAGAGGCTTAGGGAAGAGGGGGCTAGCCAGGGTCCATGCATTCACTCATTGATGCACTTAGCAAATGTCGATTAAATTCCTGCCTGTACCAGACACTGCACTAGACACGGTGATGGTTGAAAGATGCATGAGAGAATTCTCACCACCATGGTCACAGTGCCATGGCCTAAGGTGGTGGCGGTGGTGAATCCAGCCCACTCTCTCCCACAGTCGGGGTTGGTTAAGGGACCTTTGATGCCAGGGGTGTTGAAAGAGACAGGACGAAGGCTGGGACCTGAATTCTCCCTTCCCAGCCAGGACTCCTTCCCCGCTTCTTAAGCTGTATCTGTATGGATGCTCAGCCGATAGGATTTCAGGGACACCAAAACATCTGCCTCTTGCTGAGTCCAGAAATTCTTCTAACAAGGAGGTGAAACCTTTCAATTGCAGCTAGAAATGAAAGGTTCAACATGCAAACAGCTGACAGGAGCCTCATGCACATAAGCGTCACTTTCCACTAAAGTATCAGCGATGAATCCGCCAAGTTTGCCTCGTTGACAGCAGACCTGGGCTTGGTGGGAAAAGGCGGGGAGAACAGGGTCTTCCCAAAGAGCTGGAAAGAGTTCCTTGGAGCAGTTTCGGAGGCTGAGGAAAGACCACAGCTTGCCCGCAGTCCATTGTCTCTGCCCACGGCCTTGCCTACGGCCAAGCGGGGCACTAGGAGGACAGGGAGGCCGAGCAGAACGAGTGCAAACATCCCCGTTGTTGCTGATTTTTCACATGATTGCCTCCAGGTACTCTGACCATTGAGCACCCATCTCTGTTCTCACAGGTCACCATCTACCTGGGTAAGAGAGACTACATAGACCATGTTGAACGAGTCGAGCCTGTGGGTAAGTTGATTTTGGGGTGCGATCTTTCTAAATCTACATATGTGTATTTTTTTGCTTGCACTGGGTCTTTGTTGCTTTGCACAGGCTTTCTCTAGTTTCTGCGAGCAGGACTCCTCTCCAGTGGCGGTGCCTGGGCTTCTTATCTCGGTCCTTCTCTGGTTGTGGAGCGCAGGCTCTAGGCACATGGGCTTCGGTAGCTGCAGTTTTCAGCTTCAGTAGTTGTGGCACACGGGCTTTAGTTGCTCCCCGGCATTTGGGAATCTTCCCGGACCAGGGATCGAACCAGGGTCCCCTGCATTGGCAGGCAGATTCTCATCCACTGTACCACCAGGGAAGGTCTGGGCTGAGATTTTAATGCTGGCTTTCTTTTAAGTCATCAGACACCTACTAGTTTTGTGTTTTTAAAAAAAAATCTGGCTTTGTTAATAATCTAATCAAAGAAAGGCAAATTAAGACATCATCCAGGCGCCACTGGCTGATTGGAGACAATTTTAGAGTGTGAGAGAGACAAAGGACTCATCTCTGGAGTATATAAAGAAAGCTCAAAACTCACCAGTTTAAAGAGAAAACAAGATCCAATTAGGAAATAGACAAACAAAATGAAAAGACATTTCATTGAAGAAAATATATGAGTGGCACATGAGCACACAGAAAAATGTTCAACAACAACAACAAAAGAAACATGTTCAACAACATTAGTCGTTAGGGAAATACAAATTAAAACCACAATGAAATATCATTATACGCCTGTCAGAACAGCTAAAATTGAAAACAGTAACAATACCAAATGCTGGCGAGAATGTGGAGACCCTGGATCACTCAGGCATTGCTGGTGGGAATTGTAAAATTCCAGCCACTCTAGAAAACAGGTTGGCAGTTACTTTAAAAGCTAAATATATACTTATTATATGACCCAGCAATTTGCATTCCTGGACATTTATCACAGAGAAATGAAAGATTATGTTTACACGAAAACTTGTATGTGATTGTTCACAGCAGCTTTATTTGTAATGGCTCCAAACTAGGAAGAGCCAAAATGTCTCTCAATAGGTGAATAAGATTAAACACGCTGGGGCATGTCCATGCCTTGGGCTCCTACTTGACAGTGGAAAAGAATGAACTGCCAGGGACTTCCTTGGTGGTCCAGTGGTTAAAACTCCAGGCTTCCACTGCAGGGAGAATGGTTTCTATCCCTGGTCAAGGAATTAAGATCCCACATGCCACAATGCACCACCATTTTTTTTTTTAATTTTTAACTTAATTTTAAGTTAAAAAAGAATGAACTACCAAACCATGCTACAGCTTGTAAGTGTCAAGGGCACTATGATGAGTGGGAAAAGCCAATCTCAAGAGGCCATATGCTTTACGATTCCATTTATATAACATCTTAGAGATGACAACATTATAGGAAAGGAAAACTGAATAGTGGTTTCAGGGGGCTAAGGTTGGTGGGGGGGGGAGGTAGTTGGGTGTGACTACAAAGGCACAGCCCTGGAGGGAGATCATTATGGTGAGGGAACAGTTCTGTGTCCGGATTGCCGTGTTGGTAACACAAAATCTCCATTTGATAAAACAAGTTAGAACTATACACACACTGTACCCATGTCGACTTCCTGGTTTTGAGATTGTATGCAATTATCTAAGATGCAACCACTGGATAAAGGACACATGGGGACTCCTCTGTGCTGTCTTTACAGCTTCCTGTGAATCTATAATTACTTCAACTCAAATTGTTGTTTAAAAAAAAAAAGACTGTAAAAGACTGGCAATTTAGGCAGTAAGATGAGCATGTCCTTCAGCAATGTCCTTTCTAGAACTGTCATTTGGCAGTTATGTTATCAAAAGCCACATTCAAGTCTACCATGGATAGAGATTTATCTACAAGGATGTTCATTGCAATTTAATTGTAATGGGGAAAATAAAAAATATCCTGAATGCCCTAACAAGAGAAGGTTGATTAAATATTTTATAACAAATCTGTTCATTGGAGCAAATGGCCACACATTTGCTCCAATTTAAATGATTAATACATACTATGTGAGTGTGTGAGTGTGTGTGTGTGTGTGTATGTGTGTGTGAGTAGATGTTTGCAATATATAGTTGAGTGAGGAAAGCAGTGAACTGAACATTATATTAGGATCTCATTTTGTTTTAGTAAAAACTTTTCTATAAATGCATCTAATCTGGAGAAATCGTGCAATGGGTGTCTGTGGGTAGTGGAAATGGGGTGACTTTTTTCCCTTTGTTTACTTCTGTTTCTAAGATTCCCCTAAGGAACATGGATTCCATGTGATATGCGCACGTGCACACACACACACACACGCACGTGCGCGCGCACACACACACACACACACACACACACACACTTCAGGAAGCCTCCAGCTTCTCCCACGTCCTCCACCCTCACTGTTCTCTCTCTCTTGGTTTAGACGGCGTCGTACTGGTGGATCCTGAGCTTGTGAAGGGCAAGAGAGGTGAGGGGTGCTCCTCCGCCCTCCAGGGAGTGGCGATCTGGTCTCGGCTGGCTGCAGGAAGGGGATGTGTGTGTGTGTGTGCGAGGAGAGGTGGGGAAGCCCTTGCACACCCATTCTCACTGCCAGAGCCTCTGACCCGCACTCCCTCGTATGATCCTTGGGACATGGACTCTGTTTGCATCAGGGCCCGCTGTCCGCACCTGCCAGAAGGAGGTGGAGACTCAGGGAAGCCGCTTGCTCGAGCCGACTGGATCAGGGACGGCAGACAGACCCCGGAGCCCAGGGCTGCCCCTCCACAGACTGCGTGCTCACGCCCCTCTCCACAATGTCCTATGGTTCCATGTCCAGGCAGACTCAGGAGGGCTCCTTTCTGACTTTATCTGAAAAACGAGGAATGGAGGCTGCTGGAAGGCAGAGTTTTTTTTATGCTGACTCGGGTGGTCCTTGGCTTCCCAGGTGGCATTCATGGTGAAGAACCCACCTGCCAATGCAGGAGATGTCAGAGACCTGGGTTCCATCCCTGGGTCGGGAAGACGCCCTGGAGGAGGGCATGGCAACCCACTCCAGTACCCTTGCCTGGAGAATCCCCACGGACAGAGGGGCCTGGCGGGCTACAGTCCATGGGGCCGCAGAGTCGGACTGAAGTGACCTTGCGCACGTGGTGGTCTTGGACCACGGCCTCGCAGCACACTCGGTGATCTCTGGCTGCTGTGAAGTGTGTGGCAAAGCAGTGTGATGCTAATACCAGTTGTGTCAATTAAATGAGAGTCCATCTGATTTATCACTCAGTTCCATTCGAAACATGCCTCTTAGAGTCATTGCTATCAGCAACCTACAAGTTGTTCCTCACCCTGGATGTGCTCTGGAGTATGTCAGTTGTAGGGCCCTCAGCATCCTGGGGTCAGGGCAGAAACAGGCTGACAGCTGCCCCCCTCTGCTGTCTCCGGCAGCGCCCTGCTCCTCTCTTACACCAGGAGGAGCCCGGTCCCAGCCCTGAAAGTCCACCCCCTTGGCCAGGAAAGCATTTTCCGGAAAGGCAGGCGTAAATCCAGGTCATCTCTGGGCACCTTGTTCCTACAAATGTCGGCTGAGGGATAAGCAAGTGATCAGTGACTCTTCTGAGCTTAGCACCAAGGGGCACTTATCCTTGAGGTGGACACAGATAAAATCCTTAACCCACAGCTCCCGAGGACATGGGGGGACATGCTTTCCATTCAAGCGCAGGGCACCTCGTGTGGTTTTATTTACCACATTAATGACAGCTGTAAACAGTCCATCCTCAAAACACATGTCATTGTTCAGTAGCCGAGTTGTGTCCGACTCTTTGCGACCCCATGGACTGCAGCATGCCCGGCCTCCTCTTCCTCCCTGTCTCCTGGGGTTTGCTCAAGTTCATGTTCATTGAATCACTGATGCCATCCAGCCATCTCATCCTCTGTCGCCCTCTTCTCCCTCTCCTACTCAAGATGTGTGTAGCCTCATATAATTCCTCTGGTCCGCCAGGGGCACCATTTACATCCGTCTAACCACAGTGAATTTTCATAAGTGCCGAAGAGTTAGAGAAAGCTCAATTAAGTTTCTGAGCCATGTGAAAAGACGGATTTCCTCTGGGACTTGGTTTCACCTCTCCATCTGGTCCCTGAGCCCCTGGCTCACTCCCCTCCCGACCATGTCCAGATCAGGCATTCCTGAGTTTTGAGTTTTACTCCCTAGCGCTGTTCCGGCTCTGCTTCTTACCTTCGCTCTCAACTCTCGACAGACCTCCTGCCCTCAGACCCCGAGTGACCTCACCCTGTTTAAAGGTCTCCTGAGGTCCCTGAGCTGGTGGATCAAGAGGAAAAGGGGGGAGGGTGGGGGAAACAGTAGAGTCAGGAGACAAAACATGGCCCCTCCCAGGGGCCTCACTGCCCTCCGACCCAGCCCTGTAGAGTAATTAACATAAGCCAGAGGGAGGGGAGGGCCAGCTGGGTGGTGAGTTCCTCAGGTCCCAGCCCCTCGGGATGCTGAAGACTGAATGCCAAGACCCGCAGGCAGGTGGTGTCAGCCCAGGCAGGGGTGCCAGGCTGACCGACCGACCGGCCGGCCAAGCCCACCCTTCTTGTCTCTCTCCCAGTGTACGTATCTCTGACGTGTGCCTTCCGCTACGGCCAGGAAGACATCGACGTGATCGGCCTGAGCTTCCGCAGGGACCTCTACTTCTCCCAGGTCCAGGTGTTCCCTCCCGTGGGGGCCTCAGGCGCCACCACGAAGCTGCAGGAGAGCCTGATTAAGAAGCTGGGGGCCAACACCTACCCCTTCCTGCTCACGGTAGGTGACATCGCAACACCCCCTCCACCACCGCACTGGTTCCTTCCACCCCCAGCACCTTGTGATGTGACCAGCGGCCAAGGAACGGGTCCAGAGTAATGGCTTCACATGCGCAGGCCTTCAAATTGCACCCTTCTAGAACTGAGGAAATTCTAGATTGCCTGGGCTGTCATTGTCTTTTTTTTTAAGTCCTTGAAAATAGCCTCCTAGCCTTTGAAGGCACCATTTCAACCTACAGTTTAAATATTTAAACTGCATCCGACCACCTAATTATACGTGCGTGTCACGCCTTCACTTGCACTTGTCTATAAAAAGAAAGACGTGCCCCTCAGTTGGCCCTGAGGAGTTTCTAAGCAGGCAAGAGTTCCCCGTGAGCCAGGAGATCTTAGTGAAATGAGATCCTGTCTGTAACCTTGAGCACAGCCTGGGGGTCATGGGAGAGAAATCGCTGGTGGAGCCGAGGAACCCCGGGGCCAGAGTTCCCGCCTCTGATGACTCCATCCTGGACTCGCTGTGGGGGTAGCTACCCTCTTCACTAGCATGTTTGTGGGTCTTAAGATTACATATTCCTCCAAAGTTATACGGTCCAGGCTTAAAACGGCAGGAGATTCTGACACAGGCTACGACAAGAATGAACCTTGAAAGCGCAGTGCTAAGTGAAAGTAACCAGTCGCTTAAGGACAAATGCTGTGTGATTCCACTTACATGGAGGATCTGGAGGAGTTAAATTGGTGGAGACGGAAAGTAGGGAGGGTGGTCTCCAGGTCATGGGGGAGTAGGGAATTGGGGAATTGATGTTTAATGGGTACAGAGCTTCTGCTTGGGATGACGGAAAAGTTCTGGAAATGGATGGTGGGAACCATTGCAGGACACTGTGAATGTCCTTAATGCTGCTGAACTGTATGCTTGAAATAGTAAGGTTTATGTTTTGTGTGTGTATATATATATATATTATATATATATAGACATTACATATATAATACATACATATATATGTATATATGGGCTTCCTAGGTGGCACCAGTGGTAAAGAATCTGCCTGCCAATGCAGGAGACACAAGAGACTCAAGTTCAAGCCCAGGGTCAGAAGGTCCCCTGGACGAGGAAATGGCAACCCACTCCAGTATTCTTGCCTGGGGAATCCCTGGTTCAGAAGAGCCTGGTGCACTGCAGTCCATGGGGTCACAGAGAGTTGGACACTACTGACCATGCATGCATGGTGGAATACACGTGGAATAACATTCTCTGAATGAAATGATCTGTTGTTTCTTTCCACAGTTTCCTGACTACTTGCCCTGTTCAGTGATGCTGCAGCCAGCTCCGCAAGATGTGGGCAAGGTTGGTTCCAGAATGAATCCCAGGGATTCATTCATTCCTTCAAAGGATTTTTTAAAATAGCCTCTTTTTTTTTTTTTTAACAGTCTGTTTTATTTATTTATTCTTTAATTTTAAATGTTTTATTTTGTTTGAGGTATAGCCAATTAACAAGCAAGGGTGTAATACTTTAGCCTCTTACTGTGGAAGAGTTCAGACTTACCCAAAAGTAGAGAGAACGTATAATGAGCCTATCACTTGCCTTGAGCATTTCCTAACCATGAGCAGCCCTGTGAGTGAAACAGACGGTCTCTCTCCTCCCTGAGAAAGCTTGTTAGCTGGTCTAGGAGCACACATAGGAGCTGGTCAATATCAACAGAGAGAGAGAAGCACTAAGCGTTTCGTAAGGAAGGAACAGCACGTGCCCCAAGTAGACAGGTGGGAGAGCTTGGCTTGGGCAGGAAGCGCCATGGGGTGGGCGTGGAGTGGCGCGGGCTAAGAACTCCAAGTGCTGGTGGGTACGGATGCGTATTTATTTTCAAGCCGGGTTTTAGCGTTGTTGAGATTCCACAGTTTCACAGGACCAGTAGGACTGTGACTGACATGCTATTGTCAGCCTGCAGGGAGCTAGCTGGTGGAGGGTCCATCCTCACAATGGTGCCCCCATCCCCACCCCCTTGTGTTAACATAAGAGAGAAGGAGGTTAACGGGGGGCAGGGGATCATGCTGGGGCCAGGTGGGGGGCGGGCAGAGGGGCTGGCAGATGCATTTGTTCCACCCGTGCAAGATTCTTTAATTTTGTTGATTTAAAATTCAGGAGCCTTCGCTCCAACTTCCATTTCCAGCTTCTCTTCAGAAGTTGGGAGAGCTGCCAGCTCCAGGTCCCCTGGCAGCCTGGCCACGCTTGGCTGCAGCCGCAGAGCAGTTGCCCGCCGGGGTCGGGCATTGGAGCCCCAGCACGGGTGTCTGTGGCCCCCACGGGCCCTGTGAGCATTGCACCTGTCCCCCGGCTGCAGGCTGTGGACTGTCAGTAACACACACACAGCCACTTCTGAGGACAACTGAACGAGGGGTGGGCTGGACGCCGTGAGAGGTGGAGGGAGGCGAGGACCAGTCAGGATGCCTGACTCACCCTCTGCAGCTGCTGGGGGCGCACGACCTGCAGGCTGGTGGCCTTTGCTTGGGCTTCGCTGGGCACTCTCCTTGAGCTAATGCCATTATTTCATCATGAGCACACTTCCAGATCGAGTCTTTATATTTTTAAGATTTTTTTTTGATGTGGACCATTTTTAAAGTCTTTATTGAATCTGTTACAATAGTTTTAAAATTTTTATTTTATTTTTCAGCTGTACTGGGTCTTTGTTATGGCCTGTGGGCTTAGTTGCCCCGTGGCATGTGGGATCCTAGCTCCCTGACCAGGGATTGAACCCGTACCCCCTGCAATGGAAGGCGAAATCTTAGCCACTGGACCACCAGGGATGTCCCCAGATCTAGTCTGACTGGTGCAGCTCTGAAAAGCAGATGACTGATGCAGAAAAAGAAAGTGTCATGAAACATCCCCCGCAGTGAGCTGTGACCCCCATCCAGCTCCGGAAGGGAGGTGCAGACCACAGCCCTGTCTCATCTCTTGCCCCCTTGCAGAGCTGTGGGGTCGACTTCGAGATCAAAGCATTCGCCACACACAGCACGGATATGGAAGAGGACAAAATTCCCAAGAAGTAAGAGTGTGGCTGTGGGAATAGGTAAGGGGTCTGGAGTTAAGGGGTGGGGGTAAGAAACCACCCCTCACTTTATGTTTGCGAGACGGACTCTTCCCACATGGCTGGTGTGGTGGGTCACGGAGCCTCCCCGGGTCACGGAGCCTCCCCAGGTCAAGACCATCAGGAGGGACCGTCTACACATGGGGTGGGTGTCCATGGCTGACCATCTAGGGGGAACGAAGAAGAAAATGACAGGAGCGTTATCAACCTCGTGTAAGCTCCTGACCTCCATAGTCCTTTGAGTTTCCTTCTTCCTTTGCATTTTGTTGTGGTGGTGGTAAACTATACATAACATGAAGTTGACCATTTTAACCATTTTCAAGGGTACAGCCCAGTGGCATTGAACATAGTCATTACCTTGTATAACCACTTGTACACTGTCTGCTATCTATATATAGCATTTGGGATATGTATGATAATGCATATGGGATATATATATGATGATATATCTATCCTGAATGGTATATAAATGATGATAGCATTTGGGAAATATCCCCAAACTATCTGTATCCCAAATGCCATCATCACCCTGAACAGAATCTCTGCCCACTAAGCAATGACTCCTGTCCTCCCAGGCCCTGGTGCTCATTTTTCTTGTTCCTGAATGAGGTTTCCAACTGTGCCCTCAACACTTGCCCCCTCATACTCAGCATTCACACCTGAGGATGCTTGTATCAGATGGCAATGACAAGCTGTCACATTTGTAGAGAGTTCTGAAACGTCATGTAGGCACACATTCCCACCGCAGCTGCACCTGAGAGGAGCTCAAGCTGGGGTCCTCACCAAGGGTGAGAGGGACCCTCGGAGGGCGGACGGGTCCACACCACCCGCCAGGCCCTGGCCCCCAGACCTGATCTGGCTATTAGTCCTTCTGCACCCATCAGGAGCATCCCCAAGGGACCCCAGCCTGAGGATGAGGTGGCGGGTGGTGGGGCGACCTGGTGGGCCCTCCCGAGGTGGCCCAGGTGCTGATCCCGTGACGTCTCGTCCGCAGGAGCTCCGTGCGTTTGCTGATCCGGAAGGTACAGCACGCGCCACGCGAGATGGGTCCCCAGCCCCGAGCCGAGGCCTCCTGGCAGTTCTTCATGTCGGACAAGCCCCTGCGCCTCGCCGTCTCACTCAGCAAAGAGGTGACTGAGGAGCCGGCCTGCAGGGAGCCCACCCAGGCCCTCATCTGGGGGTGGGCTGCAGGCAGTCTTGGGTGTAGTGGTAAGCACCAACCTCTGAGGATGACTGGACTTTTTCGTAACTTGAAGTCAGTGAAGGTGACCCTTAGAATAGGGCCAAACTGGCTTGCATTCTACTCATCGTGGGTCCCAGAAATGTGGGGGAGGTTTGCCCTCCCATCTCTGCCCCAGGGGGCCTCTTAGTGCGGCGTCAGTGGGTGTTACAAATTGTTTGCTTCCCCCAAACTAAAGTTGGGCAGTAACGGTAAGGGGGTGGCTGTGTCACGTGTGAATGTCATGGCCAAGAAAGGTGAAGGACCGCTGGCCAGGGCTGTCTCCGGTCCCTCTGGTCAACAAGAGTCACACACACATTGACACAAGCCTGGCAGACTGTATGTGTGCATGTGTGTGCACATGTGTACATGTGTGCGCGCATGAATGCATATATGCATGTGCACACGTGTATGTGTGCATGCATGTGGGTGTACATGCACGTGTATGTGCATGTGTGCACACACATGTGTGTGCATGTGCATGTATATGTGCATGCATGTGTGTACATGCATGTGTGTGTGCATGTGCATGTATATGTGCATGCATGCGTGTGTGTGTGCAACAACATGCCCATCTGGTATAGCACGGAGTCGCCACTGGATGAGCTCCACCTCTGCCCCCCACCACATTCTCCTCTCTTTTCACTCGTTCTGCCCCAAATAACTTCATGATCCCGCTCAAGAGCCCCGGGGCCTGCTCTGCGTGACTCTCAGGACTCGGGCGTTGTGGCCGGAGCCCACATCATCGCCTCAGCCTCCCACACACAGGGCAGAACCTGCACCAGACACATGCCCTCACCTTGTCTTCCTCAAGTGTGGGAATTCAGCCACTTTGCCTCCAGTTGAAGGACTGGGATGAATTTAGAAAGACATGACCAGGTTCTCTTTGCCTTTTCTGCCCCATCTGCTGACTTCTTCAGATCTATTACCACGGGGAGCCCATTCCTGTGACCGTGACCGTGACCAACAGCACAGAGAAGACAGTGAAGAAGATTAAAGTGCTAGGTAGGGCCTTCTGCTCCAAGCTGGATGGCAGAGCCTTCCAAGTCCCCAGTGGCCAAGTTTCCTGGGGTCTCTCCTCTGGTCTCTCAGGCCCTCCTGGTCCTTGGAACCTCCCGTTTGTCTCTGTTGTCAGGGCAGCAGGGCCTTAGAGGCGGAGGTCCCTTTAGTGTCCTCTCTGTAGCCTCCTGCCCAGCTTAGAGCCATCTTCCATCCTGGAACAACATCCCCCACAGGACGTCTTCCTGTCCTTCCTTGTCCTGCCTTCCTGGAGGGTCCAGGTCCGGTGGGGGGGAGGGGTTTCCTTTCTGCAGAGTAGTGGGGGGACCTGGCCTGGGAACCCTGGGGTCCCTTGTGGGCTTGTGCTGTGCACATCGTCTCAGAATCCAGCGGGCAGTCACAGCAGGGCTTCCTGGTCTACCTTCCTGGGTTTTTGTGATCTGTTGATTGAGCGCACTGGACATGCTTTGTAAATGGTCATCCCCACTGTCACTGCTGCTGTTTTGTTGCCGTGTGATGCCCCAGCCTCCCATATATTCAGGAAAGGGGCCTCTGACTTACTGGTCCCACTGGTCCAGCACACTGCCTCAGGTCAAAGGGCATCAAAGTGAGTGGGGATGCTCCCAGATCTTGGTCTCATGTGGGTGACGTGGAAAGACATGATAGAATGACCTGGAAGGGAGACCTGTCCGTTCACATCTCCCTCAGGCCCTTGATGACTGAGACAGAGTTAGGGTGACCAACTGTCCTGGGTTAACCAGGATCAAAGACCAAAGACTTCTAGTGCTAAAACAGGCCAGTCCCAGGCAGACCAGGACAGTTGGTCACCTAAGTGTCATCCACTATGTTCCTCTCTCCCTCTTGTCCATCATAGATAAGGCTCAGGAATCAGATGCACTCATACTGAAATATTCTAGATTTTTCTTAATGCTAATGTACATGTTTACATTAAGGTTTTGTTTTTATGTGAGTTTAGTTTCTATGCCTTTAAGTCTCTGTAGGACCTGGTGTGATTTATCTAGCATGTTGTATGTCATGTTCCATATGGTATTTCACAAAGCAGCAGGACGGAGAAAGTATCATTTGATAATTATTTTTTAAGTTGTTTTTCAAAATTTTATGAATCCAAACATCCAAACCGCTAATGTTTGAAAGAAACTGTTGAATTTCTGAAGGCAGACATTGAGAACTTTATATAGGCCAAGCACTGTGTTTTCTCAAATTTTATTTTAATGGAAATTAAAAATCATCTTTTTGAGGGCTTCCCTGGTGGTCCAGGAAGCTCCATGCTTCCAATGCAGGAGGTATGGGTTCAATCCCTGGTTCGAGAAATTATTCATGCTACAAGGTGTGGCCAAAATAAATAAATAAATAAATATCACCTTTTAAAATTATCACAATAACTGTATAAGTTAGATGCGATCATCACCCCCATTTTGCTGATGGTGAAATTGAGGCTCGGGGAAGTTCAATAACTACACCACCGCTGATGGCTAGGCAGGGATTTGAGCCCAGGTAGTCTGGCCCCAGAGCCCACCTTCCTATCCACTACACCACACCCACAGATCAATCGTGTGCTGCATGATTCACCAGGCAAGAATACTGGAGTGGGTTGCCATGCCCTCCTCCAGGGGATCTTCCCGACCCAGGGATGGAACCCGCCTCTCTTATGTCTCCTGCATTGGCAGGCAGGGTCTTTACCACTAGCGTCACCTGGGAAGCCTGGCCTGAGGCCAGAACAGGAATCTTAGCCTTAAAGCTGAGCCTGAGAGGTGCACTCAGATGGCCATTAGAGAGGGAAGGCCAGCCATGTCCCCCGGGAGGCGGCAGGCAGGACCCCGCACCAAGTCACCCTACCCTGACCTCCCTTTGCAGTGGAACAAGTGGCCAACGTGGTTCTCTACTCGAGTGATTATTACATCAAGCCGGTGGCTGCGGAGGAAACACAGTGAGTAGCGGGTTGGGTTTCTATTTCCTGGGCGGTTCCGGCTTCTTTGTCAAGTTCCCCTTTTCGGTCGTTGCTGCAGAAGGAAGTAGAGCGGTCAGCCAGCTCCCCAGCTTGCCGTGTCCTTCCCCTTTTCTCACTTCAAGGGCTGCAAAGTCACAAGAGTTCTGAGAGCTGGGTCGAGCTAGGAAGTGATGGGGAGGAGAAAAATGAAGCCTGAACCGTCACAGCGGGAAGGGCTAGAGCCTTCTATTGATCCTTAAATAAGTGGGTAGGAATCTGATACTGTTTCTGACCCCCAGAACAGATCATCAAATAACCTGTCAGCCCACATGAGGGTTCTCTATCTTTCGATTATCTCCACAATTTGAAAATCTGGTACCCATGACGAGGAGATTAGAATGCTATCTCAGTACTCTGCCACTTGTCATGAGTGACTTTTCTCCCTCCATTAGAATAAAAATCAAATGGAAAACAAACCAACAATAAAACCCAAACAAGAACCCTGCGATGGCTTCTTCACGGTGCAGCAAGAGACCTGACCGGTTTTACTTTGCACTAGGCACTCAGGTTCATTTAACTCACAGCTCTCGGGGGTTACCAACCCCCCACCCAGGAAGGATCATTTGGGAAGGTGTTTTCCTGTTTTCCAAGCCCCATTGTACGACAAAAATACTCTCATCGTTGGAGGAAGGCGGTGGGGTGAGGAAAGACAGCCGATTCAGCAAGAAAACATTACATAATATTTAAAAGGCCACTTCGGGATAAACTGTTACTTAAAGCAGAACCTGGCCTGAGTTTACATCTCAGGGGAGAGAGGCAGGAAATGAACCACTGACTGCCTCTGCGGGGCCAAGCCTGGGGTCAGTTCTACTTTCAGACTGCATCCTTGCCCATACCGGTGCCTGGGAGTCTTCCTGGCTCACCTGTTGGCATGTGCCCAACAATGATAGGACAAAATGGTCCCCAGCTGAGGTTTCCCCTAATATACCCCATTATCTGGTCCTATTTTCAGCTCATTTTGCATCAGAGTCCTAGAAAACTGGACACCATCCTCGGTGTCCAAAACTGTGGGAGTGAAAGTGAGGCTTTGGGGGCTCTGGTGGGCAGGCCACCTGGAAACCAGGTCAGCCCTGATGACCAAGCTGTTACCCACCATCTAGTCCCAGATCCCGAAGGTGCTGGGAAGTGGCCAGGTGGGGCTTTGGTCCAGGGTCTTGGCAGAGGCCGTCGGCCAGGGTGCAGCAGGATAGGCCATGGTCCAAGGCCAGCCCGGGGGCCCCTTCCTACTGCAGTTACCTTGACAAGGCAATTTCTGCTTCTGTCACTCTGCTGCCCAAACCAAGCTTTTTAAGAGAAGATTCCCCCTGGGTCCCAAAGGCAATGATGTGGGCCACCTTGTCTCAAGCAGGATGCTGTAAAGGGTGTGCCCAGGAGCCTCCTGTGTGCACTTGGAGGCCGGAGAAGCCACAGCCGCCTTCAACTCCCCAGGGAGATTGAGGAGGCTGGCACTGGGGCTCCCCATATGTCTGGGGGCCCGCTGAGGAAAGGCCCGAGGCTGGCTTCTGGGCAGGGCTTCCAGGGCCCTGCCTTCTGGCCGGGCACAAGGATGAAGGTTATGCCAGGAACATGGCTAGAGCCCGCCTGGGCTCTGCGATCAGAGAGCCTGTGAGGCTGCACAGTGGCTGTTGGCACAGGCCTGGGGGCAGCCCATGGGCACGTGGCAGAGCCAACTCTCCAGCCTCAGAAACTGCTTCGTGAGCCGGGGACGCTGCCCCATCTGGGGAAACCACGCTGCTGTGCCCTCCGCTGCACCCAGGCTCACTGTTTGATAGGAGGTCCCTCTGTCTATCAGATGCTGGGGAGGCCCCACCTGGCTGGTGATGGAGGCCATCTGGGGGAGAAAAAGCCTGTGCTGCTCTGAACCCCAAACCGCCCAGTCTGTCCAGCTCACGTGGGGGATTCCCTGGGTACACATTGAGCCTCCTGACACGGACGACGCCCAGCCTGGGCTTGCTCTTGTCCCTGTCGGGTCACCCTGCAGCCCATCATGTGCTTCATGGAGTCTCAGGAGGAAACTGGGTGTGGTCCTTGATCCTTGGGCCAGTCGGTCTCACTTCACCCCATAGAACATTCCAGAAACTCAGCCATAGGAGCAGGCTGAGAAATGCTCCAATGTTGCTGCCAGCCTGTTGTGAGACGTGCTCTTCTCCTTCTCATGAGACATGCACAGCCCCTCCAGGCTCTTTCCCACGAGTTGCGGGGAACCTGGCTTCTGGGAAATGCGTGAGCATAGACAAGGTCTCTTGGGGGCCGCGGTGGCCATAAGAGCAACTGGCTAAATCTGCCGTGTTTCTTCCTACAGGGAAAAAGTGCCACCAAACAGCTCGCTGACCAAGACGCTGACACTGGTGCCCTTGCTGGCCAACAACCGCGAGAGAAGGGGCATCGCCCTGGACGGGAAGATCAAGCATGAGGACACGAACCTGGCCTCCAGCACCATGTGAGCCCCCGAGACTCAGTGCTGGCGGGGTCGGGGGAAGGGGTCTGGGTCTTCTCGTCCCAGTCCTGTGCTCATGGCTGGCACACAGCACGGTGCCGGCGGTGCAAAGCCAATGCTCAGCGGCCGGAGCAGGGACCCTCTCTCCTGCGCCTGGTATGACGTAGTGACTACAGCTCTGGGCTCTGGAGACAGCATTGTGCCAAAGCGCCACTCCCTTGCTGACCGTCTGGGCCACCCCATCCCGACAGCATCAGCTGTCTGAGCGAGGACCTCAGTTTCCCCATCCATAGGGTATGAGAGCTGACACGGATTATGGGAGACAGGCCACATCAAATGTGGGGCCCGGCACACAGTAAGTGCCCCAGAAAAGTCAGCTCGTACCTCTAAGAAATAGCATCAACTAGCTAGCATTGAACTGAGTACCTCATGAAGGATGGAAACATCATTTATTCATTTCCATCTGGAAAGGTAAGGAACAGGAGGTCCTGACGGCTACGGATGTCAGCTTGGTTTAAATGAAACTAAGCACTGATCTGCTGACCCAACTCAGAATGTTAGGCTGAATTGAGGCAATGGATCCAGTAAAAAACTAGATCGAAGCTTCTAAGTCAAATACCCCTGCCATTCCTCACCGTCCTCTGGGGCTTCTGTTCCTGGGAACACGTGTGCTGAAGAGCCCTGATGATCGGGGGTAGGAGCTGTCACCAGGCTTGGGGTTCACTGCCAGCTCCCCATTCTGTGTAACCGCCCCCCACCCCCCGCCATCCTGTGTGACCCACGGCCCCAGTGATCGCCTCCAGGTGATGCTGTCAGGAAAAGCTCTGAGATGAACAGTTGGGGCAGTGAACACCAGGCAGAAAGCAGGATCATGGGAGCCAAAGGGTTTCTGAGGACGATTTGCCAGCTGGCGTGTTAGAGTCTAAGCATGTCTGTGATGCTCTGGGAGATGGGCAAACAGGGAGACAACACTCTAGATCCAGGAACTCAAGGGTGAAGGAATCACACAGTTCAAAGTGACATGTGCGTTTGTAAAGATCTTTCGTCGTTCGTGGAGTATTATATAAACACGCCCATCTCTCCATGCTTTCTTTGGTGAGAAAGGTGAATTTCTACTCATTTGATGGAAGAGGAGATTGAGGTTTCACCAGATGAGAGGCTCAGCCAAGGTCATCGGGTCAGTCAATGGTAGAGCAAAGCCCCCCCCAGTCCCCAGCCTCGAGCTGATGCTTTCAAATTGTGGTACTGTGGAGAAGACTCTTGGGAGTCCCTTGGACTGCAAGGAGATCAAACCAGTCCATCCTAAAGGAAATCAGTCCTGAATATTCATTGGAAGGACTGATGCTGAAGCTCCAATACTTTGGCCACCTGATGAGAAGAGCTGACTCATTTGAAAAGACCCTGATGCTGGGAAAGAGTGAGGGCAGGAGGAGAAGTGGGTGACAGAGGGTAAGAGGGTTGGATGGTGTCATGGACTCAACTGACGTGAAAGTGAAAGTGAAAGTTGTTCAGTTATGTCCGACTCTTTGCAACCCCATGGACTGTACAGTTAGTGGAATTCTTCAGGCCAGAATACTGGAGTGGGTAGCCTTTCCCTTCTCCAGGGGATCTTCTCAACCCAGGGATCGAACCCAGGTCTCCCGCATTGCAGGTGGATTCTTTACCAGCTGAGCCACCAGGAAAGCCCAAGCATACTGGAGTGGGTAGCCTATCCCTTCTTCAGCCAATCTTCTCGACCCAGGAATCGAACTGAGTCTCCTGCATTGCAGGCGGATTCTTCACCTGCTCTTTAACTGAGCTACCTGGGAAGCCCATGAGTTTGAGCAAACTCCAGGAGATAGCGAAGGACAGGGAAGCCTAGCATGCTGCAGTCCATGGGGTTGCAAAGAGTCGGATACAACTTAGTGACTGAATGACAACAAATCCCCATCCACCCAGTGCCTTCCAGCACCCCAGACAGTGAGGACACAGCAAAACACGGATGACCAGGTCTCTTGGAGAGGGTGGTCCCCCACCTGGGGAGCCTAGGGAGAAGGGTTGGTCCATCTAGTCTCTGCTTCCCACTGCTCCTCTGCATTCTTCTGTTTTTCTTCTCTGTTTGAACAGCGTAAAGGAGGGAATAGACAAGACCGTCATGGGGATCCTGGTATCTTACCAGATCAAGGTGAAGCTCACAGTGTCAGGGTGAGTGTCCATGCCCCAACGTGCCGCTTGCTCTGTCTGGCTGTCAGCCATCTGAATGGTTTTATTCCCGAGTGATTGGGAGACAGAAAGCAAGAAAGGTCCACAAATTCTGCCAATTACATGGTAGGGTTTGAGAAAGACTCTATTTGTCTAGTTTCACAATTCTGCCTGATGTAACATTACAGAGAAAAAGGTAGAAAAGCAGACTGCAAAACACGTACACTACTGGTACCACCTGGCAAGAATGGGTGTGCATGTGGTCACCTGTGGAAGTTGATCTAAAAAAGGAGAAGGCCTTTGACTGTGCTTCAGAAAAGCATCAGTTCAGTTCAGTTCATTTGTCACTCAGTCATATCTTACTCTTTGCGACCCCATGGACTGTAGCACACCGGGCTTCCCTGTCCATCACCAACTCCTAGACCTTGCTTAAACTCATGTCCATTGAGTCGATGATGCCATCCCACCATCTCATCCTTTGTCATCCCCTTCGCTTCCTGCCTTCAATCTTTTCCAGCACAGGGTCTTTATCAATGAGTCAGTTCTTCATATCAGGTGGCCAAAGTATTGGATCTTCAGCTTCAGCATCAGTCCTTACAATGAATATTCATGACTGATTTCCTTTAGGAGGGACTGGTTGCATCTCCTTGCAGTCCAAGGGACTCTTAAGAGTCTTCTCCAACACCACAGTTCAAAAGCATCAATTCTTCAACACTCAGTTTTCTTTATAGTCCAACTTTCACATTCATACATGACTACTAGAAAAGCCATAGCCTTGACTAGACGGACCTTTGTTGGCAAAGTAATGTCTCTGCTTTTTAATATGCTGTCAAGGTTGGTCATAGCTTTTCTTCCAAGGAGCAAGTGTCTTTTAATTTCAAGGCTGCAGTCACCATCTGCAGTGATTTTGGAGCCCAAGAAAATAAAGTCTGTCACTGTTTCCATTGTTTCCCCATCTATTTGCCATGGAGTGATGGGATCGGATGCCATGATCTTAGTTTCTTGAATGTTGAGTTTTAAGCCAGCTTTTTCACTCTACTCTCTCACTTTCAAACAGAGCTCTTTAGTTCTTTGCTTTCTGCCATAAGGGTGGTGTCATCTGCATATCTGAGGTTGTTGATATTTCTCCTGGCACTCTTGATTCCAACTTGTGCTTCATCCAGCCCAGCATTTTGCATGATGTACTCTGCATATAAGTTAAATAAGCAGGGTGACAGTATACAGCCATTACATACTCCTTTCCCAATTTGGAGCCAGTCTGTTGTTCCATGTCCAGTTCTAACTGTTGCTTCTTGACCTGCATACAGATTTTTTAGGAGTCAGGCAAGGTGGTCTGGTATTCCCAACTTTTAAAAAATTTTCCACAGTTTGTTGTGATCTCCCCAGTCAAAGGGTTGGCATTATTAATAAAGCAGAAGTAGATGTTTCTCTGGAACTCTTGCTTTTTATATGATCCAATGGATGTTAGCAGTTTGATGTCTTATTCCTCTGCCTTTTTTAAATTCAGCTTGAACATCTGGAACTTCATGGTTCATGTACTATTGAAGCCTGGCTTGGAGAATTTTGAGCATTACTTTGCTAGCATGTGAGATGAATGCAATTGTGCAGTAGTTTGAAGATTCTTTGGCATTGCCCTCCTTTGGGATTGGAATGAAAACTGACCTTTTCCAGTCTTGTGGCCACTGCTGAGTCTTCCAGATTTGCTGGCATATTGACTACAGCACTTTCACAGCATCATCTTTTAAGATTTAAAATAGCTCAACTAGAGTTCCATCACCTCCACTAGCTTTGTTCATAGTGATGCTTCCTGAGGCCCACTTGACTTCGCATTCCAGGATGTCTGGCTCTAGGTGAGTGATCACACCATCATGGTTATCTGGGTCATGAAGGTCTTTTTTGTACAGTTCTTTTGTGTATTCTTGCCACCTCTTCTTAATATCTTCTGCTTCTTTTAGGCCCATGCCATTTCTGTCTTTTATTGTGCCCATCTTTGCATAAAATGTTCCATTGGTATCTCTAATATTCTTGAAGAGATCTCTAGTTCTCTTCAGAAAAGCATGGTAGCTGGGAAATGAATTCACAGTGCATCTCAGGAGGCTCCATCCATAATGGGGAGGGCTTCCCCGCCCCCCAAAAAGCCATTACAGGACTGGGGAGTCTCCTTTTCACACTAGAGCACAGATGTCTCATAGTTCTGAGGAAATGGTTTTCCATCTTTTTTCAAATTCAATTTCTTTCCATTTAAAAATCTCATCAAGGGACTTCCCTGGTGGTCCTGTGATTAAAATTGTGTGCTTCCAACTCAATGGGTGTGGTTCAATTCCTAGGTGGGGAACTAAGATCCCACGTGCCACATGGCATGGTAAAAAAAAGAAGGAAATCTCATCGAAAGGGAAAAACTTGACTTCTCATTTTCCTTTTCAAATTCCATTGTCAAAGGCTCTGGCCTTTTATCTTAATGAGTCCTGGGTAGTTCAGCCATCAAGGCAAATCTATGTGTGTATTCCATAAGTCTCAGTGGACGAAGAGTTCCCCAAATTTTGGTTGGGACCACAAAGTAGAACATGGTTGGTTTTGCAGATTTCATTAACATAGCATTGTAGTTGTCCTGTTTTACAAAGTGAATAGTGTTGAGACTTCCCTGGAAGTCCAGTGGTTAAGACTCTGTGCTTCCAATGCCAGGGACGCAGGTTCGATTCCTGGCTATGAAATTAAGATCCAAAATGCCCTGCAGCAAGGACAATATATATATATATACACACACACACACATATATAGATATAGTATCTGTATCTATATCTAGAAAGTATATGGTGCTTTCTTTCACTTTCTCTGAGAGGATCTAAAACAGTCGAATGTAACAGTCAAGGTAAGCATTTAGCAGGTATTTCATGGTGACCTTTGTGGCCACAAGAGAAATTCTGGACTGGGGTTTATTCTTGAACCCTAGGGCTTAAACCTAAGTGATTCCTCTTTTTAACTAATCCACTTGAGAAAGACATGAAGCCACAAGCAGAGAGGAAGAGCGGAGTGCACCGTGAGGAGCGCAAAGGTCCGGAAAGCCGTGGGTGATGAAGGAGCGGAGGGGGACGCGTCCGCTTCTGAATAATGGCAGGGAGGGTTGTGTTACCGCCGTGGACAGTCACCACAGCCCTGTTTGTGTTTTTGTTTCCTAGCCTTCTGGGAGAGCTCACCTCCAGGTAAGCCTCATCACCTTCCTTCTCTGCTGGACTCCAGGGTTTGAAGGGGACAAACCTCGGGTTTAAAACAGGACAGTGTCCTGCTCAGCGATGATGGGAAACTTGCCTGCTCACGCCGTGCAAAGCTTGAGTGATGGGGTGAGGCTGGGATGTTCCGTGGAGACCGTAGCTGGGTCTGCCGCTGGATGAAGGCACGCACATGGACACACCCTCAGAAAACAGGCACACTCCATGCAGTTGCCCCTGTGTGTACGCGTGTGTGTTCAGGGGTGAAATATACATCACGTGGAGCATACCGTTTTAACCGTTTAAACCTGTACAGTTTAGGAACTTCCCTGGTGGTCCAGTGGTTAAGACTGTGTGCTTCCAATGCAGGGGGCACAGGTTTGATTCCTGGTCGGAAAACTAAGACTCACCTGCCGCTTGATGCAAACAAACAAAACAAACAGTGCAGTTCAGAGGCATCAAGGACACTCACATGTGGTGTGGCTCTCACCAGTCTCTAGCTCTTGTACCCTGTGTCCCAAAAGGAAACCCCGTATCTGCTGAGACTCTCCTACTCTCCCCACTCCGAGCCAAGTGCTCATCTACCTCCTAACTCTGTAGATTCGCCTCATCTGGACATTTTATATGAACGGAATCAGGCAATATTTGTCCCCTCGTGACTGGCTTCCTCACCCGGCATGTTTGCAGTGTCAGTGTTGTAACATGTCAGTACTTCTTTCCTGTTGATGGCTGAGATTCAGTCCATGGTATGAGTGGGCCACATTTTGTTTATCCATTCATCGGCGGGTGGACATTTGGACTGTTTCTAGTTTGGGACTGTTTGGGCTTTTGTGAATAGTGACAGCAGCCTTTTAAATCAGGCACACAGAGGCAGCAGGTAAGACACGTTTGAGGCAGGCGCTGACCTTATATATTCCGTTACTGACTCCTATCATCCCCGCTCCCATGGAACCCAGGGCAACTTCTCTCCTAGACCCTGGCCACATGAGGATCCACCAAGAGTGCCTTATCAACAGACGAGATTTGACCAAAGCAGTGACCCCAGGGTGGGAGGCGGTAGGCCTTGGGTGAAACAGGGAGTAACCCTTGTCCCCCCCGGCCTGCCGACCCCTTTCCATTCTTCCTGTGTCCAGATTTTCCTTCTGCCCCTTCCTGACTCCCTGCCCTCCTTTTCCTGTATAAATTCCAAGCTGCCTCAAAGTCCTGTAGCTTCTGGAATTGGCTGGACTCTGCTCATCCCAAGGGACTGCTCTCCACAGACCCAGGTCTCCAGCATTGCAGACAGATTCTTTACCTTCCGAGCCACCAGGGGAACCCAGGTGGCACTAGTGGTAAAGAAATCGTCTGTCAATGCAAGAGACATATGTTCGATCCCCGGGTTGGGAAGATCCCCTGGAGAAGGGCATGGCAACCCACTCCAGTATCTTGCCTGGAGAATCCCATGGACAGAGGAGCCTGGGGAGGCTACAGTCCACAGGGTCTCAAAGAGTCAGACAGAACTGAATTGACTTAGCATACACTATGTCCCTGGACATTTCACTACTTAGCATGTCCCTGAAACTAATAACCAGGAGGAAAGGAGACCCCAAAATCCTGGCCGCCTCAGCCTCGTGCAAGTGGAGTTTCCGGAACACATTTCAGGGAATACATTTAAAAATTCCTTCCTGACCACTTCCTGACTTCTGGTTTGTTTTGTTTTGGACCTCGCTGAGTCCTCCTTAAGCTGGGGCCTGGGAATCTTTCTCGAAGTTCTGCAGCCACGGCGCTCAGCTGTGCATTTACAGCCATGCGCATCCTGACCGCTCTGCCTCCTTTGTTTCTAGTGAAGTGGCCACTGAGGTGCCGTTCCGCCTCATGCACCCTCAGCCAGAGGACCCAGGTCAGTCACGCCTTGTCTTGGCTTCCTCTAGTCCTACGCCACCCGCGGGTTTCTGACTTAGTCTCCGCTAGTTCTTCCTTGACCGCGTCTCTGGGCACGGAGGGGGCCAGGCATCCAAGGCTGCAGGCCACATTCAAGTGCCCGGGCCCTCCCAGAAACCAGGCCTCAGCGACTATGTCAGGGGGCTTGGCCAGTGGTCCAGGCGGTTTGTCCAGCTCCAGTGAGTGCCCAGAGGATGTAGCATCCTTGCTTGGATGCGGGCTATCTTGTTAGGTTTTGTTAGGAATGATTTAAAAGCAGGCACTTTGCTATAAATAAGCTTGGGTTGAGATTTAAAGAAAATTCGGGCGAAAGATAAATTTGACAGCCTGATGCTTTTGCATTTCATTTGGGAGCATTAATAGGAATTTAGAAGGTGAGTGTTTCTGAGAGTGGCAGCTGTGATGGGAATACAGAAGTTACTAGAAATGAGGATCAGGCTGGGATCCTAACGCCTGGGCTCCTTTGAATTGTCAATCCATTGGCTCTTGTATGGATGTTAAAAACAAATAAAGCCATGGTTGTACAGCTCTGTGAGCAAGCTAAAAACCAGAGGGCTTTAGCTGTAAAGCTGTGCATGTAAATAGGTGAATTGTATGATATGTGAATTGGACTTCTCCGGTGGCTCAGACGGTAAAGAGTCTGCCTGCAATGCAGGAGGCTCAGGTTTGATCCTTGGGTCAGGAAGGTCCCCTGGAGAAGGAAATGGCAACCCACTCCAGTATTCTTGCCCAGAGAATTCCATAGACAGAGGAGCCTGGTGGGCTGCAGTCCATGGGGTCACAAAAAGTCGGATACAACTGAGCGACTAAGCATAGCACAGCTCTTTGGAAAGGGATAAATGAAGCAGCAAAATTAATATGGATGCGATCTCAGAAATTCTGAGGAACATTCTCCACTGTGTGTTAAGGTGGCTTAGTTGGCAGGAAAGAAAAATGGATATGTCTAGATGAGAACCCTTCAGAGTTACAGTAATTAAGAACATTTTAAGTAAAAGTGGTATAAACAAGCAGGGTTTATTTTTCTTATATTTTATAAAAAGCCTTTATACACTGATAATGAGACAGCATTTAAACATCAGAACGAGCCCCCGTATTCATTTTGGCTTTGTCTCAAAACTATTTTGTCTCAAAGTATGTCTTCCAAATATTTTGGATTCAAATACTCAATGTGCTTTGCCAAAAACTTCCCTTGGGGGAAAAACACACAGCCTAACCGTATTTTTTTTTATTATTATTATTCATTTATGCTTGTGTCATTAAAGCACTATTTTAAACTGTGAGGTTGTGATGCATTCTGGTCCCTTTCAAGGACATTTTAAAAGGCTGTTTTAAAACTATGACTGGAGGATATCGCTGGTGTCAGATCCTTTTCTGGCCCTGTGAACAGACTTTAGGACTTCTCTTGGGGGAAGTGGGATTATTCCTTTCCTGGGTATGACGTCTTCATGTTCCAGTCATTATGGCCCTTACACTGAATGTATTACAACATCAAGGCTAAGACAATGATCTTTCATACTGTCAGATTTCAGGGAGAAAGAACAAATTACCCCACAGACTAGGAGTTCTCATTCCCCGAGGTTTATGCGTCTCAAGTTTCATTTGCAGATGCACACTCATATCTCACTAGCCTGGTCCCCGACTCCCTGAGTCTAGACGAGGAGATGCTAAACAGAGGAAGCATAAACTAGAGTTAAGAAGCCCTGCCAGGGCTAGAGGCCAAGTGATTTGTACGCAGTAAGTGCTAGAGAAATGCTACTGAGATTTTATTGTCCTCTGTCTAGAGCATTCTTATAGAATTCAGGTGTTGACTCTCTTCAAGGCTGATGGTCGCACTTAGTATAATTTTATGCTCATCACCGAGGCAGGGGTGTCCAGGATGGTTCTTGCCCAGTGTTGGTTTTGACGCATCAGCCTCTTGGTAGGTCCCCTGTGCGGTGGGGATAGGTCCCCTCACCCCCCAACAGCCACTGGGGTGCAGGTTCAGTGTCAAGTCCCAGGACTCACCCCTAGAGAGTGGGACGTGGAAGCAGGACCAGGTGTACTTCCACCACATGGGAGGTGGCCTGTGGACAGGGTCCAAAGGACGTGTCGTAGGGAGAAAGGCTTTGAAAAGAGAAGCCCAGCTTCAGAGGGGGTGAGGTTAAGCAGGGACAGGGTCTAGAGGGTGAGGTTGTGGCTGTTCCGTCTGGGGAGGTGTAGGTTGTGGGGGCAACTTTTGGAGGAAGCGAAGGTTAAAAATGCAGGGAGAGGGATGTCCCTGGTGGTCCAGTGGCTAAGACTCTGGGCTCTCAATGCAGGGGCCCGGGTTCGATCCCTGATCAGGGAACCAGATCCCACGTGCCGCAACTAAGACTCTGAGCAGTCAAATCAATAAATGACTTAAAGACAACAAAAATGCAGGAAGAAAGGTCCTCTGAGGGGGACCTGGCCAAGAAGCAGGAATGACATGCAATTCTCATGAAGTGCGTGTTTCCTGGCCTTTTATTCCTCCACCTGTAAAGTGACCTAATGAGGGAAGAAGATTTCTGCTAGACAGGATGGATGCTAACAAATGTCTCTCCTCTCTTCCACGCTCGCAGATACCGCCATGGAAAGGTGAGCACTGCCCGGCATTATCCCCGTTCTGTGACCTCCTCCTCCGCAACCCTAGAGCGAGCCTTCACACTTGTGTGTGTTTTGTTTTTTTCTTCTCCTTCTTCTTCTTTTTTTTTTAAATGCAAGTGCCTGACTTAAGCTTTGATTGCCGAGTCATCCACTTACTTCAAAGAGGCATCCACTCCAGAGATGGCTATCTCGAATAAACACATTGCCAGCCACAGGACTAGATCCCAGCCAGGCCTGCTCTCCCCACTGAGGCGCCTCTGTTTTAGAGATTTCGGTTGATTTCAGTAACAGATCCTTCGAGCCACTTGTTCTTTTGTCTTAGTGCGCTTTAAATTCCCCGCTCTTCTGTTTTAAAACTCACCAATAAAGAGTGAGCCCTCGAAACTCTAGACATCCCCCCACCTCGACCCAAATAAAGGCAGAACACCCCAGGCCCGTTGTCTCTGAGCTCTCTTTTTCCATGACTTTGCTGTGTGGCCCCAGGTGTGCTGTGTACCTCCCAGGTCCTGTAAGTAATAAACCTTTATTTTCTCAAAGTTTCTGGATGGTTATTGCTGAAGGGCGTCTTGCAGTCCTAACAGGAACCATGAGGGCTGAGCCAGCCACAACAGTGGTTACTGATAGGCTAAGACCTGCACAAAACAAAACAAACCCCTTTGAGGGTGAGACACCCCATGCTCTCAACACTGGCACACGGCCTGGCTTTCCTGTTGCTCCCTATTATCAGGGCACACACACATGTGGACACACGTATGCATGTGCGCACATACACACACAGTTATCCCAAGCATGTGTGTTTGCTCTGTGGGTTCCTTCATTGTTTCATATTTTTGTTTGCTAAAGCAATTTTACGTGGAAGGCTAGGAGGAGGATGGCCTTGTCCCCCATTGCATCAGTGGGAGAAACTTGACGGGTTCCTCTTGCAAAAGGAAGATCAAGGACCTTGTTTTTCCTCCGGATTTCATCGCAAGCTCCAAAGAACATGCCTTGATCAAAATGTTCTTTGTTTTTATTTTAGTTTTCAGGATGAAAATTTTGTTTTTGAGGAGTTTGCTCGCCAAAATCTGAAAGATGCAGGAGAATATAAGGAAGAGAAGACAGAGCAGGAGGCGGCTATGGATGAGTGAAGAGGCCTGCTCAGGACGCGGGATGCTTAGCCACATGGTAGCAGGGCTAGCCCTTTAGTGATGCTAAATTCCAAAGTGTGGGTCTTTTTCACAGAAATAAAGTTTCTTCTGCCCCGGCTGTGAGTCAAGCTGACTTGTTGGGGAGGCTGACTGAGTTAGTAACACGCAAGGGGCAGCCTTGAATCTGGGGGCGCAGGGGCATGGGAGAGTGGGTTGGAGGGGAGAAGGACCCTTCAAGGTAAGAAGCCATCCTGAAATCATTTGCTCATCCGACGGGGGGGCTGGAGTGTCCCAGGCTTTCTCCAGGGCCTCTGGGGTAGGCTGTTTCCCTGGAAACTTGGGGAAGGGGGTGGCGCGGGGCTGTGTGTCTAGTGACCTGTGCTATCCTAGCTCCAGGGCACCCACAGAGCCTCCACAGAGAAACAGGGCAGTGGACAAATGTGGGCAAAACCACTCTTCATCTCTTATTCAACTTTGGTAAAGAATCCGCCTGCGATGTGGGAGACCTAGATTCGATCCCTGGGTTGGGAAGATCCCCTGGAGAAGGGAAAGACTACCCACTCCAGTATTCTGGCCTGGAGAATCCCATGGACTATACAGTCCATGGGGTCGCAAAGAGTCGGACACGACTAGGCGTCTTTCACTTTCACTTCGCTTTGGATCTAAGTCCTGCTTGAGCTCTGGGTTGTTGGGTTGTTTTTATTGAATGCAAGCAGTGAAATTCCAGTTGTCTGGTGTAAAGGGGGAAAAAGGAATGCATTAGAAGGACTCAGAGTGGCTCAGAGAACTGACTTAAAGGAAGAATCTGAGCTGCCACACCTGGGGTGGGTGGAAATCAGAGAAGCCCCAGGGGTCATGGCACAGGAGCTCCGGGTCCTGCCCTCTGGGTTGGCCATTCACCCCTGGTGGCCTAGCACCAACTGCTCCTTGTCTGAGGCTCTGGTTCCAGTGTGCTGTTCCTGGGAAGGAGAGTCTGGCCCGACTTCGGCCGGGGGATCAACGCCTCGGGGCCAGCGATGGCAGAGTCCAGCCCTGGGAATGGGTTGTCCTAGAAGAGGGGGTTCTCCATGAGCCCCATGGGCTTCTTGGTTAGACTGCCTTCACTGGGATTGGGCATTGAAGGGATCAGGGAGAGGAAAGCTCGTGTCCAGGAGGAAAGTGAAGCTGAAGAAGGAGAAGGTGTAACAGAGGTGATGCCAGGACCCCGTCTTTGGAGTCCTTTTCTTGGCCTGTGGTACCCCAGCCTTGGGGTCTGCTGCTGATGGCAGAGAGGCCGAATGGCTCTCTTGGTGCCCACAGAGGGCCTGGGCAATGTGTTGACCCCCAAGGGGATAGGATGAAAGGAGATTGGAGCCTTCTACACAGTTTAACCCACTCACAGGAGGCATGAGGGTGGACGGGAGGGGGCCAGTGTGGGCTGGACACTCAGGGTCAGGTCTCCAGGACCAAGAGCAGTGGCAAAGGACCAGAGCAGGACCCCACACCTGGGTTTGTTCGGTACAATTCCAGGCTGTCTGTGTCCTGGGGACTGGGCTTTAGATCAGAGGCTCTCTTCAGGAACCTAGGACGGGATCCCATACTCACAAATCGAAGTCTGACCTGGAGTGTTGAATAGGAGGCCTTCCGATATTGACCACAATGAGGATTCATTTCTGGAGAAGAGCTAATTATAATACAGGCAGAAAACTGGGCCTTTGGTCTGTGGGTGAGCAGGGTTGGACACAACCTCCCTGTCGTTTTTTTTTTCTGCCATGCTAATGGAACAGCAAGCAGGCTTCCACTCCAGCCACGCCCCTGTCTCAGGACACTCAGGGTTGGAGGCACGCTCCTCTGGGGATCCGAGCCCTTCCGCTGCCTGCCCACCACCCAAGCCCACAGCTCGGCTGTGGTTGGCTCCCGCTGCAGATCCTGGGCAAGACGGGGACCTGGGACTGTGCCCGGCAGGCCTGGTGAGAGGATCAGTCACTTGGTTCCTGCATTGCTTGACCCCAGGATATCCTAAGTCAGGGTGGACAGTAATAGGCCAGACCTTTGAAAGTGTGTGGGTGTGAGAGCCAGAGAGGAAGGCCAATCCCCGGAGAACAAAGGTCAGAACAGCCCTGGCCCTCCAGGTTATTTTGGTAACAAAATGCTTGACTTTCGCGTGCTGGCTAGTTTACCATCTGCGGCTGGCCACCCCCGTGAGAGCTCTAGGGTGGGAGCAGGAAGTGAGCCACCACTGCCTGACCAGGATAAGGAATATCGCCTGGCTGAGCCTGTACACCAGGGATGTGTCTGCTTGGCATGCAGACCCCTGGCATTGGGACGCAGGATGTCTGTGTGCAGGATGGATGGGTGGCCCAGGGCTTTCTAGGTACGTGCGGTGGGGGACACAGGGTGCCAAGGAGCTGAGGGTGCTGCAGGGAGAAAATGGTGTCTGAGAACTTGGGGCAAAGTGCTGCAACCAAAGGGCTGGAGAAGTAGGGAAAGCTGCTGTTTTTTTGGGTATCTGCACCATGCTTGGGAAGCAACAACCATGCCTCCCATTCATTAGATGAGAAAACTGCAGTTCAGAGAGGTTAAGTCCCTTATCCAAGGTCACACCAGCTAGTGATAGTTGAAGTCAAAACTTAAACTCTGGTTTCCCGGAGTCGATAAGAATCAGAACTTTGCTCACATTTTTTTTTTTTTTTTTGGCCGCACCACAAGGCATATGAGACTTTAGCTCCCTGACCAGGGATCGAACCTGTGGCCCTACGGTGGAAGTGTGGAGTCCTAACCACTGGACTGCCAGGCAATGCCCTTTGCTCATCTTTTGATGCTGAATCTGTATATGAGAGTGTGGGGGAAGAAGGGGCAGACTGGCATTTATGACTCAACAATGGCTGCCCTTAAGTTTTTTTAAGTTGAAAATATTATATTATTGAGGTAGTTATAGATTCACATGCAGTAGTAGGAGACAATACAGAGTGTTTCCCCAAAGGTAACATCTTGCAAAACTATAGCAGACACCACGACCAGGAGATTGACATTCATCTAGTCGGTCCCTGTTTTTCATATTTCCCCCAGTTTAGTTTTTACTTGCATTCATGTGTGTGTCTGTGTGTGTGTCTTTTATCAAGTGTAGATAACTTTTTAGAGTATGCTTCCCTATTCCTCTAAGATTTTTCATTGCTTGCCTCCCAGTCTAACCTCATGGCCCTAAGGGTCTAGTTTACTGATCCTTGGCAGGTGGGCAGGGAGGGGGCTGGAGGTGGGTGCATTTGGAAACGTACGGGGGGCAGAATTTGGTGACACGGGTCCCTGGGGGCCAGGGAAACTTTACGTTGCACACAGCAAGGAAATGTCCTGCTCCAGATGTCAGCCATCACCCTAGTTCAGGGTAAAATAATTCCCATGTTTTCAAGTGCACCGTTTCATCTATCCTAACGTGAAGCAGTTCTTTCTGACAGAAGGTGCCCTTCTGCACTGACAGGTCGAGAAAAGAAAGATTAGGTTGGATGTGAAGTGTGTTATTACTGCCACCTCGAACATGCCCTTAAGGTGGGGTGGACTCGGGAGCAGCGTACTGTTAGCGACGATTCACAGCGTGACTCAACCCATCAGGAGGCGCCCGGTGACTGCATGCTCCACCTCGGGGGAGGTCTCCAAGGGAACAGCTCCGCGGCCACCCTAGAACACAAAGGCTTCTCCGCTCATCAGAGAAAATATGCCAGTTATGTGCCTCCGATTGCAGAACATAATACCGTTCTTACTACGCTTAATACTTTTTAAAAAATATACTTTATTTTCAAATAGTTTTAGATGTACAGAAAAGTGGCAAAGTACAGTGTGTCCCTCCACACCCCGCGTCTCCTAAATCACTAACATCTTACACTAGGATAGTACACTGGCCACACGGAGTGCATCAACGTGAGAGAGTGTGTGTGTGTGTGTGTGTGTGTGTGTGTGTGTGTTGCTCAGTCGTGTCCAATTCTTTGCGAACCCGTGGACTGTAGCCCACCAGGGTCCTTAGTTCATGGAATTCTCCAGGCAAGAATACTGGAGCAGGTAACCATTCCCTGCTCTAGGGATCTTCCCAACCCAGGGATCGAAGCCAGGTCTCCTGCATTGCAGGCATATTCCTCACCATCTGAGTCACCAGGGAAGCCTAGAATGCATCAATATTGACACATTCTTATTAAGTGGAAAGTACATTCTTTATTCAGATTCCCTTAGTTTTTAACCTACTGTCCTCTTTCTGTTCCAAGATCCCACATGACATTTGGTGGTCACGTTTCCTAAGGCTCCTCTTGGCTGTGACAATTTCTAGGACTTTTTCATTATTGCAAATAGACTCCTCTCCAGCCAGATTCCACCTCCCAATTCTCTCCTGAGTTCACATCTATGCCCTTGGCTTTTCACCTCTGAAATGATGGATTCTGGATCCCAGGCACCCCGTGAGCATCCAAAAGGGATCGAACCCAGGTCTCCCGCTTTGCAGGCAGACACTTTACCGTCTGAGCCACCAGGGAATTCAGAAGGGTTGTGTTCCCAAGTAGGGCTAGTGGTAAAAAATAACCCACTTCCCAATGCAGGAGATGTAAGAGATGCGGCTTTGATCCCTGGGTCAGCAAGAACCCCTGGAGAAGGAAACGGCAACCCACTCCAGAATTCTTGCCTAGAGATTCCCAAGGACAGAGGAGCCTGATGGGCTACCATTTATGGGGTCGCAAAGGATTGGACACGACTGAAGCGTCTTAGCATGGCCATGTTGCAAATAATTGATATAAAACCATTAGTCTTTGTGGAGAGGCAGGACAGCTTCCCCTTGTGCCCTTATCAGTCAGCTCCTTGCTGTCATAACAAGGTACCACAGACCTGCGAGCCTAAGCAACAGGATGTATTTTCTCAGGATTCTGGAGGCCAGAAGCCTGAGGTTAAGGTGTGGTCAGATTCTTCTGAGGCCTTTCTCCTTGGCTTGCAGATGACTTCTCTGTGTGTCTTCACGTGGTCTTCCCTCGGGCCCTGCCTGCGTCCACATTTCTCCTTACAAGGATACCAGTTGTACTGGGTTAGGGCCATCCCAATGGCCTTATTTTA